CCACGGAAAAGTAGATCCCCATAGCCTGGAAACTCTGAGTGGCGTGTCCACGGTGTGCAGGCACTCTTGTAATCGATCCCAAGAGCCTCCATGAAGGCACCATAAGCCTTTGAGGCCCATTCGATCATCTAGCTTTTTCCTTTTCTGACAAGGGCTCTTTGTTCTTGAAAGCGGTGAAAATGCTTGCATAGGCTTCCAGTTGAAGCGGTAAAAGGTATAACAAAGTTACATCTATTGGATGGGATTCCCCTTTTAATAAAAATCTAAGGGCTTATTAGGATCAAAGGCTTGATATAATACGTCTTTCTTACACGAATCACCTCTATATTTTATCTTGTAATTGGTACACTATCCGGTTACATTAACTCCTTAATACTATAAATAATACATCATCTTATAATTATTGTTGATATGAATCCCACTTCACATCTAGCTCATACCCAAATTAGACACTTTGCTGGAATAGTGTCTATTGTATTTCCGGCTATCATGCATTTTACACTAGGTCCTTCTATAAAGGATAGCTTGCTCCTCAAGTTTATCACAGTTCTTCTTCCATTCTCATACTCGGCAGCACAACATTTTCTTCTGTTTCGCATCAATAGAAGTTTAGATTACAAATCCTCGTCTCTTCTGCATTCAATACTCTATTTTTTACTTAACCTTTTTCTTTTCGTGTTTGCCGTTATAGATGGCATTTCAACTGTCACCTTTACTCTCGACAAATGGGACGATGATGTTTCATTCTCCATCCTTCTTCCATCTTTTGTTGTGCCAAGTACATATCTTCTATCTACTGCCTGTATCCTTACTCCGGGCTCAATTCAGTTTCCAGATACAGGCTTCAACTTTCTCATTGACATTTTAATCCTACTACGTATTGTAGTAGGGATAATGTTTCCACTCCATAACTCAAGCTATATCTACATTGCAGTTCCTTCATTTATTCTTATTTTACTAAGATCACTTAACCTGGGGTATAGCTCATCATCAGTTACAGAGTATGCAGTATGGAGGCAACTTATAGTTTTTCTCATTTTTGGTATTTCCCTATTTATCCATACAATCATAGCGTGCATGTCTATATCCATTTGTATCAACATTTGAGTCTCTTTGCCAACGAGCAGTCACTTCCACGGCACTTTATTAGCAACATCCAATAAACATCTCTTTCTGTATATTAATCAGCTTTGTTTTCAATAAATAGTTGGTAATGAAGGGTTGCTCTCCAAATAGCTCAGACACCCGATCAAATGATTGATATGTATGAAAAGACAGATTTAAACAATACAATACATAATACCCGAATCATCCTTTTATTTTTTATTCTTGCTTTGGTTACGAATTATACTTCAACCTCAACCATGAAACCTTCCACATCCTTGTGCCTTTATAAAATCATAGATACATTAACAGTTATCATATCTACATTTTATTGCCAAAATTTCCTTGTTTTGGCACCCCACGTAAACAACTTCTCCATTCCATACAAGAGAGTTTATTGCACCCCCTGCTTTCAGCTTACCAACACAGAAGACAGAGTTGTCCCAAAAGTCCCAAAACCTAAGCATCCCATCCTTAGATCCTGTTACAAATGAATCCTTCATTGCTGCTCCACATTTTACCCAGGAATCGTGAGCATAAGGAACTGTTTTAACTATTGATTTGTTTTTCCATCTTCTTATGGAACAATCCCTTCCAAAACTTATTAGGTTATCATTATAGCATAGTAGTCCTTGAACCGAATCTAGATGTGGTGGAGAAAGAGTTGTAAACTCATTGCTATAGCATCGAACTGTATGATCTCTAGAGCCTGTGTATATATCTGACCCTATTTTCTCTATACAAAAAACAGTACCTGAATGCGCCTTTTCCGAGAACACCAGTTTAGAGTTCCTTTGATCAAGTATTGACAGTGTCCCATCTTCATGGCCAGTTAATATGTAGTTATCCCTGGAAAAAAGTGCTGAGACTTCGCTTCTGAAACCATATAGAGGACGAGACCCAGATCTGGGATCAAATCTCTTCAATATCCCCCTTGTTGTATACAAAAGAGTGTCAAATCCTTCTATGCACCTAACACCTTCTTCCGTGAACAGGGTTTCTACTCTGTCATCCCAACTTCGGATTTTATTGTCTATAGATGCAAATACAAGATGTGAGCCGAAAAGTGTTAATGCAGTGGGAAGGTACCCAACCAACTTATCCTCGACAGTTGTAGCCATTGTTATCTTTTCCTTTCTAGGTGTGAAAAGTGCATATTTCTTAGTGTTTCTTTCTAAGTCGAAAGAAACAACTCTTTTGTGGGCCTTACTTGCCTTTGGTTCTGTTTCTTGTTCTTCTATAACTTCGCATGTATCTGATATTTCCAATGAATCTACATATTTTCTTATTGTATCAATTTTGCTATATTCTTCTTTACCCTGGCTTTCTGACTGAATTTTATTTCTATTGAACATTTCTTCAGATTTATCCAAATCTACAGATATATTCAAATGATCTTCGTTGTTTTTCTTGCTGAAGTCATTCTCAGGAGAGTTCGTTTTGTTTTCTAGCCCATTCCCTTTATCAACCCCTAAATTCTTGTTATGTTCTCCGGCAGATAAACGATTATCTATTCCTAGAGGTTTCTGTCTTTCCAAATCTTTAGATATTTTTCCGACCATGTCTTTAAGCCTTTGATTTTCGTCTATCAAGTTTTGAACAAAAGGATGTTTTAGAATCTCTTGTATGATATCCTCTCTTTTGTCGTCCTTTTCAAAGCTCAAAGCCTCTACTTTTGACTTGAGCATGCGATTTTCAGATATTAGATCCTCTATATTGACTCTGGACTCTTTCCTGAATCTTTCTTTAAGCATCTGATTTTCCACTTTAAGCTTTTGTATTTCTTTCTTCAGCAATAGTGTTGTAAACTTCGACCCATCAATTTGCACATTCATTTTGACCATGGTTTCGATTGAGGCTGCTCTGCTTGCATACTTCAAGGTATTGTGTGTTTCACTTATATCTGCATGGGAAGAAGAAACACAGGCAATCATCAGGACGTAACCACTCAAACAGCTTTGGAGGATTCTGGTGAGTTTTGAATCTCTGAAGGGAATATGGGAGGACTTCTTAAATAGAGCAGAGATAACGTTTCCAAGGGCTAAAAGTCCAGAATTGATGGAGATTCCTTCTTTTGCACGATCCCCAGCACACAAAGTTCTTTTAAGCCTCTCGCTTCCTGCTAGATCAACAAAAGAAAACTTTGATGTTACAAACGACCCGTCTATTTCCCTTCTATGAGAAAGAATGAATATTGCATGACTTCTGGATGATTTTGAGTTCATGTTAGTTGATTTTGTTGTTCTTTCTAGAGATCCTTTTTTCAATGCCTCTATTCCATCTTGGTATGACCTTAGAGCTACTTCCGTTGCTCCAGCAATTGTAATTTCACCGTTGACTTCTCTTAGGCTCAATGGCATTTTGTGCTTGCTAAACAAATCAATCACTTCCTCATTGTAAACTTCGATGAAGGTACAATTTATCTCCTGGCATGACTTAAATATATGATTAAGAGACTGTGGGACAATCCCTGTCATGTCTTCATGCGTCATTCCCATTGTGTAAGTTTTTCCGCTTCCTGTTTGGCCGTATGCCATCACTGTACAATTATAACCTTCAAGGAAAGATTCTGTGAGGTGCCTGACGCTTCTGTCGTACATTTGCATTTGTGATGTAGTGAGGTGCACTCTGTTAAAACCATAGGTTTTTGTTCCTACGGTCAATGCTGTTGGAGTACTTTCTATTACGTTATCAAGCCTAGGATTTATCCTTACCTCCACTTGGATTGTATTTCTCCTCTCTTCCATCGGGAAGATTCCAATTATTTTTTTTATACTCCTAACCTTTCAGGAGCTACAGTCTGAGAAAGACATCTATAAAAATGACGAACCCCATTGTGAATGTTTCCACTAGGTCTTTTAGTTGCAATAATTATTGCAGCCGGGTTGCTGGCTGGATTTAAGCATTATGGCGCCTCAAAGTCTAGAACTGCTTCCTTCAAGATTAAGTCTCGGGTGATTGAGAAGGTTACATCTGCAAGGTCACTTGGGATGACTCTAGAAGATGTGATGAGGAGGCATCCATTGTTCAACTTCTACCCAGGACAGTCGATCGGGGAAATCTTGGAGAACTGGAGTAGAGTAACATATAAAAATGGAGAGGCGATAACAGTTCCAGGGTTTATATTGCAGGGATCTGTAGAAATATGGTATAAAGATCGACTTGTTTGTATAAAAGAAAGGGGATCTTTTCTCAATGGGTCTATGGAATTATTAGGATACAGAACAATAGGAACTAAAAGGGCAAAGGGCTTTGTTGAAGTTCTTTTGGTTGACTTATCCTTAACCAGAAGTAATAGCTGGTATATTTTGTTTTCCATGCTTAGAAAATCATGCATCGAAGTGGCCTGCAAGTATTTTGAATTAGAAGCCAAGCTAGTAGAAAAAGAAACCATGAAGCTCAAAAGCGACGGGAAGAATCATCTAAATCTGTTTTTGACCTTTTTAAATGACAAGTTTTTATCATGCCAGGATGAAGGAAAAGAGATACTTAAGAAAGGCATTGAGACTCGGTTTGCTAGTAAGGATGAGGTTCTTAAGGGTAATGAAGAATCCATGGATTATATACTATATGTAGTTTCGGGAGAGATTTTGGTGATGGCTGGAGAAAATGCCTTTAGCTTCGGAAGTGGATCGATATTTGGATATTTTTCTTTATTCTTTGATTCGTATTCATCTGTTACGATTCAGGCACGAGAGGATTCTTCGATTCTTATATGCAGCTCATCGGTCTTATTTAAACTCGGATTGGATGAGAAGAAGTTTGATCACTCCATGCTGCAAGACATTGATGAACCCTTGCATGTTATAGACGAATCGGTTGAGTGGATAAGGCTTTCTCCTGGGGGAATGGTTGTTCAGAAGGGAGCCGCTTCAAAGGAGATCTTTTATATTGCAGCGGGAAGAGTGAAATCAGCATCCAAAGAGCTTTCGTCAGGAACGGCAATTGGAGGCAAGGAATGTATTTTTGGAGAAAATTGGCCTGAATCGTTTATAGCAACTCGAATAACCGATGTTGTTCAGATTCCATCCCTTCTGGTGGATTACTTTTTTGAGAATGACAAAAGCTTTTTCAAGAAGTATACCAAACGGTTGTTCGAAAGTGGAAACAAGAAAAATGGAAAGATAGTTAGTATAATTCCGATTGGGCAATACAAGGACATAGAGTCGTTTTCAAGAAGGCTCAAGGGTGCGATTGGGGCTTCTTCACTGCTTCTAAACCGTAAGGATGTTGTTGATATTTTGGCAAGAAGATCATTTGATACCACCGAGGAAATTGGATTCATGGACTACCTTACAAAGATGTCTAAGCATTACGAGATCATTCTTATTTATGTGGAAAATGAATACTCTAGGCTTCTAAGGTACTTGCTAAACTTTTCAGATGTTTTATTGACGGTCGGAACGGCCTTTGCTGATATTCCTGAGTATAATGTTTATTGCAGAATTGAGTTTGTTAAAATTTATGAAGAGAGGAGAGCTTTAGGCGAAAAGACCATGAAGAGGCGAAGGAGGATCAACTATGGATTTAGGAGAACTACGGCCAAAAAAGAAACTTTGGGGCAATATGACAGAATCCATCATGTCTTGTTTCCTTCGAAAACCATTCTTTTCTGCTCTAAAGACTTCCAAAGGCTTGCAAGATCATTGCTAGGGAAGAGAATAGGGCTTGTTTTAGGTGGAGGAGGTGCTAGAGGATTGGCCCATATAGGAGTTATCCAAGCTTTGGAGGAAGAAGGGATTCCGATAGATTGCATTGGAGGTACCAGCATGGGGGCATTTATCGGAGCCTTGTATGCGAAAGAATGCAATAACTATTATGTGTTCAAGCAAGCAAAGAAGTTTTCTAGGAAGATGTCAAATATATGGCTTCTTCTGTTGGACTTAACTTATCCTATTTGCTCTATGTTTTCTGGCAACGCATTTAATAGGTCATTGCATTCTGTGTTTGGGGATGGGCTGATCCAAGACTTATGGTTAGAGTACTTCTGTATAACTACCAATATATCTAATTATGAAGAAGAAGTGCACAGAAATGGAATGGTTTGGAGATATGTACGTGCCAGTATGGGTCTCTGTGGATATTTGCCTCCAATATGCGATAACAAGAGGCTACTGGTTGATGGAGGATATTTGAACAATGTTCCTGCTGATGTAATGATGAGAATGCAGGTTGAAAAAATCATTACTGTGGATGTTGGAACAGTCTTGGAGAACGATTACTTTGATTATGGTGATGCTCTTAGTGGATTCACTATCCTGTTCAATAAGTTCTTTGGCAACAAGAAGTTTGTGACCATGGAAGAGATTCAATACAGATTGGCATATATCTCTACAGAACGGAAGATGAAGGAAATCCAGGCAAATAGCAACATAGTCATGCTGAGGCCCGATCTTGGAAAATATAGAACAATGGACTTCAAGAAGTTTGACGAAATCGTTGCATGTGGCTATCAGTCCACAAAAGATGCAATTTTGAAATGGAAGCAAGAGGGGATCTTCGATACCTTCTTTAATCTGAAAAAGCAAGCACCGAAAAGGAGATATTCCGTGTGATAGAAATTGTCTTCTCGTCAACTGTTTATATTGTCTAATAAATCAATTATCTGTAGCTCTTAGTCTGCTGTGGGCCTATGGCTCCATCATTGGTTTCTTCATGGTAAGGAGAGTGCTGATTTTTAATGTAACAATGTTAAAACAGGGCCATTCTGATTGGAGAGGCCGTTAGGTTAAAAAAGGACGTTAGAAAAAGTCCAATGAACCAAGACCTAGGAACATGTTACGATGACCCCTTTAGAATTATAGATTGTTACAAAAGCGAACAAGCGCTGTTTCTGAAGGGCTTGCGTGATAAAATAACCTGTAATGAAAGGGAAAAGATTCTTTTATTTGAAACAGGATTCACAAAGGACAGGGATTTCGGTGGAAGTGCAGAAGAAAACTGCATGAACTTGGAAATATTGGCTTTACTGGCAACGTCTCAGAGCCAGGCTATTAGAGAAGGTGTGAGAGAATGTGTCCCTCAAATATTCGAGCTTATCAAGTCACAGCCTTTACCTCCCTCCAGTATCCATATTTCTATGTTCAGGTCTTTTAGAATAATTATATCCCGAGTGGACCAGACTTCATTTTATAGCAAATACTTGGCCTTTTTCCTGACCGTGATTGAGATTAATCAGCAGTCCTTGTGTCTCAATGCAATTAAGAATGAGGTGCTCGAACTATTCTATCAAATGTTGAAAATGGACGGAAGAATCAAAGACAGGTTGAAAAGCAAAAAGATTGTTAGGATTTTGTGCAACCAAAATCTTCATGGTATAAAACTTCTCAATGAATTGATCGATAAGGATGTAGGGAGATACATTAAAATGGAACGCCTATTTGAGAGGTTAAACAATTCTAATGTAAGGAATAAGTTGGAAATACTCTCATGCTGCGTGAAACTGTACAAACTAAGCCATGTTGGCGATCCAAGAATAATGGAAAGGATATTATATGAGCTGGATGAGCTTGTGCAATATAAAAAGGAATTCCTAGTATTGATAGGATTCTTAGCTCAGAATGACACCCAAGCACAGCTGTTTTGTAGAGATATAGGACTTGTATCCAAAATTGTCGAGCGATTTCATGGAATACAGCCAAGCTTGCTGGAACCTGAGCTTTTATTTTGCTTGTACTCTCTAACAACAGAGTTAGAGGAGAATAGAAAAATTATCGCTAAAAGCAGCATAATTCCTAGTGTCTTTGGATCATTCAAGCAGAAGGTAAACAGAAAACAGATAGATCTTACTTTTTTCATGACTGTGATGTTACTAAAAAGCATGACTAAAAGCATTACGTTCCTTAGATCGGATCTCTTGGACTATCCTGCTGTAGAGTTACTAATATCTGTTTTGGACAATAAGTTCCCAGATACCGTGGATGGAATTGACCAAATGGTGGATGAGAAGGATTTGCAACCAGGGTTCATTGAAAAAAACATTCTAGATGTATTAATCAATTTAGTTATGGAGTATGGCGACTACAAAAATAAGTTCATAGCATCTGGAGGTGTCGAGAAGATCCTAAGCTACACACTCAGGTTTCCACATGTGGTTTTACAGATTTTCAAGAACTTTCTTTATGACACTGGCTTCAACTCAAGAGAAGTTTTTATTAAAGCAACAGATAGAGGATTCTTCAATAAGTTCCTCAATATGTATGAGGAGAGTAGGGATATGGAAATATTAGAGGGGTGCTTTAATCTGATGAGGAACCTTTTGTGTGATGACACCCTTGACTACATTGTGCAAAGCTATGAAGGCATGGTTGATTCGATATTTCTTTATTTGGATAAGTTTGCCAATGGAATGCCTATTTCGGAAAACACCAAAGAGGAGTGTGTTGTGCTACAGATATTGTACACTATAGTTAATTTAAGTGCCAGTTCGGACAAATTCAAAAGCTTAGTACTGATCAAAAAACACTTGGATAATATGAAAAAAGTAAGCACCACAAGAAGCCTTTCCATCGCATTCATATGGATTATAATAAACCTGTCATGGAAAGAGGAGGGGTCGGAAGACAGGGTTCAAATCCTATGCGCCAATGGCATAAAGGAATGGCTGGTTCGGATACAAGCGAAGGACTCTGTATTAGCAGACAAGATAGGAACTGCATTGGAAAACTTGAGATTAGTATAATTTCCTCCAGCTCAAGGTGGCTGAAGATGTATTGAGCCAAATAAACATAAATTTTGTTGACTCTAGTGACCTTATCAATCATTCCTTGAATCACATCTGTTTCACTGTAAGAAGTGAAGATCTAAAACAGATGAAACAGATGTTAATCTATAAACACCAAAGCCATGTTTTTAAGCTATTCAAGAATGAAAATTTGCTTACATAACTTGTACTTTGTACTCATTTTAATGGTGTTTACTCTGATCAACTGCAGAGGCTTGCACGTCCATGATTTGAACAGCAAGTCGTACCGTCACGATGAATTAAGGGGATGGAAGCACCCCGAGTTCCGTAGAGGTCTTTATATGGATAGAACGCATGTCCCTGTGTACGGCGGTAGAGGGATAATAACACTAGAAGATCTGAAGAGACCAAATGTCCCGGTAATAGTTCCTTACGAAGTGACACCAAAGCAGGTATTAACACTCCTACGTCATTAAAAAAACTTTATCCAAGAAGACTTAGTTCATAAAAAAGAAACCTGTTTAATAAGGGCTATTCTGCGCTGCTTAGAGTCCTACTTGGATATACAATGAATCCTTGATCTTTTAAATGCTCCATCATGAGAATGTCTTCTGCATGCAACAATCTTTTTTCTAGCCCTTCCGCTTCTAATAGGCTCTTGGAGTTTGCATTGGTTAAGGTCCGTGCAATGCACAGGTTTATAGAGAGAATGTAATAAATTACTCTCATTTAATTTTTCGAGCAAAGACATTTTAAACTATTTTCTGTTTCAAATTCCATTAGTGAGGATACAAATATCTAGAAATATGAATGGACTCCAGGACAGTGCTGTTTCAGAATGAGAGATCAGCCTTCCAGTAGTTTCAAAGGTCAAGAAAAGGGCATAATAGCTTTATTCATAGGGATTCCTTCTTATTATTATAGCTAATCATAGCTTCTAGCCACTTAAAAGCCCGAGCAAGGGGGCCAGTTATACTATTAGCACTTCCACTTGTTATGGTGACATAGAAAATCTTTACAACCTGGCCTCTTTCTGGATCCTCCTGATCTTCAATTCCTGTCTCCTGGCTAAGCCATGACTTCCATTGATAATCTGCTTCTGCAGTTTCTGGTGTGTGGCCCTCAAGATCGATTTTATTCATAAGTACAACAACCGGGGCTTTTTTCTCCAGAGACTTCACTGTCTCATACGCCTCCCTCACTTCGGAAAACCTCTCCACGTCATGAACATCGACTATAAACACAATTCCATGGCAGTCGTAAAAGTAGTCCCTCCATGCAAGTCTTGCTGCTGTATGCCCTCCGAGATCAATAACCTGAGCTTTTAAATTCCCTATTTCTATATAGGAAGTGCTAGGGTGGTGGGTAGGCATGTAAACATCTGTGGAGTCGCTTTTCAACTTATTTACTAAAGTAGTCTTTCCTGCATTGTCTATCCCAAGAAAGAGAATTGAAGAAGGCTTCCCAAAAAGGGATTTGACAAAGTTTTGAAACACCTTTTCATAAAACTCAGCTAGCTTGGCCTTCACAACGCCAAGATATTCTTGTATGTTATCGAGCATTATGTTTTGTTTTTTCCGGGGTTTGTTTTTTTAAATTTATATTCCTCAGCTCTAGTAAACACTTCAATTCCATCTGTGGATTAGACTTGGCTCATGCCCTTTCCTGAATGTATAAATCAACAAATGTATTTTATTTCTACTTCCTTATGGAACTCTTCCTATACAAGAAATCTAGGCTCTCAGAAAGTGGATTATGAAGTATTTCCTTATCGATATCTGTGTAATATGTCATGAAAAACAATGCATCGCATCCCTTTAGATATCTCTCCAACTCTCTGAGCACAGGAACCCCTGCACCTCCATCAATGCTAGGATCAAAGTCAATCTCTATACAGAATACCTTCTGCTTAACCACTATGTTTACAGAACCATAGAATTTAAGGCAGAATGCCCTAAATTGAAAGAATAGGCCGCTTGGTGTCATCTGCCAAGAAACTAGGTCTAGTCCTGCCAGCCTGATTAAGAGCTGTCTTAAGGAAAATGGAGATATATACACCCTGTTTAGTCTTATGTACCCATCAATTTCAAATACACTCAGTATATCCTCCAACCTGGGATTCTTTAAAAGATTATTTATCTTATGAATAAATCCCTCCATTCAGGGTGGGACATCACACAAAACATTATCTCTAAACCAAAGATAAACACTTTGGTTTTTGAAAGGATTACTTGGATCTTTTTTATTGGGTAGAACCACTATATTTGCCATCTGAGATTTATATGATTATGAAACAGGCTGTTTTACTTGAGGCTTAGCATAAAAGAAAATCATTTTGATAGACCTATGAGGCTATTTCTAATAACTCTCTCTGCAACGCATTTTGTGGATGCAACTCTATCTAGAACCCATGCATCCCACCATGGCACCCATCACATCCACCACCCAAGAGTAAGCAATCTCCGGCGGTATCACAGCTTCTTCCACCATTCCCATGGCAAGCCCCTAGGAGGAATGGGAATAATTGGGGCAAGAAGGATCTCTCCTGTTTATTTACCAGGAAATTCAAGTCCTTTAGTTGCGGATGTGGGCAATGATGCTGGAGAGAGCGGAGTTACATTGGCTCCAAGCGTTACTAATGGCTCTGAAGAAAGAAGCGTGGGAATATACATTTCCCCATCAAGAAGTGGGAAAACCACAAGTGGTAGGGATAGGTTAATTTCTTTGCACCATCTAATACATCATGCCCAAGGAGAGGCATTGAAAGCCAAAGCTATAAGTTCTGCTGCAAAGCTTCAGACCAGTGCATTACTTGCGCAAAAGCAAGAGTTAAATGCAAAGATAATGGCTAACAAGGCCGAGATGCTGAAAGAGGAGGAGCAAAGGCTTGTTGCCCAAAGGTCTGCTGACCCCTTAATATTGGTGAAGGACACAGTACCGATTGCAAATGTAGCAAACAATAACTTCAGCTTTGAGCATCACAACGAACTTCTAAGCAAGAAGCTTGATATGATAAAGAAAGATCAGGACGATGCAGTGAGGAAGGCAGAAAACATTGCTCGGCTGCATAAGGCAAGAACACGAATTCTTCCAGACAGCTTGGTTTCTTCTGATCCAAGACAATTTAAAGACTTTGTCAATAGTGGGCCTATAAAGGATTTAACCTTTGAGATTCCCGTTGATCCATCGGTGGGAAATTATTATATCTCTGGTAATCCTGGGGAAGACCTCCAAAGTTCCGAGGCAAAACTAACAACAGGAGATCTGCCTTATTTTCTCGCTCATAGCGATGGCCTTGATTTGAACCAATCTTACCATCCTTAGATGGTGATTCTGCAGGCTCGGCCTTGAGTTAAATTAATTAAAGATCAATTCTTGTAACCTTATGACTGACAAAACCCAGTGCCGGCAAGATTAGAAATAGAATACAACTTTATTGTGTAGAGTCTGATGAGCTACTGAAGCTGTTGTTTAAGTCTTGGACGTTATTAAGCGAGGAATCATGCGATGGTTGATGGTCTGTTAGCCAGCTGCCATGAAGTTTGGATTTCAAAGAGAGGTGTGATCCTCTCAAACCGTATCCCAATCTGTATTGGCGTGCCATGATAATTTCAAGAAACAAATATAAAAATTGCATTTTTCTCTTCATATTTTAGAGCTTTTAAACACACGCCACATAAATTTCCCTCTAGCCATCTATTCAAAACAGTTTGAGAGAGCATCAATGAAAAAAAGTGATTGACCCGGGGAATCTGTCAGATAGTCAGAAGCCATACCTATATGTGGCTATATCTAGTCAAGATGCTAATTAGCTATCTTTGGCCTTCCCGCTATTTCCCATGGCTAGGTGATTAATTATTATATGATGGGAAGAGACCCTTTTAATGGCAATGGAGAGTGCAAAAGGGATTCTAAGAGTGGAAAATGTAGAGATCACCGTAGAAGAGGGTGTGGTATGTAGAGGCCAAAGAATATTGGCGGTAGGAATTTACGGAATTACCGGGCTTTACAACGCTCTTCGAGATGCCTTGATGGCATCGCTGACCGTTCCCGCTGCCACAGACAGCAACTTGAAGTTTCATGGGCGTATTTTCTTTGAAGGCAACCTTATAAGTTACAAAGAGCTTCAGAAGATGATGAATCCGTTTGTGATGTTTTATTCCTGTGAAAGTGTACAAAGTTCGCTTGAATTTGTGAATTTCTCTAAGGTTAAGGATGTAATGGATATTTTTGATTTGGATAGAATTAAGAAACTGCCCATATCAAAGCTAACGGTTTCTGAGTCCAGAAGGTGGGAGGCTGCCATAAGTGCCGCTTCTGAATCAAAAGTTATTGTTCTTCGAGATTTTCATGCCACCTATGAGGCTACAAAAAAGTATCTGTCGTTTCTAGGGGAATGTGCAAGAAGAAATAGGTCTATTGTCCTGGTAGAGGTTGATTCTCCTTTGGAATATGATTTGGATGGGTGTATTATCATAGGAAAGAATGATTTTGAATGTATCAACTTCTCTACAGAAAAAGACCTTTGCAAGTATAGAGAAATATTGTTTAAAAGCTTTTTGAAAGGTCTTGAAGTAAAATGCGATAGTAAGAAACAAGCAAAGAAAGACGATTCCGAAGTATTTGGAAGTATGTTTCTCGGTTCACCAACAGACACGGGGGGACATTTTGATGTTCTTGAGAGCATTGTCAGGCCTTCAGGGAAAGAGGCGGGTTCTGGCATAGTCTATTATAAAGGTACCGAACAAGCAAGAAACCATGTAGAGGGTTTTTTATTGAAGACCTGTGACACCATTAACCATGCTGAAACGACGATCTTTGAAGACATCACGGTTCTTCACAATGTCCAAGGCATTAGGCCCTTCTCAAATACGGAGCAGAAGGCTTCAGCCACTACATCAAGGCCCGTTTGTAAGTACTTCTTGGGATATGAGATGAAAGATGGGATGAAAGAACTGCTCTTCGAATGGTTCCTCTCAGTAGACATTAGGCTTTCTTTACTACTCACAAGAAGAAAATACTTCCTCGAAGAAAAGAGGCCTAAGGGCTTTAAAAAGTTTATGGTGTCATTTCTGATGCACATATATCTAGCAATTATTCTAAGGTTCAAGGCATCTGTATTTAATGATGCTGTTTCCATTTCCGACATTTTCCAAGGCTTCTTAGAAGCATTTAGAGAAAGACAAACCTTTCTTTCAGAACTAATGGGAAGGATTCTTGCCGCTTCCATCCGCGATGTAATATACAGTATGATGCATGCACCCCGTGCTTCTGTTGCCTTAGCCTTTTCTACCGGAAGGATGGCAAGAGAGATTATTTGGCGAATAAGGGTGTACAATTGGGACTTGGTAGATTACAAAATCATATCAACAGGGGTGTACTTTTTTATTTTTACAAAGGGTGGCACTATTATTAACGAGGAAAGGGCCCAGATTCATAGCCATGCTAACAGAATTTACTCGTCCGGAACTTATTTTTTCCACATCTTCATTTATTTGATTTTAAAATCATGGATTCCTGTTCTTCTAATGTCTTACATCCTCAACTTTAACTTTGTCCTGATTTTTCTTATAACAGGTACTTTCACTTGTACTTTGATGAACTTGGTCTTGAATCTGAAGTTGAAGTATCTGTTTATGTGCATGATTCTTGCATTTAACCTGTTGTATCCCCTAGACCAGGAATGCTATCAAAAGAGCTTTTTTCTTAGGTATTCTGAGTCATTCAACTTTCTGGTTGCGTGTAGGCAATTTCCACTGGCATGCCCTAAAGAAAAGTTTATGCTTCTGTGCTGCCTGCTGAGAGCATTTCTGTTCATATATCTTTTCTTCTGTTATACGTTTTCAAAACTTTATGATTAGAGGTGTGAGGTATAGAAGACGAATTGGAGGTTAATAAGAGAGATAAGTATGTTAGGAATTTAATGATGCGGTAATTAATCGATCTCTTTAATGAAAAGAGAAATTTATAGGGTGAATGCCTATTATTCTTGATTACTTTTCCTGGAAGGCAGTAAGTCTTTTTTTTGTATAATAAGGGGAACCTGGAAATAAATTCGTTGATACTCAAATTTCCTTAAGATACATATTACTGCATAAAACTATAAATAATCAAAAAATCACTCACCCATCATGAGTAAAGGCAAAATCATCCAATTATCCATAGTTACGCTTCTTGGCGCGGCCATAACTATTCTGGCGTTATACATGTTCAGCGAAGGTCCAACGGGAACCCTTACACACGATGATATCAAATCACTCAGTGCTGAAAATCCATTCAGGTTTAAGGATTCTGGTGAAAACGGAGAAAACACCGTTACAGAGGTTAAGTTCTTTACTTGTTTGAACAAAATTTTGAAGTCCCTGAAATCCGCAGATAATAATCTTATTCGAGTTTTGTGCTGCAACGAAATTCTTGAAAAAGAAGCAGAGGAAAAAGGAAATGGTGAAAGGGAGGCACATGTAAGGAATGCGATCATTGAAGCTAGAAACTTGATGTTTGGGGTCTCAAATTCCAAAGAGACTATTGAAAAGATATTGAAGAAAGGAAATGAAAAAAGCGGTGAGGAACTTATAGAAGCTATTCCAAGTGCATTTTTTGAAGCCCTATCAGCCGAGCAACCCCATAAACAAGCAAAGGGTGAGGAGCTCAACACTGCACTGGCCAATCTTTTTATCTGGTTATGGCTCAATGGATCTCTTCCAGAGGATAAGAATACACAAACATTCCGCAAGACTTATGCAGACAATCAGAGTGTTCAAAACCTTCTCAAGAGTCTGGATGAGGAAACCAAAGGGGTTGCAAACTCAAAAATATCTGTTACAATAGAAAACAAGGAAATTAGCATGTCAGTGATTGAGCACATACTTACCTCCATATTCCAAGCAAGTATGCGCATGGGAAGTGGTATTCCTCAGGTTAGCTTGCCAGTAAAAATGGCTATTATATCTGCAGGAGCAGGTTTAGAAAAAGAAAAGCCTAAGGATATTAATCAGGGAAAGGGAATTATTGAGTTTCTTTTTGGATCGAATGAAGATAAAAGCAAGAACGAAACTTCTGCTGACGAAGCTAAGTCTACTACTGATGCTGATGGTGCGAAATAAAGAATATCGAATGGCACCTAAGGCCCTCTGTATAACTGGGGACCTAATATTATCCAGTAATTCGCTCTCAACTTCTAAAGTACGTTTAAGGCCGAAAATAAATCTCTCTTATTCTTAATTTTATTTTTGGGGCAGATACAAAATTACGTGTATAGCTTAGTTAAGTGAATGAATTTCGAGGTTATGTCTGCCATACAGATTTCGTACAGTTAAGAGTGCAACCTGGGTATTGTGCACACACAACATTTGAAGGAGAATAAAGAAATCCTTTGTGAATTTGAAGTTGTGGAACGCTATATCTAACAAATTTATTGGGGTAAGTCTTTTTCTTTCCGTTTAAGGAATATTCGAAAGTATAAATGGTAAAAAAATCAGGCCCTAATGATGAAATCAAGAAAGTTTATCATTATTAATGCTTCTTTACTTGTAGTAGGGCTTACTATCTGGTATGTTCTACATAACTTCTACTGGGTGTTCATGAGCGATAAGGATGCAGATTTGATATTTGATAAGTCCAAGCTTAGAGGAAAGTTCGAGGACAATGATAAAGTTATAGAAGGGCCAGCTTTCTTCAACTTTGTGTATAAATTCCTCTCGACTTTGGATGAATATGTCATAGGTGATTCGTGCGTTGAAGGTGTTTATGACAAGAATAACGTTTCTGGTAAAGAGGCCTACTTGAGAGACGGGCTCGAAATGGCTACCAAGACTCTTTTCAAGAACAAAAATGTAAAGAAGGATCTGGAGGAAATACTTGGGTCGAACATTTCTGATATTGTTGCAGCTATGAAGAAAGAGGAAAAGGCTCGGGAAGCGGAGGATGTTGCTGAGGGATTAAAGGACAACAGCCACATTGTTACCATGGTGTCTAAGGCTTTTATTTATATTCTTCTCAAGGAAAGGATAAATCTTTCAGAATACAATATATATCTTGATAAGGTAAGAAGTAATTTCAATGAAATCACCCTAGAACATTTGAAGAGAATTGGCACCTATGAGAAGATATCTCTTTTCCAAGGAGAAAGCGATGAGTGTACGGAGATTTACGATTACCTTCGTATTGTAATGTTCTCAACTAGTAAGCTTATCCCTGAAGATTCCGCAAGTACAACTAATTGAATTATTTATTCATAGTATTTCATCATTCTCATCTATTTTCCATGATTAATGTTTATTTCTTTTGTCCCTCCCCAGGTACTAAAGGAAGATGTCAAAAGTGTTGACAGAATATTCCGCTACAGTAACAATGATAACATCTATGATGGGTGCAAGCATATACTTCACACCTGTTGCATTCAGATTTGTCGGATACATTTATGGATGGATCATTATCTTCATAGTTGCTCTACTTACGTCGTTTTCCTTGTATTGTATCTCATACTCTGCAATGAATATGCCTGTAGGCCCGACATACTCATCATTAGGTGCCTGTATATCTCCAAAACTCAAGAATGTCCTCGATGCATTCGTCATTGTAAATAGTTTAACTGCAAATATTTGTCTCTACAGATATCTTTCGGAGCTGATTGTGGCTGCATTCCCGGTACTACTACTTGTTTTCCCAAGCTATGAAACTGCTAGAAAAGGAGTTGTAGTTGTCCTTTTAATCCCGCTTCTTACCCTTTCTTTCCATAAAAACCTCTCTAGCTTGAGATATGTGTCACTTGCTATGGTTGTTTCTATCGTATACTTCATTTTACTTCTTATATCTTACAACCTTCTTTTTTATCCCGGACGCTCCAATTACGAAACGACTCCTTTCGGAAATGGATTTTTCTTTTCAGTTCCGATCTTTATAACTGCAATGGCATGCCAATCGAATATGGTGAAAGTTCTAGATGAGATGGCAAGCTATTCTGTGAGAAAAGTCAAGTTTGTATCAATATGGAGTGGGGTTGGAGGAGGATTGATCTATGGATCAATAGGCCATCTCGGATATTCATTGTTTGGAAACGGGCTTGATGGAGACTTGTTAGGAATATTTGCAGACAAAAACTCTGTGATAAATGCTCAGCTAGCAGGAACTATTGATAGATACCTTGTGTCCTCAAAGATAGCGGTGTATGGGTCCATGCTGATCTTCATTGGGAGCTTTCCAATGCAGCTGAATCCCTTGATAACTACTCTATTCAACATCTTCCCAGAAAGAAGAAGAACAGAAAATATCCGGCTTATCTTGATGGTCTTTTTGATGATTCTTTGTTTCTCATTGGCTTTAATTCGAGACTTGTCAGCAGGTCTTGTAATAAGTATAGCAGGTGCAACGGTAACAAATTTCATATCTTTTCTCTTTCCATTTGTATTCTTTATATCGGCAAAGAAGAAATTCTCCACCAGTACATTTCTAGCTTTGGTATCAATGGTGGCCTGTATTTCTAGCTCTATATACATGGTATTCAACATACTAGGAAAAACCACAGATAGGTCCATGTAACCTAGTCTCTTGATAAACACACATACATTCAGATTTTATTTAGAAAATTTAATAATTATAGACATCTTTAGCTTCTAACAATAGGAGGCTCCCTGACTAATATTTTTTTCGGCCTTCCAGGGCCACGTTTGAGCAGGTTTCTATCGGACTGGCACTTCACCGGCAAATCTACAACAGGCGTTATGTCTTTGAGTTTCAATAACCTCGCCTTAGAATACAAATCACTAACGTAAGAATACGGATCTTCCTCGGAGTCAAGTATCTTTTTGCAAGCATGGGAGCATGGTATTAAAAACTCCTGGAATCTCCCGCATGTGCATGTCAGATTTTCTAGATCAACATCATGAGAAGTTTCTGTAACATCCATGGATAGATTCTTCTCTATCCTGCGTATGACGTTGTTACCAAATAGATGTTTCCCCTCTCCAAGAGGAGATTTTTTCCTTTGCTTCAGATTATCACTGGCTAGCTTCAAAATCCCACAGATACAGTCAAAAAATGGAAGATTGAAGATCCCTAATCCAATAAACTCAACATCACACTCACTTGTATTCTGTAATCCAAACATCTCAGTCTCGCAACAGCTCTTTAGATACTGCTTCTTATCTATAAAGTTGAGCTCAGGGATACTCCATTCCTTATCGTTATTACATTTGCTCCAAATGTTTTCCACCGTATCAATCGACTTGGTCTTGTTGTAATAGAACTTACATATATCACGGGTTTTAACAAAAAACTCCCTCTTTTTTTCTTTAAGAATGTTGATGAGGTTAACATCAAAGTCCACAAGAAAGAACAATTCTGGCATCGAATCAACAAAGTACCTAAATGCGTCTTCTTGACTTCCCAGATCAGAAACCACGCAGGAGTATATGATGGGAGACCATGTGGGGTCTCGGAGAATTCCTAGAACGGTAAAGCCCTCTATTCTTTTGTATATTCTTATTTCAACAATTGGAACAAGAGTGTCGATATATTCAGGAAAAGAGAAGAAGAACATCTTCTCCCGATGATGTGCAATTGCGCTAGGATTAAGTTCTAAAAACTCATGGCTAAATTCCTTGAGAGCCGTCTCAAACAGTTCAGTCTTCCTGTTCTCCTCCAAAGGGCTTATTCTTATGTTTTCCTTCTCCATCTCATTTCCCTGTCTCATGGCCTTCCAGACAGAAAAATACCCCATCTTTATATTCATACCAGCAAGAATAGACACAACCTCCCCTATCCTTGCATGCCTATCTCCTATAGCCCTATACACCTCCATTCGAACCATCTCCTCAGGAGACCCATACTTCGATGTCACAGAAGGACACTTATGCGATAATCTAACTCTTTTCACCACAAATACACCGTCTTTTTTTCTTACCTGTGCAACAATTCTAGCTTCACAGCCAAACTCTTTTCTTCCTTTGCATAGCACTGCAACAGACTTTGGTGTCTCCTCGAGGTCATAGTTGAGGTTACTCTGCACAGCATGGCTTATTAAAACTTTCTCTGCCTCCTCCTTTGTGGGAAAGACATCACCAACAGACAGCCCTTTCATTAAGGGGTTTACTATTCAACAGATTTTATTCCTCATAACCGATAGAACGGCAATGGTCTGGCTAACTTCTGACGTCTTCCCGCAGAAACATGAACATAAAGAGTGCATCAAGGCCTTTCATATTTGTTTTTATGTTTGTCTTTTCCCTTAGAGCAATATATACAGCATATATTACTTTTCTTTTTTCCCATTCCCTCATTATCAACAGTCTCCCTTGTCCAGGTTACATGTCTCGGCTTTTTCTGTACCAGCTTAAGCTTCATCTTAGTCACAGTCACCGTGCTTGACATATCCCAGGGCTTGTTTACTATTGAATAAAAATAAACCCAAAACTATCTATGCATCTTATTCTGCCCTGGCTCTGGGCTAAGGAAAATATCTGCTGTGTTCGTCATTTCTTTTTTATCCAAAAATTACCCACGCAATGAGGGAATATAGGCTGAAAACAGTGATTCCAACGGAATCAGAAGCAAGAGGGCTCTATTATGATGGGGATGTCTATTTTTCAGCAAACAACCACTTATTCAAGGCTTCCAAAGGCAAATATACCAAGATTTGCGATGTTGGGGGAACCATCATGGACTTCAGCGTATCTGAAAAGCTCTTCATAGTCACAGAAGAGAGAATGTATATGAACAATGAAAGTAAGATGTTAGGGTCTCTCAAGAGAAGATTTTCCTGCATATCAGTCAATAAAGACCTGATTGCTGTGGGGTTCTCAAACGTCTTGGAGATATGGCATATCCCTAAGGAATTCAAGCTCCCTTTATTTGATCAGCATTCAAGAAATCTTGGGCATTTTTTGGATATCACAAGCGTTAGATTCATGGATGATAATACAGTGGTAACGACAAGCAGAGATTGTACGGTTCGATTGTTCGACATTCAGGCCCATAGGTCCATCCGAATATGCAGCACAATGAGTGTTCCAATAGCTGCGTATTTCATAGATGAAGAGAAAAAGAAGCTGGTTGTTGTTTGCGAGGATGGGGCTCTACTATATTTCACGATAGAGGGTGAAAACATCTCTTCCAAGGGGATTATTCATTTGGACTCAAAGGTTTTAGCCACTAGTTACCACCTAGGTTTTGTGGCTATTTCTCTCGACAAAGAATCTGGAGAGAATATGCTTATTTACAATGGGCAAGAGATAGTTCATTGTGCTACTGTAGAACATAAAATTCTAAGCATGCATCTATATGGAAATACCATTGCCGTGAGGGGGCCCAAATTCGTTGGTATATATGATTTGGCCATCAACTTGTTCGTATTTGAGTTAGATCTTCCTCGAATAATATCGATGGATGTAAAGAAAGAAATGATAGCTGTAGGATGTGCAGACAAGAAGGTAAGGATATATGATGGACGAAGATGCATCCATACATTTTCAGATCCAAATATTGCACATGCTATCTTCAATGTGCATCTCCTTCAGAATTCTGTTTTGTGCCTTTGCTTGGATGGGAGAGTATCTATTTGGGATATAAAAAACGGGGTCTGCTATAGATCGTTTCAAATCGCAGTGAGGATGTCGGCTTCTGAAGTCAGTGATGACAATCTTTTACTATTCATTGCAGACTTCAGTAACTATTCTATAAGGGTTGTGGATCTTCAGAGAGGAAAGGAGATTGACACCCTGAAAGGCCATGATGGCCCTGTGTTTAAAATGAAATGGGACGCAGATTCTCTGTACACACTTTCTTATGACAATACAATCAGAAGATGGAATGTCTATTCTCAGACGGTTGAGGAGCTTCAGATCAAGAAGATGGCCACAGGGTTTTCTGTAAGGAATCGTAAACTCTGTGTTTCCACAGTGAATGAACTAACTATTTATGACCCCGACTTTAATTATGAAAGGGAAATAAAAGTATCCTTGAAGGCTAGAAAAAGAAATGAAATCTTCATTAGTGAAAAACCTGTGGAAAGCCTTGATTTCACATTTGATAATAGATTTATAGTTTCTGGAGGAGAAGCAAACACAATAAAGGTAATATCAGTAGATACAGGTGATGTTGTCCAGACACTTCGTGTTTCCGACAACAAGGAGTGGGAAAACTATAAAGAGGTCCTTGGGAAGGAGTCATTTAAGCCTTTTGACAAGACAAAGATTATTGAAGTATTGAAGATAGTCCATAGCAGCAGCCAAAGAGAGTTCTATGTTCTTACCAGGGAAGGCGTAAGCATATATGAACCTTCATTCATCAAGTTCATGCCTCTTCATCTGGATGTGTCCTTGACTCCAGAGTCCATCCGAAGGTATCTGGACACCGGAGAGTATTTGAAGGCAGCGATTGGGTCCTTGAAGATTAATGAGTACGAGATTGTAAAGGAGGTTGTAGTTTCCTGCCCAACTGAAAAGATTGAAGGAGTAGTCAAACATTTAGACATGGAGCTAGTTGTAGGTCTAAGGTCCATGATATCAAGAATGCTTGACAACTCGATGTACCACTTGGTAGCAATCAGATGGCTAAAGTTCATTGTTTTCTATTTTGGATCATCGGAAATGCAAGGGACAGACCTCCATAAGTTTAGGAAGAACATTGGTTTGACACTAAAGATGGGAAGACTGAACAAGTCGATGATGCTAAACATCATCAAGAAATGACGTCTTAGACAATTCATTCAATTGGTCAAAAAAACGTAGTTCCACCCAATGGAACAGATGGTCTCTGAGACAAAAGAATATTAGGACAAGTGAATAAACCTCTAATGTGTTGTGGTACTGACCTTTGTTGTTTCTTTGGATGCAGATCTTCTGCGGAAAAGGTAGATAAACCAGAGGGATATCCTGAGCCTCCAAAGAAGTTCTTATGCCCTTACTGTGGATACTTAACTGATTCAGAATATAGGCACGATAAATACTCATTCTGTATATGCTTTATCCCATGTATTCCGTGGGGAAACAGCTATCCATATCTTTCTTGTAGCCATTGTAAAAGAAATCTAGGAAGCATTGGAGATTACAGATGCCAAAAGTGTGGTGTAGCTACGACATTCGAATCAAGTAATTGCCCCAACTGCGGAGAAGAGAAGGGCCATTCTGGTGGAAGCGGAGGATATAGGAGGTTAGATATGAGTTAAAACAGATGAGATAGTTGATTAAAGGTTTTATTATCCTACCCATTTCTTTATTTCTGAGTGGAGGGAGTTAATTCTTCTGTAGAATGTCTATCAGAGTCCTTACGGTCCCTACTAAGGTTGCACTTGTGAATATCATGGCAAGGATGCAAACAGCAGTAAAGAACCTAACCTTCCGAGATGCAAAGATATAGCATATAAATGGATGATATACTAATAGAGGGGTTATTCCTATCACAATCAATACCATGTAGAAGTGGAATGAGCCGATTATCTCATTGAATAAGACCTGTATAAACACCACGCTCAGCATAAAGAGAGACAGCACCCATAACTTGTTGTCGCTTTCTGCACTCACTAGGTTTTTAAATGATTCAACAAATCCATCAAATTGTATCACAAACAATGAAATGCATATTATAGGGACAAATATGCACATCGCCTTGGTTGTGATGCAGTATTTGTCAATTGTATATTTCCTCAGGTAGACGTTTAGCTTGGATGACTTGGAAAATATGAGGTTTAGAATGTCCAGAGAATTATAACTAGATCTTATCCATCCCGCAGAATGTAATAGGATTAGGTACATTCCAGGAACTGCCAGCATCGCTGAGATGGCCACATACTTGCCATTCTCGTTGTGTTGCGACTCTCCTATGATCTTCACGCCTCCAGATATGAATTCCATTGTGTAAAATGCTATAGTAGTTACCCAAAAGAATGACGGAAGCATACTTCCTTGAGAATACGACGGCTTGGGGAGAGCTGAGTTCATTCCTAAGAAATATCCAACCAGTACAGTGGTTACAAAAAGAATGCTTGCCGATGCAGAGGCAATTAGAAACATCTTCCTGGTGAATGTCGAAAAAACGTATAGGGTTAATCCCACTAGTGCCGATCCTAATCCAAATAGTATTTTGTATATGGCCATAGACTTTCTGATTTCATCCAAGAACGGGAAATAGATAAATAGCACGTTGAAAAACACATCCACGGTAATAAGAAGAGTTGTATACTTCGAGGCTACTACAAACACATCGACAGCTTCTGATAAAATCCTTGAAACTCCTTTTGACATGTCTCCCAAGGATTTCACGCTTTCTTCGCTTCTTTTCTTCCCTACATATTCTATTATATATAGAGATAGTCCAAGAAGCATTCCTGATGCAATTATTCCATAGGTATAATACCCAGTCTTTATCCCCTTTGTGAAATATGTAAGAGACAGAAACACGGGAACTAGAGGGGAGGTCCCAACTATCTTATAGGTCTGCCCAAGTGTAGAGCATACCCGACTTCTTGTATTTTCCATGTGTTTATTCGACGAGAACAATAATAAGAAAAACATGAAACATGTATCATTAATTCAATCAGTATGCCGTTTCAGAAATAGCCAATGCCTTGTGACCTTAGGATATATATATCAGAAGTAAAACATTTAACATGACTCATCTTTCAAAAATTGTGAATCCAAGTAAAGTAGAATAGATGGAGTCTATGGAGCAAGAATGTTTCTCCGTAATCTTATGAATCTTATCTACGACTTCGTTGCTCATCTTCCACTTTCTTTTGAAGCCTTCCTCTATAATCCATTGTATAACAACACAGTTCTTAAATGTTCCTTGCTTCAGAACAACATCAAACAGCACCTTCTGCTTGTCTTCAAAAATGTCAAAGACTTCCTCAGATCTTTCTCTGTAACACTTCACCAATGTCTTAAATAGTAGCTTGTAGTCCTCAGTCTTGGAAAGTATCTCAACAGCTTTAACATTTAGGTTGTTCCTCAGGCATTTATCCAGCTCAATCGCCTGCATTTCCTTCTTGTTTTTCTTTTCGATCCTTTTGGCCTCCACATCTAGAGAATCATCTTCAAAAAAAGCAATCGATCCACCCCCGGAAGTTATAAGGGTCGGTGCACTGATAAAAGACCATGCCATTCCCTTGTGAACTCCAATGTTCATTTCACATATTTTCTTTTTAACATCCCAAACCTTCATTTCCCCGGTTGCACATCCTGAAATAAACTTCTCATCGTTCTTATAGAATCCTCCCTTCAGCACACCACTTCTGTGCCCAGTAAGGGTCCCGATACACTCAAAGGTCTCTATCTTCCAAACCTTTACAGTAGTATCTGCCGAGCATGTTGCCATCAGGTTTTTACCAAATCCTACGCTCCATACTCCTTTTGTGTGGCCGGAAAGCACATGAAGAATTCTCCCCTCGAAGTTCAAAACCTTCGCTTTCTTATCCTGGGAACATGTTGCAATGAGCCCTCTCTCCTCGTTTATTTCCACCCCATTAATTTCTTTATCGTGGACTCTCTCCATAAACACGTTGTCCTTATAATCCCATATCTGAAGAATCTGGTCACTTCCAGCAAGCACAAAAATCGAAACCCCGAGAGCACATCCATTGAGCCCTCCAAGGCTGTTTTCCAATGTTCTAATCCTTGACAAAGACAATCTTCTCTTCTGGCTGGACACGTCTTCCGATCCAATTTTCCAAAGAATGGCCTTTTTGTCTCTTGAGACTGTCATCAGGAAGTCTTCATGGATAGACAAAGACATAATGGCTTCTCCATGTGCCGGGATGATGTGTCCAGTAAACGCATAGTCTCCTGAGCAGTCGTCAATAAATGTGTACCTTAGCCTTCCACTGTTAGTAGCAACAAACAACACATCGTTCCATTGTTTCATATCCGTCACCTCGTCGTTGTTTCCAACAATAATCGAAGTAACCCTCAAGTTTTCATCAACAAAAAGTATCTCTTGCTCATTAGTCAATATCATATCTTTTGATATTCCTTCAATGGCCATTTCATCGTCTTCCTCAACATCTCCTTCCAATGCATCATTCCTCATATCAGTACTATACTTCCTTTTCTTAAAACCATCGTCCGATCCACTTTCATCTTCATAGCAATCATCACTGTTTTCTCCGCAGCTTTCGTATAGTTCCTTCCCATTTGGAGATCCATTTTCTTCACTTTCATCTTCAAAGCTAACATCCTCTTTCCCTATCTTCACCATGCTCTGTACCATTTCACTTTCCGATCCCAGAATATCTCTTTTCCGTTGGAATCTTCCGTCATAGCTATATGTATAAACCGTTCGGCCCTTACATACATACAAAAACTTGCTGTCTCCAACCATGAAGTCACATCTCATCCCTAATGATATCCTCTTAGACTTTTCCGGGATGGCCAAAATCCCTTCTCTTGAGATAGTATAAACATGATCCCCGTTGTATGCTATTCCTACAACATCTGGTTCCTGATACTTCAAAAGATCCTCTCCTCCCCTATAAATCCACAATTCATTGGAGTCAGTTGAGCACACCATATTTTCAAATCTTACCATCTTTGTTATCATATTGTCCATCCTGTATGACCATACAAGCGCCTTACTAATCAAGTCTATCTTGGAAACAGACCCATCAACTCTTCCAACTATAACAGAAAAGATCTTTGGCTTTGAATCAGAAAGTTCCAGCTCATCAATAAACATAGCACATGCTTCTGACTTTGAAAGTGGAATAAAGTCTTCCTGCATTTCAAGTACAACATTATACACAACTATCCCTTTGGAACACACAACCATGTAATCGTCTCTAATGTCAAAGCATTGAAGAGACTCAAACGGTATTTCTCTAAGAATTCGGGACGTCTTGATGTCGGTTTCTATTATAAGGTCGTTATATTGGGTATACATCATATCTCCTTGTTTTTTTGGCATCCCCGCAGTTAGTATTGGCTTCATCTGCTTCTTCAGATTGAAATGTACCTTCATAAAGCTCACTAGTGGGTTAGAAAATATCCCCGAAATTCAACGGCTCCAGCTAAATCGGCCACTGAAAAGTTTTATCTGATTTCTCATGCGCATCTAATGAATTTAAATCTATCGAATAGAAGAAATATGGCATTACTATTTTCATGGAAAATGCTTCTCTCCACAGCTTGTATGTCTTCAAGAACATAGATTAGGTCATGATCTCTGGAAATTTCATCTATTCTCTCCTTGCATTTAGAAGCATCATACACAACAAAAACTTCCTTTTTAACACCTGCAAACAGCTTGTAAACCAATGGAATCTTGCCACAGAAATCAAAAATAACCACAGTTGCCTTCATCCTCTTGATCTCTTCAACCTGCTTCCGAATCTCCTTTGGCCTCAAGAACTCCGTGGCTCTTTTGGAGTAGTACTTGTATATATCAGTCGGCTCCATGGGGCTAAGTAACTTTAAATGCATTCAGTCTCTTCATGATTATACCCCATCATCCCCAGATGGTTCCTATTCTCTATGGATCACAAACAGGAACATCGATCTATGTCAGTAAATTAATAGAAAGAGCAATTCTATATGGATATGACGCAAGAACGATTTATAACTTGGAGAGCTTTTCCTCCAGCCAAGATCAGAGAAGTATGTCTATAGTGGTGGAGATGGATCTTTTTGACATCGAAAAAATCATTGATGTAGACTTTATTATATTTGTTTGTTCAACACATGGAGACGGAACTGAGCCATTCAACATGACTAAGTTCTGGTCGTTTCTGTCAAACGATAGCTTGCCAAGCACCATCCTGTCTCATTTGAGCTTTGCTGTTTTTGGTCTTGGAGACTCTTCATATGAAAAGTTCAATTACTGCTCCAAAAGGCTCTTCAACCGACTCAAGATGCTTGGAGGAAGGCCTGTAATAAGAAGAGGGTGTGGAGATTCACAGGACAAAGAGGGGTATCTTTCTGATCTTAGGCCTTGGTTACTGGAACTTGTGACTTATATGAAAAGTTATAGGACAAAGGATATCATCCTTATTCCTCCTAAGCCTGAGGAATACATTTCAAGATTGGTTGGGAAAAGACAGCTAACACCCGAGGATCATTTTCAAAAGATAGTGGAGTTTGTCTTTGATATTCCTGGGTACAAGGACTTCTCTCCTGGAGACTGCTTATCTTTTCTTCCAGAAAACTACAATTACAAAGAATTCATGAGTTATAACGGCATAGAAGAAGAAGAAATGGATGGAGTATTGTCCACATGGCTAGTGAGACAGGTTATAGACTTTAATTCACAGCCACATCAACCATTCTTTTTTGCACTTGGGCACTTTCTAAGGCAGAAGATTGATGTTGAGGAAGAAATCCTTCTAAAAGTAGAGGAGATTGCTGAGGATTATGATCTATACTACGACTATATAATCAAACCAAAAAGAACGGTGTTTGAAGTTCTTAAGGATCTGAAGGTGAAAGTTGACATTGCATTTCTTAGGAGATTCGGTCCTACTTTATACCCAAGATTCTTTTCAGTAACAAAGAAGGAGGGGCTGTACCACATTACTGCCTCCATTGTAAGGTATAAAACCCTCCTTGCCCAGCCTAGGAAAGGAGTTTGCTCCGAATACCTGATGAGTATGAGCCTAAATAATACAGTTAGGGTAGGTGTTGGAAGGAGTAATCTGTACTTTGGCTCGGATAAGCTATTGTTTATATGCACAGGGACTGGGATAGCCTTGCCAAGGGCCTGCGTCCATGAATTCAAGGATAAGGAAATGGTTATATTTTACGGATTCAGGCATAGACACAAAGATTTTTTATATTCTGATGAATGGAATAATAAAAACGTGAGAATAATTACTGCAGCATCCAGAGATGATAAGGTTTATGTCCAAGACATTTTCAGGAAAAACCCTGTTGAAGGAATTGATCAGTATCTGATATTTGTGAGTGGAAGCTCAAGATTAAATAAGGTTGTTAGAGGGGTTTTACAAGATGTGTATGGAAAGGTAGTTGTATTCCAGTCTGAAACATGGTAGTTTATTCCTGCAAGCCTCTTTGTGACTCTAATGGAAGATAGTAAAAGCAAAAATTTGCGCCACCCCAAGAAATGGTAAGTGGAAATTAAGAAGTAGATCTAATTTTTAGGCGATACAACCACCAGGATCGTACCCACAAGGTAACAGGAAAGGGAAGGCCAAAAAGAAGACAGGGCAGGATTCATTTGCAAGGAAAGAATGGTACAACCTCCGATCTCCTTCTATTTTCCCCAGCAACATCAACGGAAAAACCCTTGTGTCAAAGGCTACAGGTAAGAATGCTCACATGAGAGCTATTGGAAGGAGATATGATGTCAATCATGCCGACCTTACCAAGAACAATGATGTTGCACACAGAAAGTTCATATTTAAGATAGGCGATGTTAAGGGTGCAGACTGCATTGGGTTTTTTGATGGAATGGAGCTAACATCTGATAAGCATAAAGCAATGATCAAGAAATGGCATTCACTTATTGAGGCTCAAAAAGATATAGTTGCAAAGGATCAAAGTGTTTTCAGAGTATTTGTCATGGCAGTCACCAAAAGGCCACACGGATACACCAAGAAAACATGCTACGTTAAACACTCTGATGAGAAAAGGATCAGGAAGATCATGTTCGATGTCATTGAGGAAGAGCTAGGAGGGCGCAGTGTTGATGATATTATGAGCAAGCTTTCGAATGAGACTGTTGGAAAGAGAATTGAGGAGCTGGGAAGTGAGATATTCCCCCTTCAGAATTGTTGCGTTAGAAAGGTCAAGACAATCAAGAGCTACCAGACAGCCACCATTACCCAACAAGATGAGGTCAAAGCTGCAGCTGATTAAATCACTCTATTTTTCCTTAATACTTCAAGATAGTCATCTAAAAAGCCTTAAAAGTAAAGCCAATAATGTTTAATCTTCATTCAAGTCTCCAAGGCCTATCTCTTTTAGTTTCTGGCTTACTTTCCTATAGGTGTCATCAGGGTTTTCAACTGTTACTCCATGGACATCTTGATGATTAAAGATTTCATAATCATTCCCTCCTTCCATGGTCATATCTCCAAAGAAATAAACATTCTTTATCCCTTCGTCCCTTATGTGTCTTAAGCAATATGTCTTATCCCAACCCTTCGGGAAACAATCAATTGATATTTGGCCCCCAATAGAGAAGACCAAGCAACTATTCTTGAATCTTTCTCTCATAGCTGCAACCATGCTCTTTCTAAACTTCTCTTTCTTATCAAGCTCAAAAAACTCCTTTCGCTCCTCTCTGCTGCAATTTCTCCCTATTGGACTGATGTTGATCATGGAATTCCTATATTCAATAAAGTTGCCCCTCTTTATAGGAATATCCATCTTACTAAGATACTCGAGAACAAACCCGACAAACTCCTTATAGAACTTCTCTCCAAGTACATTGATTATCTTCTCCTGCGATTTTAGAGTCCCATTCTTATAAAAACTGACACCATTTTCAGGAAATCCATACTCAAACAGTTCAAGGAGATCATCTCCAATTTGCTCTCTTTGCTTTTCAAGATCGGATCCTCCAACAAACCCTATGTGAACCTTCTTCTTGAGTTTCTTTAGCATTTCCCTCATTTTTTCAGTCATTGAGGCCCTCGATTCGGAAAGTGTTCCATCTACATCAAACAGAAAGATTGTTTTCTCGTCCCTTGCCATGATATGCTCTATTTGCATTATTTTTATATGTCCTTGTTTCAGATGTTGATTCAACAATTCATAACACCCTGTCATGTCAATCAAGAGCCTCCTGAAAGCATGATGGCAAATTTTATGGTTCTCGCAAGAATCATAGGCAAAGCATGGCATTTATATTCTAAAAGGAAGATCAGTATTTTATTTTTCAATAGATTCGAAGGAAATGCATTCCAAAATGGCATCATATGCCTCATTCTCATAGCATATTCTGTAAACCGTACTCATAAGAGGGAACTCGTCAATCCTTTTCTGTCTTTTCAGGTAGTTATACACAATAAGAGCTGTTGTAGGCCCCTGAAGTTTCGTAAAACGCATAGTCCCTTCGGCCTCTTTTAAACTCATTCTTTTTTCTGCCATCATCTTTGCACATCCAAAATTCCTTCCAGACATGCAGGACACAAGAAGATCACCCACCCCAGATGATTGAAACAAGGACTCAGTTGTCGCCATCGGATAGAAAAACTTGAAGAACTTCCTCATTTCAGCAAACCCGTTCCTGAATATGGCAACTTTTGTGTTAGTACAATACCCAAGGCCTTCTGCAAATCCATATGCCATGGAAACAACATTTTTCAAGGCTCCAGAAATTTCCACACCATAAACATCCTTGATCTTAGTAACTCGATACGTATAGCTGTTGAAGAGCTTATAAACTATGTCTGCTGCATCCTCATCTGTATACCCCAATGTCCCCTCGCTTATCATGTCTCGAGCAACCTGATCTGCAATGTTTGCCCCCATCATTACGCTCACATTTATGTCTAAAATTCTATGGATTGACCTACTCACCAGATCTATATCTCCATCCTCCGCATCAATAAACCCTTTTGTTAACGACACGCCGATGCAATTATTCTTTACCAACCCTTTCAACGGTTCTATAGCTTCTATGTATTGATGAGGAAGAGCAAAAACAAGAACATCCGAATCTGCAAGCGTGCGTATGTCATCAACAGCTTTCAGGTTTTCGGGAAGATGAATCCCTGGCAAGTACTTTGGATTGATATTGTCGCTGTTTATGATATCATTTAGAGCTCTTCCCTCAAACTCCTCACGGCATCCCCACATTCTAACATCCTTTTCGAATATGCTGCTCTCTATCGTGTTATTTGCAAGAAGCCTACCAATCGCAGTACCCCAGTTTCCATTACCTATAATAGAAACCTTTTTGGACATTATATTATTTGTTTTTGGGGTACAACTTATTTTTGTTAAATACTGTCACACAGCTTTATCTATGGTCTTTGGAAATTCAAACTCTATGAAGTCTTGGATGGAGTGGGATTCTTAAATCTTCTCCAGAACATCCCTCTCCCATGGCAACCGCAAGGAAGGTGACAATGAACTATGCAGGAAATACCCGCAATACAATGGAGCTTAAGATAGAAGGCGAGACACATACACTAGGAAATCTTCTTTGTGAGGAGATGCTGGAGGATAAAAGATGTCTATTCAGCGCATATAGGGTCGAGCATCCCACGGACAACCATGTATTTCTCCGCATCACAGCAGATAAGGATTGCCAAGTAAGAGACCTTCTTCTCGAAACACTCAAAAGAATTGAAGAAGACACTGTGTCTTTGATGGGGCAGTTGAAAGGATTCTAGGGAGGACACTCCATTAACTTTAATATCTCATCTTTTTATGTCCAAAGCCCATTCTACTACCATAGCAATAAATTTTGGAATCACAAAGGAACCCTATTGCCAATATCTTCTTTAATATCGGGCATTGAGATCTTACAAATAACCATCTCTCCTATCTCGTCTCCTTTTTCATACACAAAATCTTCGTCGGTGTCGTTATAAACAAGCACGCATATCTCCCCCCTATAATCACTGTCCACAACACCTCCCAATTTTTTTATTCTAGTCGACTGAATCTTTCCAAAATAGTACTTTGGGATTTTCATCATAAATCCCGCAGGAATCCGCGCTCCAGACCGAGATGGAACCCTCCCTGAGCTGCTTGAATACAGCTTGTAAGCTCCGTTCGTAAGCTGAGGCATCTTTGCCCCATCCAAAACCTTCATTTTAATTTCCTCCTCCAACATGGGATCGGAAGAGAAAGGTTATTTCAATTCCAAAATAGAACTTACAACAAAGCTTTGAAGGAATTTGTTTATTCAATAACAATCTCATCCTCTCTTATCCCAATGTCCCAATTGGTTTTAAGTGGATATGGATCCGATATGTGAACCCCTTGACTGTCGGAATAACCTATCTGTATTTCGTTAGATGCATTACAGTCCCTATAACACAAAATTCTCATTGTTTCTTCGATAAGATTTATGCCCTCTTCTCTTGTTATTTCATCCTCTCTTCCCTCTACCTTACTTCTAAGGAATGGAAGGGCTATGTAACTTCCTATTCCTGTACATATTACATCTGAGAAGTAGAAGTTCCCTAATCGGTCGACGCATCCAAGCATCTTCCTTTCGCAATGGGTCATACTATCGTCATCACACCTTGTACCTCCTACACAAACACTTAGGTTTAGAGGGCGGATTTTACTTCGGGCAGAATATAACATTCTTTGAACAATCTTATGATAGCCCTTCGGATCTATCCCTCTGTTATCTTCTTCGGTTAGTATGCTTAGTGTCTTGACCAAATACTGCATGTCACTTACTTCCCCAGAAATTCCTATGAGTGTCTGGTCTCCAAACTTGAACATCCTTTGAATCCCGCTGTACTTCGCAAGCCGTCCATAAGATCCCCGGGTATCTGCACCCATCATAACTCCGTCCTTGTATTTGAATGAAATAACACTGGTTCCTGTTACAAAATTCCTCATTCCTGGGGCATTCCAAAGAACTTCATAACATTCAGGTGTTTATCATCAGGAAGGGATGGGCTACACGGTTCATAAGGAAGACCTAAATAAAAGGTCTTAAAGCTAGTCATACCCTCTCAATGGAAATAAGAAAATTGCCTAAAGATGTAATTTCCAGAATCTCTGCAGGGGAGGTTATCACCAGGCCCTATAACATTCTAAAGGAAACAATAGAAAACTCACTTGATGCAAACTCCACCCGCATAGTAATCAAGATTGAGCTGGATGGCCTCTCACTTATCATCGAGGACGATGGAGATGGAATACATGAAAATGACTTCGGTCTACTCTGCAAACAATATTGCACCTCGAAGCTCCATAAAGAGGAGGATCTTTTTTCGCTTCCCTCCTATGGATTTCGCGGAGAGGCTCTCTCTTCAATAAGTCGATGCTCCAGAATCAAGGTTAAAAGTAAAAAGAGGGCAAATGAAATAGGGCACGAAGCCATATATATAGACACGGAAATGGTGTCAATAAAAGGTGTTGGAATGAAAGACGGGACTGTTGTTGAAATTAAAAACATCTTCTACAATAACAAAGCCAGAGAGAAGCACTTTTCAAAGAAAAGAGAAGAGATCCGCGAAATGATGTGGCTGGTAGGGATATTCTCTGTATTCAATGGCAATGTTTCTTTTGATCTGTTCTATGGAGAAAAGCTCCAGGAACTACCTAGTATTGGGCCGAGACTTGGGTCCGATGAGTGTTCCAATGAAAGTAAAGCTCTGAAAAAGGTCAAGATGCTGAACGAGCTCTACAAAGCAGAGGAGGGGCTCCTTTTTGAACTCAATGGGGATCATCTTGTTATATTTTCGACACCGCAATTCAACCTGAAGAAAGGTGTGTTTGTGCTTTTTGTGAATGGGAGATTAGTTGTAAGCCAGGAAATGAAGGAAACCCTATTCAAAGTGTATAAGGACCTGATTCCTGCACAGAGACAGCCTTTTATATATCTGGAGCTCAATGTGGAAAAGAGTATGGTTGATGTCAATGTCCATCCAAGCAAAAGAGAAGTCCTTTTTGCTGATGAAAAGCTTGTGACCCAAGAACTATGCAAATGTATCACGAACAGACTAAGCAAGATGGATTATGAGCAGAAGACATTGAAACCGCTTCTAAGAGAAACCAAATTTCAAAGCCCGATCAAGGTGTATTCGGATCCTGGATCACAGTCTATTACAGAGTGCTTGGAAAAAGATAGAGTAGAAAAAAGAGAATTCAGCCTTCTCTCCCTCAAGAGGCTGAAGTCTGAGCTCGTTGATATTGATACTACCTTTTTTAGGTCTCTAAACTATGTCGGAATGAAAGATGAAGACACGATACTAGTTCAGCACGGATCGTCACTCCTCTGCTGTAAAACCGCACCTCTGGTCAAGGAATACCTCTACCAGACTTTGATTAACGATTTTGGAAACTTTGAGAGGAAGAAAACATCTATTCCCCTTCAGTCTAAGATAGAAGGGAAAATAAGAGCGTTACTCGATGACTACTTCTCCATAGAAATAGTGGAAAAGCATATTGTTGCCATTCCCGTTATATCGACCATTTATATAGACACTCCTGAGTTATGGCTCGGATTTGACGTTAAAAAGGGTCTTGAGTACGAGACTCTGAAGAGTATCATTGAAACAATATCCACACTCTACTCTTCGGCTGAAATGTCCCCAAGACTATTCAATATTATTAAAAGAAGAATGATTGGAACACCAAAGGCGCTGGAGTGTTTTGGACTTGTAACAACGCTTAAGGAACTCTACAAGAATTTTGAGAGATGCTGAGCTGTTCATGCCATGAGGAACAAGAGAATATTAAAATTTTTTCAGTACTTTGTAAATTGAAAGAGCTGCACGATATAATAGCAGGAGTATGACCCTCATAAATGGATAAAAACGAATATGAGAAGCTCTATAGAAAATCTGTCGAGGACAAGGAGGGTTTCTGGGGAGAACAAGCAAAAGCACTCCTGAAGTGGGATAAGATATTTAACGAGGTTTACAACAACAACTTCGAGAGTTCAAAGTGGTTTGATGGAGGTATGCTGAATGCATGCTATAATTGTGTTGACAGACATGCTGCCTGTGATCCAGACAAAGTTGCAATTATATATGACGGGAACGATGGGGAATCTGTCCGTTATACATTTAAGGATGTTCTTGATGAGGTTATAAGGATTTCTGCAGTTCTTAAAGAGCAGGGGCTTGAGAAAGGAGACACAGTAGCTATGTACATGGCCATGTCACCATATGCGGTTTTTTCTGCACTTGCATGTGCAAGGCTCGGACTTGTCCATAATGCTATTTTCGGAGGCTTCAGTCCTAGCAGTGTAGCCCTACGGCTTGATGATTCCGATGCTAGGCTATTAATTGTCCAAGACGTTGTTGTAAGGCAAGACTCAACCATAAACTTCCTTGAGAACACAAGAAAAGCTCTTGAAAGTAGGCCCACTCCAGTTCTAGTTTTTGATACTCTTCTTAATGAAGAAAAGATCTTAAATGAATTGGATGGGATCAAAAGCAAAGTTTTGGTATGGTCGAAGGTTATGAAAAAAAAGAACGAGTTCATTCCCTGTGTCCCTGTCAATTCCGAGGACAGGCTTTTCTATTTATACACAAGTGGAAGTACAGGAAGGCCGAAAGGAATTATTCATACAACTGGTGGGTATATGGTATATGCAACGCTTACATCCAAAATATGCTTCGACCTTCAGAAAGACGATGTTTTTGCTTGCACTGCTGACATTGGATGGATAACAGGCCATACATATGTTATCTACGGCCCACTATCAAACGGGATTACAACCGTGGTGTTTGGAGGAACTCCCTTCTATCCTTCGTACCTTAGGCTTTTCAAGATGGTCGAAAAGCACAGAATAACTCAGCTATATACAGCTCCAACAGTAATAAGGACATTGAGGAAGTACTTTTCTACAACGCCTCTAAACCACAGGTACAACCTGACTTCATTAAGAATTCTTGGGTCTGTTGGAGAGCCCATAAATAAACAGGCCTATTTGTGGTTTAGCGAAAACTTCAATGGATGCCCTGTTGTTGATACATATTGGCAAACCGAATCTGGGGGTATCTTGATTGCACCTATTCCATATACTGTGGAGAGAAAGCCGGAATGTGCCTGTCTTCCATTTTTAGGCCTGGAGGTTGTTATTGCAAGCTCAGACTCAAAAGATGGTCATGTTATTGAGGCAAAGGATTATGAACTAGGGCGTATTCTTTTCAAAGGATCCTGGCCCGGAATAGCTAGAGGTATTTTAGGGGATGCGGAGAGGTTTAAAAAGGGATACTTCCCTTACAAAGGATTCTATTTTACTGGGGACGAGGGTTACAAAGACTCTTCTGGACATGTATGGGTTAGAGGAAGAGCCGATGATGTGATAAATGTTTCAGGACATAGGATCAGCACTGCGGAGGTTGAGAGTGCTGCATGCATGGATCCACATGTGGCAGAGGCTGCGGCTGTTGCTGAAAGTGATGAAATTACTGGGCAAGCACTCTGCTTCTTTGTTGTATTGAAGGACAGGAAGGTGTCTAAGGAGAAGGTAAAAACATCTTTGAGGGTAACCTTAAGAAATAGAATCGGAAAGTTTGTTAATGCCAAGAACATTTACTTCTGTGAAGGGATTCCTAAGACTGCAACCGGAAAGATTATGAGAAGGGTTTTGAAGAGTATCTTGGCTGGAGACACCCCTGGAGATGTATCAACTTGTACCAATGTAGATGTTATTCAAGATTTGAAAGAAATCACCGAATCAGAGGCAAATTAAATATCTACTGATTATTATTTGTGCTTTTGACTGATAGATATAATGCCTTGATTTGGGTTGAGGGTATGAAAACAATTGATGAGGTAAGCATAGAAGGGAAAAGTGTATTCCTTCGGGTGGATTTCAATGTTCCGATTTCAAATTTAGTAGTTTTGAATGACTTCAAAATAGCTTCTGTTCTACCAACAATCAAGTTTCTCCACTCTAAAGGCCCCAAGAAGGTAATAATTGGAAGTCATTTGGGAAGGCCTAAAGGGAAGTATTCCAAAGAGTTTTCTCTCATTCCGGTGTACTCTGTACTAAAGAAACTTCTCGGGAAAGAGATTGGAGTTGAGTTGGCCTTCTGTGACATATGGGATGTTGAGAATACACATCACACATGGATATTACTGGAAAACCTGAGGTTTTGTAGTGCAGAGGAAAGAGAAGACGATAGGGATCTTGTCGAAAGATACAGAAATGCATTTATAAAGAACATGGACATTGCTGTAATAGATGCATTTGGGTGTTTGCATAGAGAATGTGGATCTATACAAAGGACTGGACTGCCTTCATACTCTGGATTTTTGGTTCAAAAGGAAATAGATTCAATAAGAGAGATCGCCGAGGAAAATATAGATCTCATGATACTAGGAGGAAAGAAGATATCGGATAAGATTAAGCTGCTCAAATCGCTAGGACAACGAACCAAAAACTTATTTGTTACTGGAGGGCTAGCTTTCCCATTTATCAAGTACATATTAGGAAAGGAGGTTGGGGACAGTGTCTGTGAGGAGGTTTCCAAAGAAGAAGTGAAGAAGATACATGAAATCTGTGAGTCTCATGGAACAAGAATGCTTTTTCCTGTTGATTTCACAGTTCTTCACAACGGGAGAGTACAGAAATCTAGAACCATACCTTCCGAAGGAACTGCAATGGACATAGGGCCTGAAACGATAGAAATGCTGAAAAAAGAGGTTTCAAGGGCGAATGTAGCTTTCTGGAATGGGCCTCCGGGTGTATTTGAAGAGAAAAACTTCTCAGATGGAACAAGAGCCTTAGTGAATATTCTAGAGAGCTTAAAAAAGAGAGGGGGGAAATCCTTCTGTGGAGGGGGAGAAACAGCAGGTGCAATCAAATTATTTGGTAACTACGATGGCTTTACTTACGTATCCACTGGAGGAGGTGTACTGATGAAATTGCTAAGTAATGAGAAACTTCCTGGATTGGATTTCCTATCGAACCAGTCTTGAGTAGGCCAATGTACGGATGATCTATGACAAGAGATGCCTGGTGCTAAGAATGATGGGATCCCCGGAAGAGGTTTCATAAGATACAAAAGCCATTTCATCTTTGAAACTAGGGCAGGAGATGAACATTGTGTCTTCTACTGATGTAATGAAAGGATAGAAGTCTTGGCCTACAATAAACATATCTGGAACTCTGTCAATGTCCAGATTTGAGATTCCAAATGGATTGAAGCTGTGTTGGGATAGAATCTCCCTTGCAAAAGAATCCACATAGTTCTTCCCAATAAATGTTCCTTGTTCTTTGTACCTAAATATATCCTCTCTAATAACTCCTATTGAATATCCATAGGTCTCAAGTATAAATGGATTGCTTGCAGCCTTAATGAACTTACCATATTCCCTCGGTACTTCTATCTCCTTTGGAAGGAACGATGGATAGGTATCATCTGCATCCGGGCATAGAATGATGTCTGGAGTCTCCGTCTGAGCATTATTTGGTCTAAGCCCATCCATAAAGCTAATGCAGGGAATGGTCGAAGATATGCCAGGGTAAAGCCTTCCCATGAGCACAACAATGTCTGCTGGCATCTTGCCCAGGATTTTCCTTAGAGTCCTTCCATTAACTTCATTCATCTGGAAGTCTGAAAAAAATAATATCTTGAGGTCCTTCTTGATCAGCTTAGATAGGCTCCCGACCTTCTTTTCCACACTTGGAAGATATACTTTAAGCCCGACAAACTTACCATCTGTCTTCTTTCCCTCAATGGCAATGAATATATTGTCACATAAAAACACGTCTTCATTGCACTTGCTCATGTCAAGAGGAATCACATCTCCATCATCCTCAAGAACCTCTCTTCCCTCCCTGTCTTTGTAATAGCATCCAAAAATCGTGGCACATTCTTCTCCCAACAAGTATATAGGTGTAACTATTCTATCTATCTTTTCCAAAAGATGCTTGTACTTCAGTAACTCATTCTTCTCCTTGAATTCCTGATTCAAGATGTTGTAGGTGTCCTTCTTGGCATCAAAAGACTCAACAACTTCCCGGATTGAATTTATATCTGCAAGCCGTTGTCCATTTCTTCTCCTATATTCTGAAGATATGGCTTTCAGCATTGCTTCACTCTTGACATTATCCTCTAAGTATACCAATGCGTCAGAAGAAAGCATTATTCCTCTTTCACAAGTAAATTCCTTATAAATCCTTTCTCTCATCCTCAGGGGAACCTTCATTCATGAAACCTTATCAAATAATTTTATTTAGACTTCCTAGACTCCATCTGCATTTGCTCTCTCAGTCCATTATACTTATCTAGCAAGCTGAAATACTCGTTCTGATTATTCTTCAGCTGCTTTATCAAGATGTCCCCAGACAAGATCTTCTTTTTCAGATCGATGATCTCCACCTCTAGCTCTTCTATCCTTTTGGCTTTCTTCGTGTTGTCTTCTAGCATCTCCTCGACATATTTCTTTTGATTCATAGACTGCTTCCTAAGGAGTTGTGCAGACTCTTCCTCTCTAAAGAGCAAGCACATCGTTCTGATAAACATACGGAATATAACACCTAGGAACAGGGTAAACCCTGTTAGATACATGTTTCTCTCCGCCTGGTATAGCACAAACGGGTTGATCTGGTCCTCACCCGTATAGATCTTGTATGCAGAATCCACAAACATTATAAGTATCATTGCAAACAGGACATAGATTATGTGGAGGAATCCCCTATAGAACTTTGATGTCTGGAAGAGCTTGATTACTTTCTTCTTAAGGTTTTTAGAAATTGGGAGTAGCATGAATGTGAACATGCACATCTCACCAAAAACAATGCTCTGAACAAGCTGAGTAGTAATCCCCATGTTGTTTAATCAACCTAAAAAAATAAATCTAAAGACTCAGAACATGAAACGCTTGCTAAAAACAAATGGTTTAATGTTTCATTCGTCGCCCCCAGGGTTTATATCCTCAGCAAGCCCTCTTCTTAGTGCAACCAGCTCGCTGCGCACCCTTTGAGTGGATAAATACAATTCCTTATATGTTCCTATCTTCATTTTGATCTTATTTAGTAATGCTTCACATATCACACTCCCGAGCCTCTCTATTTTTCTTCTCTCTAAATCCCTTTGCTCGCGTGCCTTTTCCTTTCCTGCATCCAGTATGTGCTGAATGACAGCTTCCTGAGAACATCCGCTTATATGCTTGATAGCTACCCTTGCACATTCAGATGCAACCTTTGGGTGAACCATTCCACATATAAAAGTAACAATACACATAGTCGGGTTTTCCGCTGTCTCAAATAGTCTCCCAATAGCAAGATCCGCCCTCGAGAGTGTGTTCTCTAATATAGGGATTCGAAGAAAATGAAATACGCACTGCTCCTTTGTTTTGGTTTGCACATACCGACTTACAGAATCCCACTCGTCCCCAAACTTTCTAATGCCTTCCAATAGAAGAAACTCCTCCTTCCTCGACCACATATTCCTAATTAGAGACCCGGTAATAGGAAGAAAATCAGATCTTAGAACTTCTTGGGGATAATTACCGTTGTCAAGACATGCGGTGCACCTGAAAACCAAGGACCTTGTAAAAAAGTTTGCCTTCCCTCCACAATCACAAATTGATTCCTCCAAACACTTTTTTATATCTCCCCTTCTCTTGGAACGCTCTTCCCTTGGGGTTGTTTCCATAGGTTTGGCATCCTCGGTCTTATGAGATTTGAGACACCTCATTTCCTTTTCAATCAGACTTCGATAATTGATTATTCTCCATCTCTCAATAAACGAAAAGATTTTCAACATCAAGCCCATATCTACATCTACCAGCGTAAATGCCTTCCCCACTGTCATCGGTCTATTTCCTTCTTCGTAACTACTGATTATACAATCTCGACTCTGTACATATTTCTCAGGTCCAATTGCTTGGATAACCTCGCTCATACCATTCTGCTCTAATGGGCTCACCTCACCCTTTTTAAACCAGTTTGGAAATCTCACATGGTATGTTTCAGTATCTATGAAGCCATAAGCTCCACTTCTCATTCCAAATGTTCTGGAATTCTTCGGAGGACTTGCATTGGGCCTTTTGCTTCCATAGATCTCCTCTATCTCAACATTTTCTTGCAACGGGAAAATGTTTTCCATCAGGGCTACACACAAGAAGAAGTTAAAGAACAATAGAGTAGTTTATTCTATCTTATATCATGGGAAGAAATCTATCTCCTTAAAATATCTCGTCGTCATCAACAGAAGAATAGTCTCCATCCATTTGATCTTCCATATCAACCCTGTATCTCAAAATTCCTCCTATACCCCCAAATCCTTCAATAAATTGTGTCCCTTCTGCACTTTTGTCGCTCACAAATACTAAAGTACATCCAAAGTTCTTATAGTTTTCAGCGATCCAATCCACAAATAGCTCTTCATCCCTAACATCGGACAGGTTCTCATAAACTATAAGTGTCTCTACAGCCCCCATCTCTAAGCACTGCATTGTTTCCTTCATGGTAAAACAAAACTTGCCGCTTTCAGTGTTAATTTCGTTGAAGAATTTTTGTAGCACCTTCTTTTCCTTAGACAGCTTTACATCCTTAAGAATATCTTCACATAGCTCAATGGCTTGATTCAGTCCTCCTTCCCCGCCATAATTAGTGTCAACTGTCTTTATCACTTTTATACGGCTGTCTAGCACCCGAGACAGTTCATTCTTAAGGTCAGACTGTCCAGCCAATATAACACCCTCGACATTCATAATACAGTTCGTCAGAAACAGATTCCCTGCTATCTCCCCAACCTTCTTGACATAGGCGTTTCTCTTCTCAACCCTAAGACGTGCAAATCTTACGGATGATTGCCCCCCTCGCCCATGCTTCTTTGGAAGGTCCACATGTATTTGCTGCAGAATCGTCTTTACATTTCCCTGCAGAGTTGCAAATATAGTGGAATGCCCATCCATTACAATAAATCCGTATTTAACCTCATCCTCAAAAAGTGCTAGGAGATCATCCACATGAAACTTAGAATCACACATGTACAGAGATGTATTAACAGGCTTTATAGGTTCTACCCCAACACTGACCTTCTTCTCTTTGTTCTGCTCCATGAGAACAGTCCCAACAAATATTCCAAGCCCGTTGGGTGGTGTCTTGCTGTATTGTTTTAGCTTGCTCTGTGCAGAAGTAATGGCCCCAAGAACACTCAATCTGTTCACCCTTGACTTGATATTCGATGCCGTTCCATACTCATCGGTGAGCATCTTTGAAACCCTGGATATTTGGTCCTTTGGAGGAATGATTATCGATATCATTGACGTCCCATTTCCCCGGCTGTCACGAAGACCCCTCAACAGCTTCTTCATGCGCCACATCTCCACCTCATCTAGCATCCCATGGGCAGCTCTGTAAATATTTTTATACTTAGAAGGACCGGGCAATAAATGGCTAGAAAACAGGTTATTTTTTATTACGTTTACAAGCATTTATATCAATGAACACGTCATCAGACTCAGGATCGTCGGGTAGGTCGGTGTTCTCAAGCTTTTCTTTCTTGTATTTCAACTCCGTAGTCTTCTGAAGGAGCTCTGTTATCACATCGCAAATCTCATTTTTCTCTTCTTCAGACTCTTTTCTTTCTTGCTCAGCCTTGTATATTCCTATTGCCTTTTCATAATACTCCCTACTTTTTTCAAAGTCTTCCAGGAACTCATAGCAATTTGCAAGAGATTGATAAACATCAGCATACCTAAAACAGTCCTTCTCATATATCTTGTCCATCACTGCAACACACTCAATAAATTCATGCAATCCGTCCCGGAAGTTATTGTTCAATAAACAGATCTCTCCCTGCAGAAACCTTGTTCTTGCTAGCATAGAGTAATCCTTCAATATGCTGAATGCATTCTTACATATCTCCAACAAGTTCCATGCAATCTCTAGATCATCCTCTGCCCCCTTCCTCTCCTCAAGGTTTAATCCCTTCCTTCCACTGATCTTCGATATCTCCTCGATAAAAAACATGTCTGAACTCTTGATGAGAGCATCTGCATACTCAATATAAAGATAAGGAATCTTCTCATCGTCGGGATTCATATCATCAAGAATTTCACTGTATATCTCAATCCCATGTTCAAACTCCCCCTGCGCTATGGATGCTCGGGCTTCGGAAAGCATTGGGAAGGCTTCAGCAAGATCTTCCATGCAAGGGAGAAAAAATTTCTTCATATCAATGGCCATTGTTTCGAAAGTATCCTTTTGGATCAAAGTTATGGAAATCGCAATGATATCTCCACCCAGGGGTAATGATGAGGCTTTCCTCGACCTTGGTAACAAAGAGATACCCCTGCCTTTTTGTCTGATTCAAGAACTCAGCAAAGTCGTCTTCGCTCTCAAACACCCCTGTCTTCTGCATGAAAAACCATAATCTAGGTACCTCAATTACTTTTCGTTCCAAAATCAAAAAGGTGAATGCCAATATCAGCCTTTGGGTCTCCTCTGGCAGGAATTTTTCCGTGGCAGGAGAAGGTTTTATTCTTCTGATGAAGTATTTCTCAGCTGTCATAGGATCGATAACGCCTTCCTTGCCAATCCCAACCAGCTCAAGCCCTAACTTCTCCAAATATCCTTTGGAAAGCTCTACAAGTGCTCCCATCTCTTTCAACCCAACCTTAAGCTGTGCCCTAACACTTTGTTTTCTTGTCGGAGTGGATTTCCGATGGTTGTCCATTAGTATCCTAACAAATTCCCCGGCCAAGGTTTCATTATCATTCATGAGGAAGGGTAGTGCGGTTATTTTCCCTGCCATTTTTACCCACAGGAAATGCCTTCTAGCTTTGTGAGCCTAACACCACTCATAAGAACCGAGATAGGGATATACTGCCATCTACTGGAGATAGACAACGTAAAGATCCTGGTGAATTGTGGAGCACCCTACACAATGGATATGTCTATATACACGCCCATCCTTCCCCAGATACTTTCCTGTGACGCTATCCTTCTAACAAGCTTTGGAGTCAACTATGCTGGGGCATTGCCCTACATTCTTCAGAACAATTATTACAACAAAGTGTTCTCCTCGGTACCTATCAAAACCCTTGGAAAGATATGCCTTGACGAGCACCTGAAGGGAATGGGGAAGGAACTAGAGGTAGACACAGGGCTCTTTGAAAGGATATCGGAAATAAAGTATTCGCAGCCAACAGTCATCAATAATGTCGAGGTATGTGCATACAATTCAGGTAATTCTATTGGAGGATGCCTATACAAGATAAGTAAGGGGGCAGAAAAAATTGTTGTTGGGTTCAATATGAATCATCGAAAGGAAAATCATCTTGATGGAATTGGGTTCTCTGGGATAGGAGATTGCAGTCTCTGTGTGGTCAATGGAAATCATGTCTTGGCAGAAAATGTCTCGATTGCAAAGAGAGACAATATGTTCAGAGAAATGGTCGGAAATGTTCTTGACTCTGGAGGAAAAGTAATTCTGCCTGTCAAGTATTCTAGACTCCTAGAGGTCGCTCTGATTCTCAACAATATGATGTCACAGAGAAGCGAAAAGGTTGTGTGCTTATCGTATTTTGGGCAAAGGTTTGTAGAAAGAGCAAGATCTATGATTGAATGGGCAGGAGAGAAGGTTTCTTCTATGTTTTCGGAGGAAAAGGTCAATCCGTTTGAGTTTGAAAAGATTGAGTTTATAGAACATTACCAGAATATTTCTGAATTTGATGTAATGATTGCTGTTGATGATTACGTCCATGGAGGAATGCTTACAACTGCCCTCCATCAGTTCAACAACGAGAACAACGTGATTCTTCTTGTTGATCCCAGGATGGACGAGGTTATTAAAAGAGAATCTATAGTGATGAAATGGTATAACTTCAGGCTTGTTGAAAGAACAGACGAAAAAAGAGGCATGAATGTGTCTGATGTGGCAGAAGATGTTACAGAGGATGTGTCTGATGTGGAAGGGGCTGAGGCAGACTGGTCTGAGATAAGACATGAGGTATGGTGTGAAAATGGAGATGAGGTCTTTCCATCGATGTCGAGGAGAAGAGCATACGATGATTATGGGGAGTACATGGATAGATCATTATTTGTGAGCGAGATTCTTCCTACAGAGGAGATATCTGAGGAAAAGATAGAGAAAGAAATTATGGCAGAAGAAAGAGAAGTTGGAGGAGAGGGAATTGAGTTGAAGTACAGGATTGCAAAAATGGATTTGATGGGGATTTCTGATCTGAACTCTTCCAAAATGATAATCGAAACCTTATCTCCGAGAAAGCTTGTGTGTATTGGAGAGGATAGAGACACAGAACGTTTTTTCTACCACACCTTCAAGTATATGGCATCGTTCGAAGATGTGTATATGTGTAGGAGTAAGATAGTTCTTTCTTCCGATGTTTCTATGGGAGTGGTGAAGCTAGACAAAGGTTTCGATGAATTGGACTATCAGATGATAGCAAATGACTCTGTAGGGAGCTTCAAGGGAATTAGAGACGGGGACATGGTGAGATGCATTGGAAGTGGGCCTAGGATGATGATAGGGCATACTGACATCAATGAGCTGAGAAGGATGATTATTGAAAGGAACATGAGAGTGGAACAGGAAGAAAACGGGCTGCTGGTCGAGGATAGTGTATGGATCAGAATAAATCCTGACGGGTTAACTATAGATGGAAAGGATACAGGAGTGTTTTATGCTGTACGAGATGTTGTGTACAGAAACTCAGCCCTTATATGAGAAAGCAGCTTAACATTAAATCCCTGTGAATTTTAGAGATTTGCTTCTGTTGGCCCTGAATGTATCTTGAGCTTCGGAATCTTTCAAGCAAGAACAAGTATGAGAATTACAGCAAGACCGACACAATAGTGATTGATAACGGAACTTATGAGTGTAAGGCTGGATATAGTGGAGATGGACCCCAGATGGTTTTCAAAAACGTTTTATATCGTCATAAGGCTGTGTCATCAATAGAAAACTTCCAAGGAGCTTCTCCCAAGACTATGTTTGATGGGGATGTTGTGACTAACTTCGAAGTCTTGGAGTATATCATTGATGAAATTCTAGAATATTTGAAGCCCGAAAGGCTGAAGAACCTTATATTCACAGAAAAGATATTCAGTCCGTCTCATACAGAGCTTGTAAAGTTCCTGTTTGATGTTTATGGGTTTGAAAGAATACAAATTGGAGTGGACAGTTACTATTCATACTTATGGAACTTAGATCACGAGGATTGCATGATTATAGACATGTCACATTCTGCAACCACGTGCCTTGTCATCCAAGCAGAACAGATTGTGGATGTCTACAAAATCAATTTTGGAGGAAAGGCAGCGGGAGACTATCTCTCGGCAGTGCTGTTTAATAAGTTTTTTGACAGTAAAAAGAACTACAGGGGGCTAGTCCCATATCTGAGATGCTCTCCAGATTACAGCAAAGAATCTGTGGAAATACTTGAAGAGCTGAAGATTGGGGATTATTCCAGAAACTATTTTTTAGACGAAGAGCTTGAGGCGCTTAAAGAAAAGCCTATGGACAAGAAGCATAAGGTGTATGCAGCACCATCAGCCTCCAACTCTATGCCTGAGATCGATATAGGACTTCTCAACACAGCAGATACTGAACTGGATGCAGAGAGGATCAAAGAGAAGAAGAAACAAAAGATCCTGTACCACTCCACTCTCCACCGAGTCAAGACTAGAATTGAGAAGTGTCTGGAAAGGCTATCTTCGTATATCTTGTACATGGAGGATGAGAGGGAAAAGCTTGTGGACTTTGAAGGATTCATAGGCAAAAAGAAGGCGGAGCTCCAAGCGGTCAAGAGGGAATTGGAGATGAGAAGTAAGCTGAGAAGAGATGCAAAGAACCGAAAGACATATGAGTTCCAAGTAAGGTTCAAGGAAGGTGAGTTGACCCCTGACGAGAGAATACTGTCTGAAAAGATAAAGGATGCCGAAGATCTAGACAAAGAAAACAAAATCTTAGAATCCTTGAAAAGCCTTATTGTTCAGATCAAGGAGCTTGATCCCTATTTTGAACCGTATACAGCGGATACAGTTGACCTTCTTAATGGGCATTACATAGGAAGAATGAATGTAAATGTGGACCTCTTGAAAATTCCAGAGATAATTTTTTCTCCCTCCATCATAGGACTGGACCAGATGGGACTAACAGAGATAATGGACAGTGTTAGCAGAAAGTACCAAGTGAAGAAGGTGCTACTGACAGGAGGGTTTTCACAGATAAAGGGAATCGATGTACGAATAAAAAACGAAATGAGAAGTATGTCGTTTGTGGGAGAGGTCGAAGTTATAAGAGCCTCAGACCCCACAAGTGATTCATTCAAAGGTGCAAGGTTCTGTGAGGCCTTTCCTACATACACCTTGGAGGAATACAGTCGCCTAGGTTTTGATTATTTGGCTGGACTATCCAATGAAGAAACTACTCCAAATCCAAACACTTAAGAATAAAGTAAGCTGCTCGGAATACCTGAAGATAATTTTATTGATTTCTGCTTCGAATGAGCTCTTTACCGTTTCAAGTCTTGATGCAAAGCTGTTGTCCACAATAGTACTGCAATCCTTTGAACATAGAATAACCCCACCCACTCCTTCAGATACCATTTCTCTAACCTCGGCATTCTTGTATTCACTTAATACCACCTTCTTATCCTTCTTATTACAGTACACAACGAATTCTCCACTTATTTTTTCAGTACATTGAGCTATCAGAGAAGGATTCAGAGGCTCTTTCGAGCATATTGACAAGGCCTCATTATAAATCTCATCCAAAATCTTAACCTTTTCTTCGAGATATCTCTGCTTGTATGTATTTATCAGGGAATTCTCTGCCATCACTCTTTTTTTCTCAATTTCCTTTTGTTTCATCACAAATCCATTCTCTATTCGAAATGTCTCCTCCTTGATTATTCTAGCTTTCTCTGTGTTGTATTCCTGAGTTGCCTTGATCTTCATTTCCTTAATCTTTTCGTCTGCTTCATGGTTTATAAAGGCCATCATCCTTTCTATGTCTTTACTTGGCACCCTGTCCATCTTCCCCCGTCTTCAAGGGTATTGTTGTCATTATATTTCAGTGCCTGGAATCGGAAGTGTTTCCCTAATAGCTAGTTGGGCCTCATGGACTAGAAGATTACGAAGGAAGAAATCCTGTTGTAAAACATTTATTGAGGTTCCTCTAGACGCTCTTAACAATTTGAACAACATCGCTATCGTTCAGGATATGCTCTTTCCCAACCTTTTGTGGATTATGTTTAACGGAAGTTCCCCAAACAAGTGCGTGCTTGAATTTTGCAAGAATTCCTCTATGTATTGCATTGCAGAAATCAGATACACTTCTTCTACTACTCCTAAGGATCACAGGTTCCTCATAGTCAATAGGTTGTCCCTTTGGTTTCGGATATATTCTTACAAGATCAAGATAGTCCCACATTTTAGACAATAATGAATCAAAGTTCCACCCCAGATGTGCGCACACAGGAACAGAGTGTGGAATCTTGTGGAGAAGGTCTAGTTCTTCTACACTAATCGAGTCGATCTTATTTAGCACATATATGCAGGGAACATACTTCCTGTTTCCTTCAATTACATCAATGAGATCATCGATTGTGCAGGGCCCATTTGTTATGACTTCTGCATTCGATATTCTAAACTCCCCGAGCACTGCCTTCACGGTAGCAAGGTCTAGACTATCTCCTATAAGTGTTACTCCTCCCTTATCTTTCTTCGTTACTTTAATTTTTGGAGGTTGCTTGTTGAGCCTGATTCCCACCCCTTCGAGTTCTCTTTCAATCACTGCCTTATGAGAAACAGGCTTGAGAACGTCAAGACATACTATGATTAATGAGCATGTCCTTGCCACAGCCAAAACCTGCTTCCCCCTACCCTTCCCATCCTTTGCCCCCTCAATTATTCCTGGAAGATCTAGAATTTGAATTTTTGCTCCGTTGTAGCTTAGTACTCCAGGAACTGTTGTCAAGGTGGTGAATTCATATGCTGCAACAGCACTGAATGTCCCTGTAAGCTTGGACATAAGAGTACTTTTCCCGACACTAGGGAATCCTACAAACCCAACTCTTGCAATTCCTGTTTTTGCAACGTCGAATCCTCCTTCTCCTGATGAACTGGACTTCGAAACAGACATCAACTCTCTCCTCAGCTTGGCCAGCTTGGCTTTCAAGATTCCAAGGTGGTTGCTTGTGGCCTTGTTCTTCTGTGTCCTTGCCATTTCGTTCTCTATTTCTTTAATCTTTTCCATGACATTCATTAAGGGCCACGGGGCTTTGGCATTATCAGGAGATTTATTATTGTCTGTTTGATCCTTCCAATGAGGATAGTTTCTGAGTATGACATAAAGCTGTCGAGAGAATCCGAGCCTGTGGCTCTGTATAGACTCCCAAGTTCCGAGGGGAACCTTCGAATTGGGACTGTACGTTATAAACATCAGTTCAAATATTTGGAGATAGAGATGAAGTTGCCAAAGATGAGGCAGAGATCCCAGAAGATGGAAGGCAAAAAGCCCAGTGTCATTACTTATGAGAGTCATGGATTGGGCTTGCCAAATGGGCAATGGTATGGGAAGATAGACCACACCAAGAAGGTTATTGTTTTAAGACAAATTGAGTGTGCCTATCTATTCAATCCGAAGTTTGGAGGTCTTGGGGGAGAGGGAGGTGATAAGGAGGTTGATGGATACCAGTTCAGAAAGGCAGAGACACGTGAAGAAAAGGAGCATAGAACAAAAAACATCAACTTTCAAATCAAAAAGATGAATCTTGAGGGATTTACTACGATGGAATATAAGAGAAAAGAGATGTCTCAGGACTTCAATGATGTACCAAAGATTGCAGTGGCAGAGGATGATACAAAGTATGTCATTCAGGTAAGAAACTCTATAATCAATGCTAAGGTTGTTAACTTTTCTGAACTTATTTTGCTTTACAGAGACCAGAACGTAGTCAAAACTGCGTTGTCAAGATACACAAGTTTTGTTCAGGGAAGGTATATCCTTTCGAATGTATTCTATGAGAAGAGCCTACATGGCATTAGAGATAAAATATTGGAGCTGTTCAAAGAGAGAGAAAAGGTTCCGTGCAAGGATATATATGCATTGGTAGGGGATGAGGAGTTCCTTATTGAGGAAATCTGCAGAAAAGATGGGAAGTACTTCCAGCTGAAAGGGTTCAATGAGCGTACCAACAGGTGTGATAATGATGGAATAGAGCAGGAAATAGCTTTTCTTGTTGAAAAGTACCAGCCTTGCAGCATAGAAACGATCCAGAAGGAGATGGGAATGGACCTAGGGATTATAAGGCAAAATTTGCCTGGAGATGTGGCTGTTTTAGCCAATGGGATGCTTGCTATTTGTAAAGGTGATGAAAAAAGAAAGAAGATAGTGGAAATTCTAGTGACGAAGAAGAGCTGGAAAAAGACTGAGATGCTAAGGATTGCACAAAACGAGCCGGGAAAGATCGAAGACTTCTTTGATGTTCTTTGTGAGTACTGTGAGTTGAAAGGAAATGTGTGGGTGATCAAAGAACGATGTATTTGATGTTCTGTGTTGCTTGCACAGATGTTGAAGATAAAAATTTCATCCCTACCTGAATAGATTGTAATGAAGTCTTCTTGGCCCAACAAACTAAGTGAGAGAATCCAAAGGCTTTATAGTACCATGCTTACCCTAATGCCGCTAGAGAGGATCGGAGATCATCCATTTGATTATTTTGATAGCGAGATTGAATGTATAATCGAATCTGTGGATGCAGTGTTCAAAAGTATTCTAAGTAGAAGGCTAAAGATGGAGAAAGAGATTGACGGAGTGATGGAAAGAATAAAGAAGGACTGTGGCGACATTGAGGTGGAGGCGCCCTATGTCCCCAGGTTATTCAACCTATGTCTCCTAAGGGAATATGTAAAGAACGAATCCAACAGAATAACGTTGCTGAAGAAAGCCGTTGAGGGGAGAATGATAACTATTAGGGAGGAGATTGAGAAGATAAAAGAGGACATCTTTGATGTTGAGACGATGGAAATTGATTGCATAGAATTAAAAACTATGGACGAAGAGAGTTGTGTTTCTCTAGCGAATTTAAAGGAACTTGAAATGCGCCGAGATTTTCTAAGGAGTAAGAAAGAAGGTATGGAAAGGAATAGGGACAGGCTTTATGAAGAGCTTTGTGTGTTTTTATCACAGTTATCTAAGAACGATTTGGATGTGGCTATTGGGCAGAAGATTTTTGTTCTTGAGCAGCTACATAAGAAGTATAAGGAAGAGATTGAGAGAAGAGACTTGGAGTTTAGAAGGCTTGAGATAGAGATAAGAAGAAGGGAGGGATATCTTGGAACACCTTGCAAAGAGATTGAAATGGATTTGAGTGACGAGAACTTAGGAATGATGAGAAGTTATGAGAAGTATCTCCGAGAAGAACAAGAGAGACAGCTAGATGAGATATATGAGAAGAAGAGAAGCCAGCTTAAAGAGTTACTGGATATTTTTGGAGAGAATATGGAGGATTACAAGAAGACTGAAGAGGGCATTGAGGAGATGGCAATGACGATTTCGAAGCTAGAGTCTAAGAAAGACTTGTTCCTCTCTATAAGATCATTGATGGAGAAAAGGTCTGAGCTCATAAGCAAGATGAGCGAGTTTGAAAAGATAGCATCTGATCCAAAAAGACTATTCAGATCATCCTTGCAGCTCTTGAGTGAAGAGAAGTTCAGAAATAGTGCCTATCCGAATCTAATAAGAATTGAAGAGGCCATATTCAAGCTTTTGGATGAGTATGAGGATAGATTTGAGAAGTTGCTCAAGAATGGAATAGATTTTAAGAAGTCCTTAAGGGAAGAAATAGAGAATAGGATTGTGAACAAAACTGTGTTTATAAGCAGATTTGACTCGCCGTCGAGGAAGAGGAGGTGAAAGTGCATGAAATTGTTTGACCTTAATGGTAAACACTTTGAAGCCTGGATTTCAGGAGTAGGACCATATTGAGGAGTATAGATGAAGAACATAAGACTCTATTTTGAGGCGGATGCAAAATATGGTCAGAAGCACATAGGTGGCTATATTAGTAGTGGGATTTCTTAGAGTACCCCACCGCGCATATATCGGAACTGTGATCTTAAGACCAAGGATGGCTGAACTATCGGGGATTTCTTCTATAAGAGATGTAATGTCATGGTACTTTCCTGTTTTATAGAGGATCATGAAGCCAGGAATGCAGTCATCTCCTAGAATGGACTTTCCCACTTCCCTTGAAATTGAATCCATAAAGTTTTCCATGGACACAGGGACATTATTTGGATTCCATCTCTTTATTTCAAACAGGCCATCTGGATTCTCAAATAGAAGACGTTTCGATGAATGAAGAACTTGTTTCATGACCTCTAGAGTTTTGCTTTCCATTCCAGGTACTCTCTCTGATTCTTTCTGAGGATGTGCAGAGTTATATTCTTTGGTTTCGAAGTTTATGACTGCCTTTAGATATTTCTCGTCATCTAGAAGGATTTCGAAGATTGTATTGACCGCAGAAAAGTATGTTTCTCCAGTTACAGGTTTATCCTCACCAGAGACTACGTTTCCAAGCCCGCTTTCCTGAAAGATGATATTAGCTATCTCCTTATTCATTTTTCCTATTTCACACATCTTCGTCTTACTTTTGGAAAATAAACAATATCATATTGCTCATATCAATACACAGATAGGTTTGAGGTTGGCCTAGTACTCTTTATTTACTCCCGATGAGCGGAAGGGTAAGGCAAGACTTCCCTTGTGAATATTGTAAACATCGAATAAGCAGAGGGAAAAAGATATCCCCATATGGATATCAGGCAAATGGAGCATCTGAGGCAGGAAGCAAATTCTTTGTTCAAGAATCAGAGGATAGATGAGGCACTGGACCTTTACAAAAAGTCTTTTATGGAAGGAATGAAGTTTATGGTACCTGGATCCTGGAATGGCCCTCTTGAGGAGCAGTTGTCTTTGTTAGCATATAATATTTGTATAGTTTACTACAAAAGAAAGAACTTTCCAAAATCGTTAACCTTTGGCCTTGAATCGTTGAAGCGCTGCAAAAACGACAAGGTTTTACATAAGATATGTACTATATATCTCAGAATGGGGATGCTAAAAGAATATGTAGAGATGTATGAGCAGATAGTAGATAAAAGCTGTTGTAGAGAAATTAAGGTCTTACTAAATAGAATGAAACTGGGTAGCCAAACAATTGAGAAGTACCTAGAAAATCGTATTACACTGGAAAAGTTGTACGAGATGTCCAAAGAAATATCTGAAGGGAGATTCATACCAGCAGATGTATTGGAGAGCATTCTTGAGCAAGGAGAAAGTCTTTTACTAGGATGTGAGAACGTTGTGTATGTTGAAAGTAAAGGAGAAGTTCTAGTTTTTGGAGATACTCATGGACAATACTTCGATGTTGTGGGGGTTTTGAACAAGGTATTTGATGGAGAGAGGATATTTATATTTAATGGGGATTATGTGGATAGAGGAACACATTCCGTGGAGAACTTTGTTCTGCTTATCTCTCTGAAGATTCTATTTCCGGGAAAAGTTCATCTTACAAGGGGAAACCATGAGCTCATGGATATAAACAAAGCCTATGGGTTTTTCGATGAGGTAAAAAGGAAGTATCCGTTCAGTAGTGGTTCTGTGTACCAAAAGTTTCAGGCTGTGTTTAGAGCATTACCCATCTCAATAATCGTCAACGAGAAGGTCTTCATAACCCATGGGGGATTACCAGGGACACCGACAAAAATAGATGAATTACAAGAGTCGTATAGAATGACAGATGCTCACACAGACGAGCTATTAAAGGGTTTTTTGTGGTCGGATCCTGAAGAGATAACGGGAATAGAAGAAAGTAAAAGGAGGGCCGGAGTGGTTTTTGGAATAGACATAGTAGACCAGTTCTTGCAAGGAAATGGGCTGGATCTTCTGGTAAGAAGCCATCAAGCTATTGAAAATGGATACAAAGTCAACCATGAAGGAAAGACTGTAACTGTATTTTCTGCACCTGATTATGAGGGTACTGAGAGCTCAGGGTCATATCTAGTTTTGTACCCTTCCAATGGTAGGGAGGACGAGGTTGTCAATGTATCCCGGCTTACAAAATATAAAGTAGGAAGATTTGGAAAATCCAAGCCTGGAGAGACTCTAAAGCTCTCATATGATTAAAATGCTTTGTCTTGAACACACTTCATACACAAGTAGATGGATATAACCAGTAATCCAGAGCATGCAGAAGCTCAGCCCCATGATTATCCGAAACGTGTTTTGTATTAGAAAATGTATTTAATTTTGGGAAACAGATGATTGGGAGGATGAGGAATGAGTATGGCCTATTAGACGAGAGGATTAGCAAATTCTGGCATCAAACCTTCAAAGCGGCGGTAGAGGAGAGGATACTTTTGAAGGATCTGAACCTGCCTCTTGCACGCATAAAACGGCTGATGAAAATAGAAGAGGGGGTCCGGATGGTTGCTTCAGAGGTTCCTGTCCTGTTCTCGATGATAACAGAGAAGTTCATTGAGGAGCTCACTCTTCGTGCATGGATAAACACAGAAGAAAACAAGAGAAGGATACTGCAAAAATCGGATCTGACTGCAGCAGTGAAGACTTCTGAGATGTTTGACTTTCTCGTCTATATTGTCCCAAGAAATGATCTCTTACATCCATTCAATCACCTGGTGCCGAATAAGGTGCACCATGGAGAAGAAGAGTTTGCTCCTAGAGTAGGGGATGGATATACAAAGCACCGTCTCAGCGAGAGGCAGATGATGGAAAACATGGCCGAGAAAATGGGGACCACACATCACCAAGGGTTTTATTCCCAAGATCATCGAATCGGGAATGAAATTCCTGAATCTATTACCAATCCCCATGTGGATGATTATAGAAGGGGATTTGATATTTCTTTCAATAGAGACATGCCTACAGATATGACGCCCGGAGGATCCTTCAGATGACTTTTCATTAGAAAGTTTGTAATAAACTTAGTTGCGGTTATTCTTGAAGGTAAGCTGAGTTCCACTACTATAAATCTTTATTTTTATTTGGGCCATGTGTGTACCCATCAATGGCCTTGATTATCTCAGGGACAAGTAACTTTCTTGTTAGATTCTTACTTGCAGAATAATACTCTAACCCTTTGTAGTCGATGCTCTTCATCTGGTTCTTAGCGGCTATCTGCCTTGCAAAAGGAAAGTTTGCAAAGATTATATTTCTGGAGCCCTTGGCCTTGGTTGCCACAAAGAAAAAGTCTAGCCCCATTGCCTTCCTGAAACTCTCTATCTCCACCATCAAGGCTATCCCTGCTTTCTCTTCGGGAATCCTACTGATATTCCTTCCCTCTCTGTCCGCCCAATCCTCAAATGGATACTTCACAGTGGATCCTCCAAAGAAGAAGTCCCTGTAATGGAAGGTTTTGAAATCCTTCTGAAGTATAAGGCCTGTCTCCTGTCCAGAGTCATTCTTCCTAGCATTCTTCAAAGCCCTTATTATTCCTTTCAATTTCTTTTTCTTTACATCTGCCAACCTTTTCAACCTCCTATATTCAGCCATATCGAATACACTTGTGCGTTTCTTTAAGAAGCCGGTATCCATGAGAATCGGAATAAGAAGGAGCTTAGCAAAGGCCGAGCAAAGGGTCTCTTTATCTTTCTGAGACTTTGTAAAAGATGGGAGAGAATGGTTCTTTCTTGCCAGATCCTCTCCAAGATACTTTGAAACTAATGTGGTTGCAGATCCGACATCCAGATCGATGTATATTCTTTTTGCAGGAGAAACACTCCTTTCAACCATATGATGGTCTATGATTAACTCAATTTCACAATCTTCAAGTTCCTCAGCAGGCTGGTTGTGGTCTGTAAGGAGAAGCTTTATTTTCTTACCACACACGGGATACTCCTTCTCTCCAGAATCAAAATATGCTCCTATCTTTCTTGCCTTTGAAGAAAAGTGTAGTGTTGGCTTGACTAGGAATATTAGGTCATCTACGTCTATTCCAAACTCTTTACAGACCCACATAATTTCCCCCTTTGCTACAAAAACCTCCTTTCTCATGTTAACAACGTGGACAGCACCTTCTGCATATGCAACCACCAGAGAGCTTATAAACGAATCAAGGTCACATGCCTCATTGCCCATTGCAACTAAAACTTCTTCACAATGAATCTTTTCCTTATTTACTTCAAAGAACAGCTTTAGCTTTTCTTTCAGTAAAGCCATTTGTTACCCTCTTCTTAGGTTCTTAAAAATAAAACCTGAAACAAGTGGCTTCTTTGGAAGAACTTAGACGTAGTATGAGTCCTCACTCCTTAATCTCAATTTCTCCTTTATGGATTGAGAGACTCCTTTACCTCCTTATAATAATAAAGTATCCGAAGACTGAATGCACATGTCGATGCTGGTTGACGAAGAGAAAAGAAGAATGCTGATAGCACAGATAGAAAGGACGGCGGAGGAGATCAGGAAGGGCCAAAAGAATATGTTTTGCATAGGACAGGACCATACCCATCTTTTTGGGTTGAGGACATCTGGAGTGTATCCAAAGTTTTCAAATGGATCAAAGATGGGACTTGTGTCTATTTGGTTCCTGGTTGTAATGTTTTTAGTATCATCCACATTCCTTTTGATTTTTATGAAGAGGTTTGATATCATTTAGTGAAGATGGTTATGAAAAATTTTGGCATCCCTGAGCACATGGGTACAGTTACAAAGAAGAACAAGGAAAAAAGACAAGCAGAGATGGAAAAGATTAGAAATTATGCAGAGAAATACCCTCTTGTTGCTGTGATCGAAAACCCAGGGATACCTAATGTTATACTCAAGAAGATCAGGGAGGACTTTAAGGGGACGTCTAAGATTCTGTTTACAAGAAAGAAGATGGCAAGTGCTGTGTATAACATGCCTTCGATGCCTGCAGATTCTTTTTTCCTGATGTTCGGAGATGAAGGTGCTATTGAAAAGGCAAAATCGTATGAGTACGAGGACTTTCTTGAAGAGAACGACATCTGTCCTTCCCGTGTTGTTATAGAAAAGCAGGTGGTAAGGAACAAGGAGATGATTGAGATTTTGCCTGTGACCATGAAAGATGAGAAGATGCAACTAAACGAGGATTATGTCGTTTGTGAAGCAGGGGAAACTGTCGATGAAAGGAAGGCAAAGATCTTGAAATTCTTTGGAAAGAGGCTGAAAAAGAAGAATTTAGTTGTGTTTGATATTGCATCAACTTCAACCCTTTTGAAGTCCAAGAACGATTAAAAAGTTTATTGAACCCCGTCTTCGAAAAAGGATCTTTCTATCTCAAGCTCGATTTCCTTTCTTGTAGGGATCTTTTCAAGGAAGTTTTGTCCTTTAACTTTGAAGTCATTAGCGTAGAGAGAATTAAGAGGCTTTCCTTTGTAGGAGTGTAAAAAGGCTCTGACGAGACCCTGAGCTCTTCTTGTCTGGGATTTCAGCACGTCCTCTCTTAGGTTTATACATGCCGACTGATCTATTCCTAAAGTGTCACTGAAGGCATTTGCTCCATCTTTTTGCTTTATGCATATGGTAAGAGATGATATGATTGAAGAATGTGCACTCTCAAGTGCTCCTGAATTATATGACACCATGAAAAGATAAACAGCTCTGTGTGTGTCAAACGGCCCCGTATGACTGTTGAACGTTTCAGATACCTTCTTCACAACTGTTGGATCGTCCACTTGGAGAATTTCAATCAATTCATTGACATATGGGCAGAACTTATGTCCTCCAGAGAGGCTTGACGCACTTCCAATCACATGCACCAATGACTTCACACATGCAACAAGATCCCCTGGATCCTCAGAAACTCTCCATTCGTTGATAAGTCTAGTAATCTCTTTCTGGATGAAGGGATTTGGATTCTTCAAATAACCCAGAAGGTCTCTATTGAAGCAGGAGATATCAATGGCTGGATAGGTATCTATATCAGAATAAATCTTTCGAAGTATTTCTTCAGGAACATCTCCTAGCATTTTGAGAATGGCAAAACATCTATCGAAAGGTGATTTCTCCAGAAAGGCTCTGTAATAGGATCCTGCAAATCTACGGAACTTCTCTGGCTGCCTCTTTAGGTAGAAGAAGAATCTTATGGTCTCGTCCCGTGTCCATCTCTCGGTGAACTCCTCCTCTCGCCCAAGCCTTGTAAAACACTCTGCAATAACCTCATTTGCATAAGTTTTGTCAGGGATATTACACCTACTTAGTATGTTCTCGAGTTGGGGAATTGACAATGGAAACATCTCAAGGATCTTAATAACAAGTCTGCAGGCTTCCTTTTCGCCAAGATCGAAATATTGAATGTAATCCACAGCAGAGAGGTCTTTTCTATAGATGGCTAATGAACAGCGCAGAACAGGATCTCTGAATGTTAAGTCGTTTGGAATACTTGAAGCAGAAGACCCAAATAGCTTCTTTAGGAAGTAGAGGGCAAGCTTTCTTCCGATACAGTCCCCATTAACATTAATGAAGCTGATGGCAATGTTTGGATAGTTTCTACAGATAACATTGAAGAGTCCAAATACTTCACCTTCTATTTCTGTTCTTTGCCTTTCATCAATACTAAGATAAATCGAAACAACTTCTGTCTGCACCTCTCCAACTATCTCCTCTACCCCGTCACGGCTGAAGAGCTTTGTCCAAAACTCAATGGATGCAGAAAAGGTAATCAAATCCTTCCGAAGCCCCTTAAAGACATACTCATACATCTTCTTGACATTCCCCACCCGAGGTGCCTTATCCTTTAAGTTGTTGAAGCACATGATCATCCCATATGAAATGTCCATGTGAGATGCAAGATCAATAACGCTCTCTACATCAAGCATGTCCATCCCGTCATTCAAGAACTCAATGGTTTTGTCAGGAAACTCGCTACCTCTTCTTAATACTATACTGCAGTCAAAGGTTCGAGGCATCATCTTAAGAGATTCGGTCAGTATTGGAATAATGTGCTTGGCCATGGAATCATCGAATAAAGGCATATATGCATGTGACATAACCCCACATCCTCTCTTTAGCTCATCCTTTCTTTCCTCATTAATTTCTTGGCTGTAGTTGCACAGATAGAGAAAGTTCTCTAGGATCTTGTATCCCATTTCCTTTCTATGAGAAAGAAGGTCAATGATGATAGAAAAGAACTGAGGAAAGTTAGAGGGCCATTCATAAATCCCGAGTAAGGCAAATACCTGCGCTGCTTTGTCGGCATTGCTAACTTGAACTACATCTGACATAAAGCTCATCTCCTCTTCAGGAGAAATATTTGACATCTTCTTGCTTTTAATTCTGTGCTCAATAACCTTCAGACCATAGAAGGTGACCTCAGGGATTGTGGAATTCATCAGCTCCTTTGCAGGTGCAAGATCAGGAGAGTCCACACACCTCTGGACTTCTCTTTCTATCTCAGGCATTGCAGACGGATCTTCTCTTAGCCTAACAAACAGGTCTTCTAGCCTCATTTTTGAAGAGGGCGATGGAAATAGTAAATTTTATGGTGTCTAAAGGTTGTCATATTCCTTGAAGAGGAGTGCCTGTTCATCGTTCTTCAAAACCCATCATCCGTAATTGGAAAGCACATAATGTCAAATGGGCACTTCCTGATCGGAATGATTGTGTCTCATGATACCCACATATAAATCCATTGGACTATCAAATCAAGCCAGTTTTAAGTGTTTCAGAGTATCTCGTGAATGAACAGCGATGTCTTGTACGAAGTTATCAAGTACCTGGACTTCCCGGTGAGGAATAGAAGGATACAGGAGGTACAGCTGAGCAGGAATAATTCCAGAAGAATGATGAGGCTAAACAGGGATCTCATTGAGAAGAAACTATCTGATCGTCCACAGATAATCGATCTAAGAACATCCAACATATATAAAGAGCATGGAATAAACTTCCATAGGATACATAAGAAATTGTCAGATGTTTTTCATCGGAGAGGTTCCCCTCCATTTCCAAACGTGTCCGCCACTCTGGCAGGAACAGTCAAGATCATGGACTTCAAGCTAAGGAGGATAATACTTGCATCAAGAATAGGCAGTAAAAGATAGACTTCAAGATGTATTAAAAGCTTTTATGTAAGCTGGGAGTCTTTGTCACCCTTTGAAGATGTTTCCAAAGATCCCAAATAGAACCAATATTATTAATATTCCTGCAATAAGGAAGTATTTGAAGTTCTTCCAGAACAACTTGTTCTTGGCCTCTTCAGTAGCTGCCTTGTGCTCTTCAGTTGTTTTTTCCAATGTGAACGTTTCCGATTTCAGATTCGTTTCCAGATCCCCAAGATCCCTTTGTGCCTTTAACTGCTCCTTAAGGGCGCCCTGGAGGTCTTCCACCTCCTTCTCTATCTTTTGTGTGACTTCGTCTCCCATGGTAAATAATCCTTTGTTTCATATATTGCCCCTTAAAACTCCTTATATCTCAGATATAAATAAATATCGCTGCACTTCCAGGGCTATGCACCCCCTTGCTAAGCACTATAATTTAGTCATGCCATTCCATTTCTTACAGCTTATCAAAAATGCTCTCAATCGCTTGGTAATTCAACTTTCCGGAAATCTTCCTATCCAAACTCCTAAATGCTTCAACAATGGACCCAAACTCCTCATTTCTTCTTCTTCTTTTCCCTTTCTTCACACTACTCTTCACTCTCTTCTCCCTCTCTCTCATAAATTCTCCATACATTTCTTCCCAGACAATTTCTCTCCTCTTAGTCTCTTCAGGAGAAAGGATGTTTCTTTCAATCTCTTCAGAATCAGAAAGGATGTCACTGTCAATACTGCTCTGGGGAGTGGAATATGGAACTGTCTCAGTACTTCCAGATTCACATTCTTGTTTCTTTGCCATCTCCATCCTCCTTAGCTTAACAGAGGGTGGGTCCTCCTCTTTGTCTATCCATGTTGCATTAAACTCTTCAATACTAAGGTTCGCACTCTCAGTGTCCCCTATCTCCTTCAGCCTCTTGTTTATGGTGCTTACAGAAACATGGACTATCTTTGCTATCTCATATATGCTTCTCTCCTCTCCAACTATTCTGGAGGCAATCAGAAGGGCTGCTCCACACAGGTTGTTTGGCCTTCTTCCAACAACAATCCAATCCCTCTTCATCCTGCTTATTAATCTTAGAGAAAGCCCTAGTACCTCGCTACTCTCGAATCTCAACCGAGAAACAAAACGAGGCATGTACAAGGATGGGTCAATCAAAGGAATGTCAATTCCAAGCATGGTTGTTATCTTCAAAAAGCTTTTACCTATCTTAAACACGTCAATATGCAATGCATTTGAAAAGTCCATCAGCATATGGGGTGTCTTCTCCTGTCTGCAGACAATGTAAATACAGGCACTTAGAGTATACAAAATAGACTTCCCCTTGCTAAGGTTATACTGAAGAAGAAGCTTATACCATCTGAAGGAACACTCGACATGGTCAATCCCAAGCCCAAGCGATGCACATATCCCACTTATAGTGTTCTTGATGTAATAACTCGAGTCAACAAACCCAGTCCCAACATTCCTAGAATCAATACCAACAATCTGTCCATTAAGAGTAGCCTTGGGGCCCTCAGTATTGAAGTTTAGTGATGCAACTATGGCATTCTCCTCTTGTACCATCCCACATGTCGTGCAATAGACTGCCCCTTGCGCCGTGTCTTCTGCGAAGTCTCCCGAAGAACAGTTGGAACATATACCCATGGGGTAGACAAAGAAGGTCTAAAAATCCTGGATAATAACATTCAATTAAGAAATACATTTATTATAAAAACATGTAATCTGTCACTCATATCCTTTGAAAACATATCGGCTGTTCCAACCCCCGAAGTCCCTTACAAGTGTATTGGGCTCCTGCAGAAACTCCACTTCCTTCTGCTTCCGGTCTAAAATCTCGTTGAACTCAATATCTCCAACCCTCACTCTCTTCTGGGGCTCTCCTCCAATAAGATCAGCAGATTCAAATCTGTATTCCCTTACCTCTCTTTCACCTGCCTCTAGCAAACTCGACTTAACAAACTCCTTAGTAAATTCATCAAACTTTACATCATCTTCAACTACTTCCCTCTCAACCTCATTCATCTCCCTCAAGTTACCTCCACTTCTCATTACCATCCTTAGTTGTGCATTCTTTGGGAGAACTCTGAGAATGTGGAGAATAGACTCTTCGCTCCCCACATTATATCTATCGCTCAGGTAATTCTTCACAGTCACCTGATATCTCAAGAAAGATAGAAGTTCTGGAACCTGGTACTCACACTCTCCATATGTCTCTTCAACAAGAATCCTGCACATCATTTCGGGAACGACTCCTTTTCCATGTCTCCTCTTCATTCTGCATCCAAGCTGCTCAATGTAGTATCTCAAAACGTCTGTCAGGACATTCAACGCCTGGTCGGCGGTCTTGTCAAACCCACTCTGTGACAATACTTCTACAACTGCAAGTTTCAATATCTTGGTATTCATGTTTGATTTCATCTAAAATCTCAAGGAGTAATTTTTTCATTCTCCAAATCATGTGTCCATTTAACCTACTACTAACTCAAAAACTTTGTCACACCAATTCGATATTTATTTCACTTCGCCCCATCCTTCATTCTACCTCTAAACTCCTCTTCATCTCCTCAAGCTCTTTCATCAAAACTCCAAGCTGTGATTCAAATCTCTTCTGGAGAATAGGATTAAGTGCGCTCTCCATCTGTTTCCTTTTCTCCTCAATACTCTTCTCTAACCTCTCAACCTCTGCATTTCTTGGCTTCTCTTCCTTCTTCTCGTCCGCTTCGGGAGGGCAAGCCTGAACTTCTTCCTGATGCAATTCCTCATGATCTGCTAGTTTGTTCTCAATCTCTGCAGCAAGCACATCCAAATCATCCGAGTCCTCCTTTTCTTCCTTTGTAACCACTTCAACAGATATAGCCTTCATATCTTTCTCTAGAAGCTCGTTGACCTTCCTCTCGATCTCCTCAACATATTCAACCTTGCTATTCTTCTTTCGGAATCTCCTCGCCTTCACATATTTTAGTGGAGGGCACAGCCCACTCAGCTCATGCATCTCTCTCTCCTTATCAAAGTCAAAATCACCATGCGGATACACAACTACAAGTGTAGATATATCTGCAACTTTATAGTGTTGCCTACCATCCATGGTCTTCTGTGACTCGACTATGCATGGAAGTCTCACAATTATTCCCGGATATCTCTTACCATTGTGCACCAGAACAACAGACTTGTCATTGCATACATCTAATGTCGAACTCTTGAGGTCCACCACATGCTTTATTGTTTCGTGGAGTCTAAGGATAAATTGTCGCTCCATATTGCCGGGGCTTTGGTTTCAGCACATGGAAAGAGGCTGATATATCAAAGCCCCAATGAAGTCTTACATGAAGGATGGCCTGAGAATCGGATTTACAAAGGAAGCTTCTACGGACAATATTGAAACCATTTCCCTGGAAATAGCCAGAAAGTTTGAATTGTTGTCAGGTATTTGTGACAATAGAAGCTTATCGGAGTTTCCTGTCAGCATAATCAAGGAGGTAGTTGGCTTGTGCAATGATCTAAAGGATCTTACTCCTCATTATGGGATGCCTGATGAGTATGTCAACTATGTAAGAGAGAATAGGGATGTTCTGGGGTATTTCGAGAGATCCGAAAGCGATGTCAAGAGTGAGGAGACCCGGATTATCAACAAGAGAAAGACATTTGATGCCTTTAGAAGCATGGTGGAAAAGATAGGAGAGATATGAGAAAGGCTTGGATTGTCTTGTGAAGGTTGGAATGACTTTTCAAATAAACCTTTTTATCATATTACATCTATAAGCCTCATGCTTTTTATAGACAATTTTTTTCCGAGAAGAAAGAAAAAAAGGAAAAACCCATGATGAAGGAGCTTTTTACAGGTGTTGAATCAAACGAGGTAAAGGTCAGGCGGCTCAAAATGTACATGGAAAGTGGAGGGTTCCTTGAGATACTTTTCTCTCCGCAAGAATTTCTCGAGCCATTGGTTTTGTTTGCTACGCAGGTACTCAACAGCATAGAACCTGAGAAGAAGTCATCATTTATGTCCGGAGGAAATGAGATGAGGTATACTCTTCTTAGACTTCTGAACAAATTTTCTTTGAAGGACATTCGGAGTATGGGGTTGGTACATGCCCTTCACAATGTACTTCGAAACGACAACCTCCCAAATGCGATTCTGTCGTTGAAGGCGCTAGGCTCCTTGAGCAGGTCAGGGGTTATCACCGGAGATCTGATAGATGTGCACATAGGGGTGCTTTTAGGAACTGTTCACGATCTCTTTGCTAATATGGAAAATGGAGACGAAAGCCTTACGGAGATATCACTGTTTACCCTTACTGAGATATTGACACATGCCAGGGCTTTTTTCCATGGCCTAGAGTATCATGCCACCAAGATCGATCAATTTCTGGCCCGTGTGTATGGGTACGTTAGGAGGGTTTTTGAGAACAGAAGATTTATGGATGGGATAGTACACAAAAGGATGTTTTCAATAAGCATGTGCTCTGGAATCTGTAGCCTCCTCAAGCTGACATATGAGCAGCTCCCCATCGTGTCGAAATCTGGACCCTACCATATGCTTGCCTCCGAGGCTGCATTTGCTGGGATGTACTACTGTCCCTCTGAGATCTTGGATCTTAGAAAGGAGATATACATCTTGTTTACCAAAATGTGTGTGGGAAACAAGGATATGGTTCTTCCCATGATGGATAAAATATATATGGTTCCGTTTCTGTTCTCACCAGATGCATTGCCCATGAACACTAAAGGAGTTAGAATGCTGAACGACATGCTTGGATATGTGAAAGAGGGTCTTAGCAAGGCGGCGTACATGGAGTTTGGATCGAGAGTGTCTAATGTTCTTTTTTTCTCTTGTTCCTTAATCAAGAAGCTATCTAAAGAAGTTTCAGAAGGCAGTGATATGGGGCTATTGGGAGGGGGGAATGTGGAGGACATAATTGAGCAGCACATTGAAGCTCTATGTGTTTGTCTAGAGGCTGTAGAGAATATATGCAAATACTTTGGAAACAAGGCCGGGGATGTGACGGAACTTTATGAGGTTTATCTCAGGAGTTTTTACGACATGAAAGACGGGTTTGAAGGAATTAAAGGACTGGCAGGATTGGTGTCTTCTGACAAAAAGGAGGAACTTAAGAAGGCTATGGCAAGATTCATCTGTGGATTTAGAGAGCTGACCGGACGAATTGGAATTCTTGAGAAATCTGGAAATACAATTATTTTCTCTGTACCTGAGATCCATATACTCTATGAGATGTTTGAGGATTCTTTCGACGTATTTTCTCATGAATTCTTATGCCAGGAGCAAAGGATCGAAGGGTTCTTCTCTGTGCTGACACTTATTAGGGAGAACATTGCTATTGACATAATCAAGTGCTGTTCGGAAAGAATTCTGGAGTATAGTAAAAAGAACAAAGAGTTTTTTGGAATATGGAAGCTGGCCAGCAGTTCTGCAGTTTTAGGAAATACACTCAGTATGTACATGCTCCCCCGGCTTGTTGATGAGCTTAACGGCGGAGACTTTGACTTTGTCAAAAGGGCAATGAAATACATTGTCCCGTTCTTTGGAAATGACATAAAGAAGATAAAACGAGTAAATACGTTCTTCATGCACAGAATAATTTCTACGCTGATGACTGCTAATCCCAAGAACATACTGCATTTCGAGGTTCTACTGGAGGTTTTCAATATTTTTGGGTCGATGGCAGAGAAGAGTAGTTTCTTTCAGAAATACATCTTTGACAATTTTCCAAGAATAGTCGAGCATCTTATGAGGCTCTATGAGAATCAAGGCAGGGACATATTCATAGAGATGATATTTGCATTACCAATAAGTATCAACCTGCTTGAGTCGGACATTCAGTTTCTCATAAGACCCATTGAAAAGGCATTGATGCTGAACAAGGCAATAAAAGTCAGGGCACTATCGATCCTTGTATACGTTATTGATTTTTCGACTCCAGAAAAGATTACAGGGCTCGAGAGAACATGGAAAAGCATATTGAAGAGCGTTGTGCGAGATCTTAAGGATAAAACTGTATCATATTTATGCTCGAGAATATTAGGGAAGCTCAAGACCTATCACAAGATATTTACTAGAGACTACGAAGGGTTTAAAGAGACAAATGAGGATTTGCAGCTCATAAGGCTTGTTATAGATGGAAAGCATGGGGTTCCTGCACATCTTTTGTTTTTCGATGCAGTGCAGAAAATAAGAGGGGCCTTCGAACCATCTGAAGACGATTTTGGATCTGAGAGGTTTCTTATCAGGTTTAGGAAAATAGGTCCCAGGAGTAATGAGGAGGAAGCCAGGGATGCAGCATTCAGACTTATAACAAATGTGATGTATCATCTTATGGGATGGGGATTCTTTAAGAAGGATTTGGTCGTGAAATGCTATACCGGGCTTCTTGACGAAATGAAGGAGGTAAGAAATGTGCCTGATGCATTGGATTGCGTGTACTCCATTCACGGGATCATTTCATCTTTGTGTGATAGAAAGTGCTCGGATAGTCAGCATCTGGCTCAATACATATACGACGGGATTCTTGCACTCTTCAGCTGTCATGGAACTCCTTTTGAAAAGAAGGCTCAAGAGCTTCTTCATTCGATCTTTGGAACTGTGTTGCTTATCAGGATATTTTCATTCCATGGGTTTAAAAGCAAAAGCTTCAGAGTTCTTCTCAACACGGACACGTTTTTGGATGCACTCATTGAATCATTTTCTGATGTTGAGAACCCGATGCCGTTCAAGATTCTTTCCATCATGTTTGCTCAAATGTATGAGCTCCTTGGAAACAAGTCTGAATACTTCTGCATCGAGATGTATGGAAGTATTTTTTCAAGGTTCAAGTTGATGTGCAGATCGTCCGGTAAAAAGTGTAGGGATTCCGGGATCAATGGGATGTTATGTCTTGCAGCGACCATGCCTACTAGGGAGCTTGTGATGCTTCGGATCCCCGAGGACTCGTTTTCGCATACATACCTGTATCTTCTTCCTCGAGGATCCGAAGACTTTTCTCTTCCACTCAAGCTTGTCATCTTCATTTTGAGATTCAGGTACAGAGGGATCAGAAACTATTTGCTTTCTGAGGGAACTGAGAGATACTTTATGACATCGCACTTCAGACCATTTGTGGCCGGGCTTTTTGATAACAGGAAGGACGTTGCAGAGTTTTCCAAGGCTGTGCTTCGAGAGGTATTCCAGAGCTATGGACCCCAGCTTCTGGAGAAGCATAAAGACATAGTATTTGGGTTTTTTAAGAAGGAGTATGTGATTGAAAGTAGGGCTATGATGATAATGCATTTGAAAGCATTTGTATTCTGTGTACAGGAGGGAAAATGCCCGTTTGATGATTGTGAGATGAAATATATTGTTGAGAAGTTCTTGGACAGTATTGCAAGCAACAGTGAATGGAAGGGAACAGAAGGAATTCATATGAACTTTGATTGCCGAGAAAGAAACGAAAAGATGGATGGAGAGAAGTTGTGTGGATGTGGCATGAAGCCAATGGAAAGTGAAGAAGACATAGGGGTTGTTCTAGGAGGTGTTTACAAGAAGTTATCAGAACTATCTATGAGAGACTTAATGGAGATTGCCCTGAAGAATACAATGGATGTGTTCTGTGGAAACTGCAAGAGGGAGGCATATAGGCATAGGGAAGTGCATTCTCTACGGTTCAATAATGAAGCAGAAGAGCTGATGCATTGGATAAGGGAGTTCTACCTGCTTGTTATTAAACATAGGAAGTCCTTTGAGGAGATAAGGATGGGGGGTCTATATCTGTTAAGATATATTTCGGATGACACCACGGATTATCTTCGAGCGGCATACGATGCCAAACCTCAGGAGACAGAAAGTGTGATAACCTCAGAGGTTGAGAGGTGCTTATCTGAGAAAGTTGATTACAAGGTACTTAATATGCTGCAGTGTGTTCATTCCACAGATAGAATTCCTGAGAATCCTAGAATAGGAATGTTGGTTCTGAAGATCCTGAAAGAGTTCCGGGTGCCCAAGGAGTTTGCCATTATTGCCCAGAATGATAAGTATTCTATGCTAGCAAGGGCATATGAGATAGGGATCTATCTTAAGAACCAGGAAGGGTTGTGTGGTGAGATCCTAGAGACATACTTTGCCTTGGATGGATATGTTAAGAGCTATACTTCGAAGATATATCCTCAAATGATCAAGTATGTGGAATCCCTTGGGCCACAGTTTATAAGCTGCATGTTTAGAAGAATCCAGGATCCATCAGCCTACAACTTATGTTCTCGCCTATGCAATGATTCTCAAAAACTAAGAGGAATAGTATCTGGAATGAAGGACAGGCTTGCAGAGAGGATATCGCAAATATATTGCAGGCTGGAGGGAAACGATTCTGTAGACAAGAGTGTATTTGTATATTCTTATAGACTTCTTAATCTTGTTGGATACGAAATGAAACCTGCAGACATTCAGGTTATTCTTGGAATTTATGGGGATATGAAAGCCAGACCTAAGTATAGCATTGAGATGAGAGGAGTGATTAGCAAGTGCATCAACAGGTTTTCTCCAGAGAATCTTGAGATGCTGTTCAAGCTGGATCCATGGTTTGTGTCGGTGGATGGAATAGATCCGAGGCATCTTACCAGTGGCCTCTCTTCTCAGGCTCTTCGAGGAATTGTTCGAAGTATTGACAAAGGAAATATTCTTACGCTCGAAAGGTTTGGATCTTCACTAGGGGAAAATGGACATATTTTGATTGAGCTGTTTGTGGAACTGGGGATCAGATCTGAAAGTCTTATTGGATATTGTAAGGAGAACTTGCACAACACAAACCTTAGGGGGCTTTTATTGTATTACCTGTGCACATTTGAGCCCTTGTACATCTACTTTGAGGTTTTGTTCAAGCTTCCATATGAGGATAGGAAATACACGCAGTATTGCCTAGAAAGGGTTGTTGATGCCTTTGATCCTCTTCTCTTTGAAGAAATAATTCTGATTGTACTACGGTCTGAGGTGAGGTTTAAGACAAGCTTGTGGATTCTGTTTCCTTTGCTTTTGTCTCGCCCAAGACTTATCACCAGAAAGATTGCTCTTGAGCTCTTAGGGTCGGTTCATAAGCTCCTAAGCTCTTCTGACCTGGTCCAGCAAGAAATGGGATTCAAGTTATTTGGGATTTTACATGATAAGTGTTCTATAAGAGATGGGACAAGGGCCGGATCTGTGGACCATTGCCAGATGATTAGGAAGGCATATACCTTTGTGTTTGTGAGGTTTATACATACGGACTTGAATTTGCCTGCAGACCTTTTTGGGAGGTATAATCTAGAGCTTGCCTTTGAACTACTAGAATATTCTCCTAAGAGATTGAATTTCAATAACCTGTTTGGGTTTCTTGAGGCTGAGGTAAATAGTAAGAAGAGTGAAGATTATAAGAGTTGTTTCTTGAGAAGTATTTGGACGATTATAGCACCTCACTTCAGGTCAAGGGCTTTGGGAATCCAGGTTATCAAGTATCTTATAGACATGGATATATGGAACTATAAGTCTGTTTCTGAAGAACTAGGATCTGTTTCATATGACTGTAATACGCTGTATAATCTTCTTTGCCTACTTTGTGATAGGGTTGGAGAAAGAGGGAGTGGAAGTGATGGGGATTGTGAAGACAATATCATAGACATGGAAATATGCTTGGATACGATCAAGTACTTACTCAAAGAGTACAGTAAAAATAGAAAGGATGAAATCCTGGGATATGTGGATAAAGGGCTTGAGAAGGTGCTCCATGTTCTGTCTTTATTTTCTGGAATGAAGGATGTTGTGTGCTCGGCATCCAAGTTTCTTTTAGAAGCTTTTGAAGACAAGCACACGAGTGTAGATCCCTTAGTAGGTAAGATAAGCTTCTTTATGTCTGATTTTCGAGTAACTCTTGCAGATAAGATTGGGATGGTGTGTCTCCTGAATAGCAGGGGATACGATGCTGAGTTTCTTAGTGAGGTGCTGCTTCCTGTCTTCAGTAGTTATCGCTATTCTGAAGCCAAGTTTCCAGACAGTCTGCAAAAGTTCTTTATGAAAGGTCTTTCTTCCAGAAACAAGGATCTGAGGAGCGGGTATCTAGATCTAATGAACCGGACTATTCCTATGAACAAGTATCTAAGACTTCGGTGCCTTCTAGGCTTGGAGTGGAGGTACAGTACAAATCCCGGATATGTCATTGCTTCTATGATGATATCATCATGCTATAAGACTGAGATAGTTGCAGATAAGTATTACGGGATTAAGCCGGATGTTGAGGTGGAATATCCTTGGACCCTACAGAAGATGAGCTCGAAGGGTATTGTGGACAAATGTAACGGGTTTAAGTTGATTATGAATCTCCTTGAAGATATTGATTTGTATAAGTCTAGAATAACAAGGCCTGATCTCCTTGACATTCTATATCATTTTGATGATTCCATACTGCCTATATTGAGTGGGATTCTGAAGACTGTGGTGGCTGAATTTGATAAGGATCAATGCAGGAATGTGTTTGGAAGCCTTGTTAAGTTTTGTTCGGGGATCAAGGGAGATGGAAAGGTTCTTGGAGCAGTTATTAGGGGCCTTGAGACGATCTACAAGTACAATGACTTGTCTGAGTTGATAGAAGTGTTCAAAGGAGGAGATGGATGGGCCACTCTATTGAGATATGCAAACGATAGACAAAAGGTAGAGATATATAGAAAGTTGATGAACAATGACGAGTATTTTGGAATATCTCGGTCTGTGTGCAGCTTCCCTGAAACCATGCAGGCATACTTTCTTCAGCAGATAGGAAAGACAAAGGAAGCACAATTTCTTTATGAAGAAATACAAAGAAAGGCGAGTGAACACAAAATATCTTTCAATGAGAGTGAATATAAGGCATGGCAGGACGAGTGGATCAGATGTGCAAGGGAACTACAGCAATGGGATGTGTGCTATGAGGTGGGGATGGAAACTGGAGACCATTTGTTAAGTGGGGAGTCATTGTGGCATCTTTCCAGTTTTACATCTCAGGAAGCGATAGAAAAGTTCAAAGATGTAATTGATAGAGGAAGGAATGTATTTGAAAAGGAATTCTATAACACATTTGCAAGCACGTTTATGAAGTATTCGGCAGAAAAGATTAAGGATATCTTGGCAAAGAACATTGCAGAGCTCAGGAACTATCCAGCAGAGAGTGGAGCAAGGTCTAGGCTCCTTACATATCTCCAGATCATAATAGAGATGGTTGAGGCCGAGCCCATACTCAACGATAGGTTAGATGCGGCGGAAGCCCTAACATCAATATTATTCCGATGGAAGGATAAAGAGCCGTCGACATATGACTCCTTTGAGCAATGGAGTTTGTTTAGGACATGGAGAAGGCATGTATATTCTCGATTAGGGATGATTGAGAAGGTGGATAACGAGGAGATGATGTTCAAGTTGTCAGGAGGGGGGTACCTAGAAGAGACGGTGGGGCCTTCTGGAGGAGGAGGGCCTACGGGATCTAGTTTATTTTCTCCAAAAGAAGTGGTTGAAAGCAGTATAAAGACAAGAAAGGAGTTGGTATCTAAAGGAGCAAGTGAATTAGCCAAAATATTAAATGCATTTTCCAAGGCAGCCATTGATAGGGGATACTATGATGCAGCATTGTTTCATCTTAAAGAAGTGTTTGACCTGAGTAGTGTTAAGGTAGGAGATGCATTCCAGAAAGTTGTTTATGAGCTTCTTTGCTTTCTTGGAAAGAAGGAATATAAGATAGGAGCCGACCAATGTGTGTCAGCCAACATCCAGCACTTCAGCGATTCCCAGAGCTCTATTTTGTTCAACCTAAAGGGCCTGTTCAGTGAGAAGCTTGGAAAGGTTTCTGATGCCGAGAAGTTCTATCTGCAATCTGCACAGATATGCAATGTGGTGGGAGAGAACTGGCTCACATGGGGAAGCTTTCTGTTTGGCAGAGCTGACAAGGAAAGTGGAGGTCCAAAGGAGGATGCTTTTGTTGCACTACTTCAGGCGATAGCTTACTGTAGTGGTAGAAAAGCAAGGAGAGGGATTCTCAAGATGATTCTCCTTATGGATAAGTATTCTTCATTATGTGATACAGAGACATTCCATAAAATCCTTCAAGAAATTGATGTCTCGAGATTCATATACTTCATTCCCCAATTAATAGGATTACTAGAAAAAGAGGATTCTGAGCTAGCACAGGTTATACTTTCTAAAATATCTGAGGAACATCCACAAGCGGTCATGGGGCCTCTTAAGGCAGCCAAGGAAAGAATAAAAAGAACTCTATATCCTAGAAAGGAAGACACTGAATGTAAGATGCAAAGATATAAGAAGATGGAGAACAACCATAATGGGATTTCCAAGGTAAGGCCGAATGAGCAGCTCCTTGAGAAGAGGTGCTTCTTCTTGGAAAACATTATGCACATATACAATCGGATAAGAAATACCCGGGTTGGAAAGGAATTCTGGAAGATCCTTCATTATCTTCACAACTCATTCAATTCTCATATCTTCAAAGAAGAGGAACTTGTGTACCTAGAGATTGAAAGGATATTTGATAGTGCAGTGTTGCATGTCATGGATGGAGTTGTTCCTTCTGGACCTGGGCATGCTATGCTTCTGAACGAACTGATTTCTTGTATTTCTCTTTCCTCTTTGAGCAAAGGATTCAAGGAGGAGCTTATATCTTCGATTCTCGGGATGAGATGCATATGCCCGCTGGAGAACATCGATGAAATGGTTCGCTTCAAAAGCAAAATACAGGAGGTTGTTGAGGAGTCTTTCTACAAGATGGATAAGCCTGAGGAATCTGAAGTCAATCTGTTGCTTTACAGGTCTTGCCATGAGCATAAGATGCTTGGTCAGTACTCCGAAATAAGAAGTAGTTACAAGAACCTTGTGAGTATAGAGATGTTTGAGTCAAGACAATCGTATGTGTATAGAAAAAAGATGGGGTGTAACCGAATTCATGTGAGAGGAAATGATGGGAGAGTATATAGATATGAGATGAAGGGGTTATTGAAGACTAGGTTCTCTGAGCTTGCTATTCCCCAACTGTCTCTGATGATTAACGAAGCCATGGGGGAGGAGCCAAATCTGTGCAAAAGAGGAGCAGAGCTAAAGTTAGACGTTCCATTCGTTGTTAGTGAAGTTCTCGTAATGAAATGGATCAAGGAGCCTGTCTATTATGTAGACTCTATACTGGAAGAAGGGCTTTGTAAATATAACATAAGCATTGACCAGTGTGTACTCCTCTATCTCAACCATTTTGCATCTATCTACGAGGTAAAAGAAAACAGCCCTGGCCACTTCGAAAGTAGATATGATCTGAGTCGAGGGCTTGTTAGGAGTAAGAAGCCTGTAACTCTAGAAGACGAATGCCCTAACATAAGGAAGAGGGAGAAGGTTTCTAGGGACGAAGAGTCGGATGAGAACTTCATCAATAATGCTAAGGCCAGTATTGAAAAGCAAAGAGAGAAGTATGTTAGCAATCTGAAACAAAACAAGGTTGAATGTCTCGGGTGCAATGAAAAGGGTGAAGGGATTGCTCCATGCACCTACAAGTATGAGGCTTCTAAACGCCAAAAGTATATAGCTTACGAGAAGATGTATAATACCTTTAAAGTATGCAACTTTCTTGATGAATATCTCAGGTCTATTTACGGATGTCTGGGAGGATATTTCAGATTCAAGGATAGACTTCTTTCGAGTTATTCGGTGAATAGTGCCTTTCTGTACATGCTCTCGATTGTGGACAGGAGGCCTAGGAATATTGTAATCACCAAAGCCAGTGGACAGTTCATGAACAAGGACATCTGCTACGAGGACTCAGAGCTGGCAAACAGGGGGAAGGGCGGAGTTATAGGGCCTGGATACCAAAAGCTCTTTAGGAAGGAGGGGATAGAAGGAGTGATGCTGTCTATTATGTACTATTATGCAGACATGATGAGTAAAGAGGACTGGAGCAAGGATTTACTGAAGGTCGTACTTGAAGGTAAGTTTATGGACATGACAGATGAAGGGCTGAGAGGAATCCATAAGGTAATACTAGGTAAAATTGCAGAGATGACTGGGAAGGGAGAAGATGGAACTTACAATTTGATCCCAATGGTTAGCGAATGGATGGATGTGTTCAAGATGGCACAGGTAGATCCAAGGCATATGTCCTGGATGTAATAGCCTATTAAAGTTATTTACTTTTCTTACCAACTCTTTGACTAAAAGAATGGGGCTATGATGACCCATGGATACAGTTCTCGTGAAGCTTGTGGATAGAAGCCATCTTGATGTTGAGCATGATCCTCTTCATGTAAGCCCTTCTTTCTGTGTGGAAGACCTCGAGCGTTATCTAAGATCTGTGCTTAGTGGAGATGGAGGCTATAGATTCTATATAGAAGGGCGGTTACTTGAAGGATGTCTTCAGAAGGAGATAGAGGAAAGGGGACTGGAGGTTGAGAGGGGGGTGATCATTGAATATGAGGTTGATGGCCATTGTACACCCGATGCCACCGTGGAGGTCGAAGACTCAATATCGTTTCTGAATGTGGTGAAAAACGATATTTGGGAAATATGGTGTGGAACCTATGGAGGTAGACTGCAGATCTATGCCTACCAAGACGGTTCAATTGTGCTGAAGAAAGCAACTGAATACAAAAAGGTCCGAGGAGTTGCCCGTGGAGATAGACTCTATATCTACAATTCTGATGGAGAGGTTTTGTCACTCAGATCAGGGGCTGTTCTGTTCAAGGTGAATGGTGAAATCACATGCTCTGCCTCTTCCTGTAGTATTGTTTCTGTTGGGACCCATGAGGGGGAATGCTACGTGTTCAAAGGAAGACTCATGAAAGTACATAAGTTTAAAGCATGTATATCGGTAACAATTATAGATAAAGACGAGGTGATGTTTGTATGTATGGACGGAAGCATGGGGGTCTTTGAAACGTCTACAAATGCATTCAGAACAAAAGACTTTGGTTATAACATAACCTCAGGAGACGCAAGAGGAAATGAAAGAGTATTTGGGACGTCATGCTCGGGGCTGATTGTGGAGAGCAAAGACCATTCGACTTTTGTTCCTACAAATATCAGGTTTAGTAACAAAGTATTGATGTACAACAGTTGTGTAGTTGCTCAGGCATCTCAGCACACAATATCAGTTATAAACGCTAAGAACTCGCAAGAGTTGAGGAGAATCTCCACAGAAGGGTACATTTCGGACATTGGATGGGCAGGAAATCTTCTAGTTGTAGGCGTTGGATCTAACTTACAAGGGTATATTATACATAACTTGGGCGGGAACTTTTAGTTTAATTTGGAATTTCTCTAGAGAGCCGCAGGAATGAATCTCTCAATAAAACATCTCTGTCCTCTGTATGTTATCAGCGGCACACCAGGAATTGCCTTTATTCTTTGTCTTAGAGCTGTATCCGAGGTTGCAACAATGTAGCAACGATGTGCAGAAACCCTATTGAAAATGCAATCATCTGCATAAGTTCCCTTGTGATCACATTCAAGCCTTTGAACGTCATTATCTCTGACCAATGCAAGGGCAACACGGAAAGGCCTTCCCAGCTTCTCCAGCTCTGCAATGACACACTCTGGAACACATATCTTGATGCTTGCATTTACTACCTTCATCAACTGCTCCCTGATGTCGTACTTCTTTCTTATACAGTCATTAATGAAGTTCGTATCAAGAATAACATTATAAGGCGGTCTGAGGGTATGACTCAACAGAAACTTCTCTGTGTTTCTTGGATTCTCATTGATGCTCGGTATATTCTTCGGCTTCTCCACCCTTGGATTTCTTCTGTCCCAGATGTTGGCAACCTTCTTGATTTTTATTGCATGCTTCACCCCCATTGGCCCTAAGAGAATCGAGCTTTTTATCTGGAAAATATGGGCGACTATCCTCCCGCCTATCCTGATATATAGGCTCGAAGTGCCCATGAGTGTAAAAAATCGAAACGTGTTGTGTGTGGTCTCCGTATACATCCTCGTTTTCTTTTGTGATGTCCACAATATGGATTCTTATTGGTATACTATTGGAAAGAGCACATATCTCTACACACCCGGCTTGCTGGTAGAAAGGATCTACAAATCTTGTACAGTATTTGTCCACATCCATCTCTGGGATGTATGGCTGGTACTTCTCCGGATTCGACTTTATTTCTGTTGAAACAACAAGTCTTAGATATGCAACACAGTCGTACAATGAGTATAGAGGAACATCTTCAATCTTCTTAGTGCCATTAACCATATCTGCCAAGATGTCGGCAAATGAGTCATAAAACCCCTTGTACCCCAGCTCATCGATATTATACAGATGTAGCATTGAGTTTGTCTTAGCAAATGCACTGGTTAAGGTTTTCAGAAGAGGTTCTCCCTCCGATGTTACAAGATCGGCAAGCACAACTGCATAAGAGATGTACAAGCAATTCCCATCTCTTATACACTCACGGAACTCTGTGTACGACTTCATGATTCTTTCAATTCTAGATTTGTACACAGGATCATTGGAGTACTTGTGTTCGGTAAGGCTCTTCCTGATGCTAGTGGGTGCCTCAATCTTTGTTTCCTTGCCCATAAAAAGGGGTAGACAAGAAGAAGAAAAATCGTTGATAGTATGTATGCAAGGAGCGACATTAAGGCTCCAACCAGCATCTCCAGGAGATTTCCATTTTATCCGAAAATGCAGGGAAGCTCTTGACCATGAAAAAAAACGAATTAGGAAGGGAGTGCAGGTCTATCTTTATAAATCTGATAAAGACTACAATTGGATCTGGGATCCTCAGATACCCATTTCTTTTCAAGATGTATGGGGTTTGGTACACAACGGCCCTGACACTTATCTCTGCATTGGCATCACTCTTAGGACTGTGGCTGTACATAGACTTGAATGATTTCTATGGGTTGGACAACTCGATGTCAACTATAGCTAGATACATTTATCCTTCTTTACAGCCTGTTGTGAATGTAACTGTGTCCGTTAAATGCTTCTTAGTATGCACGGCATATCTTGTTCTGCTCAAGAACAATCTTCCTGGAACGATCAAAAGCATTTTTGGGTTGGAGGACACCCACCAGGCCTTGTGCATGGCTGGTGTAGTCTTGTGTGTATTTCCATTTGTGTCTATGCACAAGATCGACAAGTTAAGGTACACATCATCGTTTGGATTTGGGGCAGCGATAGCCCTTGTGTTACTATCTATATACAGATATGTAGTTTGCAAGGAAGTGCCCACCTATGGCGAGGGAAGGGTTGGGAACTACTTAGGAGAATTGGGAAGCTTTGTATTTGGATTTACTTGCCATCAGAATATATTCTCTGTCCAGAACGAGATGAAGGTGAGTGATAAGGCAGCACTGAAAATAACTGTACTTCTTGTGCTGCTGATGGCATCCCTTATATACATAACTTTTGGACTCACCAATTACCTTGTACTAGGAGATGGGATGAGCGAGAACTTCTTTGAAAACATACCTGAAGGAATGAAGAACATAATCGCCATGTTTTATTTCCTTGTTGTGATGATGTCTATTCCGTTACAAACACATCCATGCAGAACGTACTTTCTTGATCTGTTTGACACAAGGTATTCTGCAGACGGGAAATACTGGCACCTCAGATTTGTGACAAGCTTATTTATAATTCTGTTATCGTTTATGATTGCCATGAATGTATCGAAAATGGAGAGACTTTGTGAAATCATAGGAGGGTCCTTCTCTACACTCATGTGCTTTGTGTTTGCATCCCTGTACTACTTCATTGCATTTTGGAACAGAGGATTCGAAATGAAAAAGATCACTGCACTCTTTGTGCTACTATATGGGGTTGCCGCGTTTGTATCTCTGTTTCTTGCATCGTGATGTGTGCAAGGTTTGTGATGGAAGTCTTGTTGGGTGCAGAGAGGTGTGTGATGCTGATTTGTCTTCTAGATTACTTCAATACTTCCTATCCATCAATAAACTAGTAGGCCTTCATTGATAAGAGCAATATGCCAATCCTGGAGATACTTTTCCCCACGAATTTTAAAACACTCTGTTTCAGAACAAAAGCCTGAAAATATAAATTCAATAAGGACGAGGTACCAGTATGAATGCTATTTCGAGTTTAGTTCTACTAGGATGGGCTGTATGCCTAGAGAATGCAGCCAAGTCCTTCGACCCTGTTCTCCCCTCAACAACTTTCTATAAGCCAGATGCAATGTCTACTGAAAGTAAATACTCATTACTTACGTCCAAGCCAGAGGTACCAAATAAGAATACTAGCCTACAAAGCCCTGTGGCTTTTGGAGAGGGGAGTTTCTACAAGCTCTTACACCCATCGATGACCCGGCTGACTGACTATCTTAACAGCCATAGCACTGGATTCAGCGAGTGGTATCTTTCACCAAGCTTGATCATGAACAAGGACTTAAGAGATGAAATCGTCTCAGACTTGTACAGGGTTCAGCCTCAAGGCGACAAGGAGTTGAAAGAGTTCTGGGGATCCATAATGGGAGAACTTCTTATCAGAGACCTACCTGAGCTGAAGTCAAGTCTTGGGGAACTGAAAGAAATACAGAACGAAGAAAGGAAGAAAAAGAGCATAGCCGAGCTTAAGGATATTAATAACAAGAAGATCGATGAAGAAGACAACTTCTTTGGAACAGCATGGTTTATTCTAGACTGTCTCTCACTTGGGATCTCCAATCGGAATGCAGAAATCTATACAGATGTTATCGGGCCATTCTTGGATGCCGCTGTTGGCTTCAAAACTCTTGAGCACAATTTTTCAAACATCATTGGATCTTCTAGGAGTATAACTTCCCATAAAACAAGCAAGGTTTAATGAAGTAATAAATTGTATATATGGATATACTCTTACGATATTAGTCAGTCCTGGGCCTGTCGTCCACCGAGGTGATGTGGCCGAGTGGTCTAAGGCGGCAGACTTAAGATCTGTTATCGGAAGATATCGTGGGTTCGAACCCCACCATCACCATCTGATTTTGCATCTTGAATCCTCTCTATACCGCTGTGATAAGAACAGGCCAGGTACAGAGGAAGAAGAAAAAACGAAAAGATTTAATAGAGAGTCACCGGAGACTGCTGATTAGTCTTGATCATCACGCCCTTTAGGTTCTGTGTTCCTTTTTTAAGATAGGAAATAAGCAGCCCCATCCCGGTCTTGATGTTTTCATATATATGATCAGAATCCATTCCAGTATGCCCCACAGGAAACGAGGTAACTGCAAAATCCTTGATACGGAGCTTGTAAGACCTCTTTGCTGCTTCAAAAACAGCCTTAATATCATCATCGTCCTTAAGAATGTAAGGTGTTTTTCCAAATCTGAGAATGTTCTTGAGCTGAAAGACTTTGTTGTATCCAGAGCAGAGGATAAAATATTTGTTCTCCTTCAGCACGGCATCTCTTTTGGCTTTCTTATCGTCTCCAGCTATCTCTTCGATAGACACATGTGGCAGGCCTGCATCCACACATGCCTTGATGTGAGCCTCGTCAGCAATCACAATTATTTTATCCAGTCTTCTGACCTTATAAGGAAAAGACATATCCTTCGATAGCTTGTTATCCTTCCTAGGATCATATCCCTTAAGATTCACCTGTATCTGAATCGTGGCTGTCTTCTCAGGATCCTCATTCTCCTTCAGTCGATCAATGATCGAGGTAATTCTTTTAGGATCAAGAAATGCAAGTTGCTGCTCCTCGCTTTGATTGTTCATCTTACCCCCAGGGGAGGCAAAATTTTTTAAATCTTCTCGAAGGCCCACTAGAAAAGTCTTTCCATTCAATCACTTGATGTAGCGTCTATTATGCCTTTGTTCGTGGGCGGGGCTCTTAGGCCCGTCCACGGGGCCTCAGTCATCTATAATTACTGTAACTACAATGGATCTTGTAATGCTGCAGCATGTTATCCTTTCTGGAGAATCTCTTATTGCAATCTTTATTCAGACATTTGAATGGCCTCAACTTCGTATGGACTATATAATGTCTTTTGATCCTGCTCAATGTGGGAAGCTCCATGGTGCACCCCTCATATGGGCAGATGTAAGACTTTATCCCGTTCTTTGACTTATAGGGAAACATAGACGTTTCGAAATCTGCAAAACTTTCTATCTTTTCTCTCCTTGAATCCGAATCCTCTTGAGAAATCTCGGGTGAATTTCCCTCCTTGCTTTCTTCTTTATTAATTTCCCCCAATACCTCTCTTTTCCTTCTTTTCATTTCCCTTTTCCTTTCATTGGCTTCTTTATTCGCCTCAAGGTGCTTTTCGATTCTTCCCCGAATGATGTTCCTCAGCTCCTCCTCAGCCTCAAGAATAAGGAACCTTAGAGATGCCAACTTCTCCTCAAACTCTTCAGAATCTGAGGCCTCAAAATACTCAGAGCTGTAGTGGGGATCTTTACCTTCAATGGACACCGGTGTGTCCAGTCTACTATTGCCTCTATTCTCTTGTTGAGCCACATTATGACTCTTTTTGCCCACTGAGTCTACCTCCCCGGTGTAACCTCCACCACAAGCATGATGCCTTGATGAAATGAGGTTTTCACTCCTCTTGCCTACTTCTCTTTCGTATGTGCCCACTCTCCTGGAATTATGCTCATGGAACCCCAGATAACCATTGTCATGGCCATCATCACTCGACTCATCACTGAAGTCAAGCCTTCTCCGATCCATCTCTACTCCGTTCTTGAGCATTCCTTTATTTGCCTCCTTGACATAGATTATATTTCCGTCCCGTGTTTAAGGAGGTCCTCTCCTTATCATCATTGCCAATAGCCTGAAATTCGGCCTCGAACAACCATCTGCCCATCCCTATTCAATCCCACAGGCTCCTTGCCCGTAAAAATTTGTGGAAATAGAGGCCCACTCATGATATTTTCAATAGGGGACCAGAAAAAGAAGTATGAGACAAGAGAGGATGTCTCCGAAGTTGTTGAGGAAATAAGGAAATCTCTGGACGAACTTGTTGAGGTCGACCTTTCTGGAAATCACTTTTCGGAAGAAGCAATGGAAGAAATATGTAATGTTCTCCAGGATGCCAAGAACCTCTGTGTAATCAATTTATCGAGTGCATTCCTAGGCCTTGATAAGGAGAAGCTATACAGCAATCTTGTTATGCTCTCGAACATGCTTAGGACTCATAAGATACAGAAGATTGATCTGAGTGACAATGCCATAAGTTCGGAGTTTCCGCCGGAGTTTGGGGAGTTTATTTCTTCCTCAACAGACCTTGTCCACTTGAAGATGAACAACTGCGGACTTGGGAAGGTCGGAGGAGGGAGACTAGGGAACTACCTTCTAGGAATATCTGACAAGAGTAAGCTCGAAGTCGTGGATATAGCTCAGAACAGATTCTTTTCCTTTCCAAAGGAGCTTTCTGATGCACTTTTGAAGTTTGAAAACATCAAGGAGCTTCGAATCCAATATAACACAATTGAGGAAGAAACTATGCTCTTGTTCCTGCGATCCTTCAGTAACCATTCTCTTGAGGTGCTTGACATAAGAGACAACTTTCTATCATTGGAAGGATCTAGGTATCTGGGAGACCTTTATTGCGAATGGAATCTGAAAGAGCTTAGGGTTGGAGATTGCATGATGGGAAATGAGGGTGTGAAAGAATTCCTTAGAAAAGCAAGCAAGAAGTTCATACCTATGTCCCTTCCAGGGGACTACAATTCTAGAAGAGAAAGGATTATTCTTGACATATCCTATAACGAGTTTGAGCAGGATGCTGTTGAGCTCCTTATAGACTTCTGCAGAAGAAATACTATCAAAGAACTCGGCGTATTTGGAAATTACTACGATGATATAAGCGATGTTGTTGAGATTGTTGAGAGACAAGGGGGAATTGTTGTAACAAAGGAACAGACGGATCTATCCAGTGATGAGGATCTTGAGATTGACGAGTCTGTGATTGAAGGGATTGCGGGGTTGTGAATGGCTTAGGGCCTTAGATGCAAGAAATTCATATGTCTTCCTCATGTTTATGGATTGGAATAAATGGCTATTCTATCTACTGTTTTCTTGCGTTGAACCGGGAGATGGTGCAGGAGGAAATGTTTGGAAAATTTGACTGATGAATAAAATGAAAATCACGTTTGGGGTAAGAACAAGATTTTCAGATGGGTAGGAAAGATGCAGAAGAGACTCTGATGGATTCTCTTGAAGGGAAGATCATTGATGCGGAAAAAATAGTTGCAAGAAGCGAGCTAGTTGGCGAGGAGGCCGAAGCTCTTGGTGGAAAGGAAAAGGTTGATGGAGGAAATGCATCCAGATACAAGAGATTACAAACGATTTTGGGGGAAGGAACATTCAAGAAGGTGTACAAAGCTATTGATCAAGAGGAAGGGAAGGAAGTTGCATGGAATGAAATCAAGATTAGTGAGAAGGGGCAGGATTGCAAAGAAAGAACATTGTTTGCTAATGAAATAGGGCTTCTCAAGTCTATTTCCCATCCCAATATCCTTCGGATTCTTGACTATTGGTTTACACCTGATAGCTTTATATTTATCACTGAGTTGATGAGTGGGGGGACACTCCGGGAGTATATTGCAGAGATAGGAGATCTGAATGTCAAGCTTATAAAGAAGTGGGGAAGAAGCATTCTTGAAGGACTTGTGTATTTGCATGGGCAAAATCCTCCAATAATCCATCGGGATATCAAATGTGAAAACATCTTTGTGAACGCAGCTCTTGGAGAAGTAAAGATTGGGGATCTTGGAGTAGCAAAGGAAAGAAGGATGAAGAGATATACGGTTGTTGGAACACCACAGTTCATGGCTAGAGAGATGTTTGAAGGAGAAGGATATTGCGAAAAGATCGATGTATACGCATTTGGGATGTGCTTGATTGAGATGGCCACGGGGGCATATCCATATAAGGAATGCACCACTGCAGCAGAGGTTTACAAAGCAATTATACAAGGGGTTCCTCCTGTTGCTCTGAGCTCGATCAAAGATATATGTCTTAGAAACCTGGTTATGAATTGCCTTGTCTCTGAGAAAGACAGGCTGAGAAGCGTTGAGTGTCTTAAACACCACTTCTTTGACAATAATAACACTTGCAATGGGGAATGCATTCCTGAAGAGTGTATGTCAGGAGTTCCTTTAACAGCGCCTGCGAATGACATGGAGATAAGCTTTCTGTCGTTCAGAGACAATGTGATTACATTCCAGCTTTTCTTCATGAGCATGGCAAGATTCATTAAGTTTGACTATAATCTGGAGACTGATACAGTTGAGGATGTGGCCAACGAGATGCTAGAAGAAGAGGTTGTGTCTGAGGATCAAAGGGACACGCTCCTAAAGCTTCTATCCCGAGGGATTGAAAGGGCCAAGGAGAGGATTATTGAAATGGAAAGTAAAGAGCCTGAGGGAGTGGTGAGGAAGTTGAGTATAGATGGAGAGAAAGGCAAGGCAGATGGACCTAGAAACGACTTCAATAAAATAACGGATAGGAATCTGAGTATGGAAGAGGTTGAGTCTATGCTAGAAATAGATGCGAAAGCCAGCGGTGTCTCGACGAATATTTCACGAGCTACACCTCGCTCTGGAGGGAATGAGAGCCAGAGGATTGGAGAAACACCCCATTCTCCTCTAATTAACTCAGTAGAATTATCTAGCGGAGAGGGGATTATAGAAGAGCATCGAAAGATCACAAATGGGAAATGTTTTGATGAATCTGAGTGTCCGAATAGAAAGTATGATGAAGATGTTTCTATTGAAGAATTTGTGACCGATGTCTCGGTTGCAACAAAGAGATCATCCGAGACAGCCACCAATTGGATAAAGACATTCAAGTCGAATGACATTGACAATGTGTTTGAGTTGAAGATTCTTGTGGACGAAGACTGGGATAAGCTTGGGCTTACTGTTTTCTCCAGTAGGGCGATGAAAAACATGCTCTACGGGCTTGATAAGATTCCTTTAAAGGAAAAACAACTTCCTACGAATACCTCGATCAAAGATTATGAAGGAGGAGTTGAGATCAAGGAATTTCTCCGTGACATTGGAGCGATGGTGGGAAAAGAGAAGTGCGTATCCATATGGGAAAGTAAGCTTCTTGCACAGGACATCAGGACTGTTGAAGAGCTCAGGTCGTTACATCAAGATGATTGGGACAGATTAGGATTGTCTGTATATTCATGCAGAGTGATCAAAAATGTTATTTACAAAAGAGGAAGGATAGTGTTTTGTTGAATCTAGACACCAACTTTCATACAGTATTAAAGGATGAATATATCTTACTTTATAAGTTTTTTTGCATCTGCGAATGTCTTTCTGGCTTCTTCATTCAGGCCTTGTAGGATGTTAAGACACCCATGAAGTAGAAGAGCTAAAATGCCGAAGGAATAGCCCATGGAAAAGATGGAAAAGGAGTATGACATCATTCAGATTCCAAAAGGAATTAAACGCAGCGATCTGCCAGAAAGAATAGAGGCTGATAAGCCCTTTGAGATCGACGGAAGCTTGTATGTATGTGAGAAGAGAGATGAGGGAGCAATGAAGGTGTGTTTCGAGGAAGAGGGAAAGACTAGCATCCCTGTCCTGAGTAAGAACTTCTATGTAGTAAGAAGGGTGTGAATATGTGTCAAACATATCTCATAAATGATTTAAAGTTTACATAAGCAAGAAAGGGAATAAACAATGATGAAGAATGAAATTATGAATTTGTTTGAAGAGGACAAAGACCGAGCTCGTCGGTTTGCAAGAAAGGCTGAGATTGGAAATGAATTTATATATTATGACTTCTCAAAGACTCATCTCACTGAGGAAATAATTGATGGATACCTGGAGAAGATGAAGGACTTTGGAAAGAAGATTGATGGGATGTTCAGTGGAGAGAAAATAAACTTCACTGAGGACAGAAAGGTTTTGCATGTGGCATTGAGAGACAAGGAGGTGCTAAGAATGGTTGATGGAGGCAAGGATGTGAAGTTAGATGAGGATCGTAGGATGGTCTATGACGAGCTGATGAAGATCAAAAGGTTTGTCGAGGACTTTGACAATGGGAGGATATGCGGAGTTACAGGGAAGAGGCTAGCAACCATCGTCAATATAGGAATAGGGGGAAGTGATCTCGGGCCAAGGATGGTGTGCGATGCCCTAAGCCACTATGGCAGGAAGGGGATGGAAACATACTTCATCTCTAACATAGATGCAACAGATACGATCAAAGTTTTTGAGAAGATTGATCCTGAAAGGGCCTTGTTTATTGTAGTGAGCAAAACATTTACGACTCTTGAGACAATAAAGAATGCAGAACTTGCCATGAAATTCCTAGAGAAAAGGCTGGGAAAGAGCAAATCAGAGATTGCAAGCAAGCACTTTGTCGCAGTGAGCTCGAATGTGGAAGAGGTCAAAAAGCATAGTATCTCAAGAGTGTTTTCGATGTGGGATTTTGTTGGAGGAAGGTTCTCCTTGTGGTCTGCTGTAGGGATGTCCATAGCCCTTTATATAGGATTTGATAACTTCATGAGATTGCTTAAGGGAGCCTCTGCGGTGGATGAGGAGTTCAGGAAGAATAAAGGAAAGTCAAATGCTGAGATGGTTCATGCGATTGTGGAGATATTCTACTCTGAGAATGGATATAACAACAAATGCCTGGTTTCCTATGACCAATACATGGAGAAGTTTTACTTATATTTACAGCAGGCAGAGATGGAAAGCAACGGTAAGCAATCAGAAAGGGGTGATACAGGATTGATTATATGGGGAGGGCTGGGAACGAATACCCAGCACTCTTTCTTCCAGTTGCTACATCAAGGCACAAGGAAGATATTGGTTGAGTTTCTCATGCCTCTTAAGCCACTACATTCTGAAGAAGAGTACCACAAGTTGGTTGTTTCGAACTGCTTAGCACAGAGTAGGGGCCTTATGGTTGGAAAGAAGGAGTCCACCCCTGAGAAATCATTTGAAGGAAACAAGCCGAGCATTACTATCTGCTACTCGATGCTTACTCCTGAGACACTTGGAGGAATGATAGCACACTATGAGCACAAGATATTCATTCTAGGGTTGTATTGGGGGATCAACTCTTTTGACCAGCCTGGTGTTACCTTAGGAAAGAAGATAGCCATTGAAGTACTTGAAACCCTTGAAAGCAAGGAAGATGGAAAGTATGACGGATCGACAAATGAGATCCTCTGTCTGATAAGGCGTTGCAGGAAATGACTTGTGCTTATGCATAAATGGCCATGACTCAAATAAACTCTTTCCTTGACTTTGTTTCTTTCACAGCCATTAGACGATTTTTGAAAGGAGGGCAACCCCCTGATGTTTTCATTCAAAGAAAGAATGGAGACATTTGCAAAGTGGCCCGAAGGCTATGGCGTAGCAACACCCGAGAGGCTTTCTGTTGCAGGATTTGTCTGTCTGTCTACTGAGGAAGGCAATCTAACTGTGGAATGTGTGTACTGCCACAAGACACTAGAATGCTGGGAAAGAACCGACCTACCGGTGAGGGAGCACTATTTACACATGAGTAAATGCCCGCTCTTCAATGTGAATAAGATAGAGAGCAGGGTGAACATGTTTAATGGATGGGATTCCAAAGAAGCAAAAGCACTTGCAAGAATAGGGTTTGTTAAATATAACCTTGGAGACGCCGACTTCATTTTTTGTTATAAGTGTGGATCTATTGATAAGGGCCATTCTTGTAGGAGAAAAAGAGGATCTGTATATAATCTAGAGAGAAGAATTGATATATTCTTCTACAACTTAATCGAAGGGTCTTATAACGAAGAGATAATGAGGTATGTCGAGAATGCCATGTACATTCCACGGCAATCCAAGAAGTTCCTGGGGATGGTTGCAAATGCCTTTGGAGGATCTTCCTTGAAGAGGATTGGAGATGTGATAGACGAGTATATAAACGATAGGCTGAGGGATATGGAGATAGCTATGGATGGTGACATTGAGAGGGTTCTTGATGAAATTTCCACGGAAATCCAGAAGCGGGGTTTAGGATAGAATATAGGGTATTGATATTCTTTTTGGTTTCATGTACTTGAGAAATTTGAGGTAAATTTTTTTCCAGGATTACCCTTGTGAATGAAGGTAAGTGGCTTCGGGAAGACTAATTTTAGTTGAACATAGCATATCCGACGAATGGTACACAAAAGATATTTGAGATTGAAAGGAGGAATGAGGTCAAGCTGTATGACAAGAAGATAGGGGACCAGTTTGATGGAGGGATTCTTGGAGAAGAGTTTGAAGGAGCAATCATGGAGATCACTGGAGGGGATGACTACCAAGGATTCCCTATGGTGAAAGGACATCTTACAAAGAAAAGAGTGAGGCCCCTGCTATCGAAGGGAGATGCAGGGTACAGATGCAGGCGTAAGGGGGTAAGACGCCGTAAAAGCGTCCGAGGATCTATTGTTTCTGAGGAGATTTGTGTGCTGAACCTTATAATGCTGCGTCCTGGGGAGAAGGAGATAGATGGCCTTACAAATGCTGTCAACGATGTGTCCCACCTTCCCAGAAAGGAGAGTAAGCTCAGGAAGATGTTTGGAGTTCCCGACGAGGAAAAGAACGTTGTGGGATACATCAGGAACATATTTAAGGCTGAATGTGAAGACCCAAAGAAGATACCCAAGATTCGACACAATGGAAAGAGAATAAAGAAAGAGCAAGAAAGAAAGGAGAGCATCAGGAAAATGAAGCTGGAAAGAAAAAGAATCTTGGAGGAGGAAAGGAAAGCTTACCTTGAGAAATATTTCAATAAAGCTTGATTTATTTTCGGACCTAGTCATTTTTTTGTGTTTCATGTGATGCTAAGTCCCATCCTCTACACCATTCAGGTAGATTTGCTACATATTCTGTGCCATTGTATATGTATTTCCAAGCATGAAGACAGATGTAGTGGTCTTTAGTGATGAAAGACCTATTGCCCCTTCCTTTACAATGCTTCACCACATGTTCATACTTCTTATTGTCCTCAAAGCCATTTATATCTGCGTTACAGACACCATTCTCAGGTAATGGAGGCGGTACCCCATCCCCATACATTATGTCATTTATGACTGGGAATCCAATGCTTTGTAGATGGATTCTAATCTGATGTGTGCGTCCCGTCACAGGCCTACACTCTACAAGAGAATACCCGTCTTTATACTCCAGTCTTCTAAACAGTGTTAGACATGCCTTTCCTTCATCATTTACACATCTATTCTTGCCTTCTGTGCATTTGATACTTTTATCCACATCCACACGTTCAGGGAACACTCCACAGACCTTTGCAACATAGATCTTCACAGCGTCTTTAATTCTTTCCAGACACCTGGAGTAGTTCTTTGTTGCAATGATTAGGACTCCAGACACAGGCATGTCCAGTCTATTGATACAAGCAACCTTCTTATCATCAAAAAGCGCTCTCGTGATAGAGTACTCCCTGTATCCTCCTGTGGGGTGGCAAGGAATCCCTGGTGGCTTGTTTACAACAATGTAGTCTTCTTCTATCTTTATAACATCGATTTCTGGATGCGAAGGTTCGTGGATATGAACTGTGTGTTTTATTATATCTCCAACTCTGAGCATCCTCGTCGGCTCTACAACCTCTTCATTAACCGTTATCACACCACACTCTAGAGCAGACAGAAAGTAATCTCTAGTCCTTGTTCTAAACTCTGAAGTAAGAACATCTATAACAGGCCTCGCACACCACCGCCCTTTAACATTAGTTCTATATGTGAAAAAGTACTCTGCCTCACCTTTCGGCATCCAAGGGTTGTACCATCAGATTAAAGTTCTGTAGAAGTGTACTTCGAATAAGTTATTTGATTTGTATTTTGGGGTTTTCTCCTAATGAAGAACACAAACGAGCTAGAGCTTCTGCAAATAACAGGGATGTCAGCACTATCTTTGATGGTTTATTCATCGGGATATAGAAAAACCATGCTCAACGACTTCCTATTCTGCATAGTTCCTCAGTATTGCGCCATAATGTTCCCTAACGAGATATGGATCTTATACCTCTGTTTGGTTATTCTGGCTAAATACCCAAAGATAAGAAGGAGCAAGGAGACTACGAATGAAAAGACATCAGTCATAGATCACTTGCGATTCACAATCTCGGCCCTGGTTGTGATTGCAATATATGGCGTAGACTTCACAATGTTCGATAAAAGACTTGGAAAGTCTCACTTCCTTGGAATATCGCTGATGGACATAGGAGTGGGAAGTTTCATATACAATAGTGGGGTTGTAAGATGTAAAAGCAGGTTCAAAAGAAAGCACGTAAAGTCTTATCTCATCCTTATCCTTCTAGGATTCGTGAGGTTCTTTGTTGTCAAGTGGTTCAATATTAGCGTGAATCCAAAAGAATATGGAACACACCTAAATTTCTACTTCTTACTTGCAATTGTGAATTTCATATGCTCAATGGTAAAGTCTAGGTACAACTTCCTTCTCGGGCTTCTGGTAATAACTGTATATGAGGGGGTCCTCAGGTTCTCTAGGCTGATGTTCTTCATCTTCTCGGATGAAAGAAGAACTTTCTTGGAAAAGAACAAGGAAGGGTTGACTGCAATCATCTCATATGTATCCATATTTCTGATGGCAACAGAAGTTGGAAGGATATGCCTATCTCAAGGCAAAATAAGAAGAAAGGCATTAAGAGTCTTAGGCATGTCAGGGATATTTGCATGTCTCTATGTGACATCCTGCTTCTCTTGTGAGGGATCTAGAAGACTAGGAAATGCGGCATTTGTGTTTTGGATACTTGCCCTTCATACATTCCATGTGGGGATTTACATGCTTTTAGAAAGTACGATCGTTATGTATAACCCACTAGTGGTTATGTTCTGCAGCTCCAACATGATGTTTATCTTCCTATTTTCGAACCTGATTGTCTTGGTTGGAAATACTTTCTTTGATCTTAAGAGCTTTTCGCCTATAGCTGGGCACCTGAACATGCTTGTTTACCTGATATCTGTATTTTTGGCACCAGCCTTGTTAGCAAGTAGATTCGACCTCCGATGGATAGGGCTAGGATATAGGCCTTGAGAAGAAATAAAGCCTTGTTTGATCCCTGTTGTTGCCATGAATAAAGAAGACTATGATAAAGAGATGAGTCTTGAGAAGGAGAGACATGCCATAATGCTAGAGAATCTCTTCTATCTTCTCTGTGGAGTAGACACTACTCATATAAAGGTGGGTGTGAAAGACAAGAGGTATGCACTGACGGCTGATCCAACATATCCTCCGCAGCTTGTTCTGCCATTCGAATCACTAGCTATCAATGTGAGAATTCTAAACAAGTTTATATTGAGGTCGCAATATTCATCGGACACAATTAAGGAGATAGTAGGAGACTACTTTGAGGAAAAGGTCAGTGAGTATCTGAATACCCTGATGGGGTTAAGAAATAAGGGAGGGAGCATTGAAACACTTATGATAAACCTTGGAAACTCAATTGAGGAGTTTGATGAGATGAAGGAGATAGTGGACGGCATCAGAAATATGTCTGGAGTAAGGATATTGAACTGGCTTGAGAAAAGAAGGAGCAAGGCTGTTCGGTTTTTGGATCTTTATGATAGGCTTATTGATCCTTGTGTCTTGAGGATAAAAGAAGAGGTAGAGAGCTGGGTCACTGAAGGGTTGATGCCTAGCAGTGGGTTCATGGTGAAGAAAAACGAGTGCTTGAACGGATTCACAGAGTGTGTCTGGACGCATCAGTACACTATTGTTGAAGAAAATGTTCCATACTTTCTGGCAGAGCATAAAGAGCTCATTTACAATTGTGGAAGGGTGATCAACCTTGGGAAAAGGATCCAAGGAAAAAACACATTCCATGGGTCGAGAAGAGAATATAAGAACGTTGGGTTAACAGGGTTGAATGGGTATCTAAGCATGCAATTTATGGAGTCTTTAAGAAGTGACCTTGAAAGGGAGTTTGATGTGATGCACAGGTACCTATTGATGAATGAGTCTTCTCTATACCTAGACATATTTGAAGAGTTGGTGGATGAGATGTTTTTCCCAAGTGAAAGAACGATTGCCAAAATGAATGCCATCAGAGAATCGAAGGATATAGAAGGCTTTTCCTTCAGAAGGTCCGATGTATCGACTAACGAGTACATTCTACAAATCTTGAATGTTAAAATGAAGCCCGGCCAGAGAAAACACTTCACGATGTTACAGTTACTGACTGTTGAATACACGCCATCTATTTTAAGGAATTTCCTGTCTCCAAGGACGGTATCTGAACTTGAGATAATCTTCAGGTTTTTGTTTACTCTCACAGGTATATCATACTATATGAGCAGGCTCAAAAGGTTTTGGTTTGCAAGGATGGTCATGATGGTAGTTGATAGATTCAGGTTTTCTATCCACTCAAGAATGAAGCCCATGAAGGTAGAGAAGGACATGGACTATGTAAGAGATGCTCTACTTTCCAGTACCAAAAGATGGCTCCGGGACCTATACCTGACAAGTGAGAAGGCATATTATGCATGGAGTAGCTTTTTTGATCTTTGCTTTGATTTTCTAGATGTGGAGTGTAAGTCTGCACTAAGCCGGGAAGATATGGAACCATTTGAAAGTAAGTTAGTTGAATGTATAATATGCCTCAAGGGCATACTAGAAGTTACCGAACACAATGATTTATTTATTCACTTCTTGGGTAGTATTGAATGGGTAAGAATGCCCAACGTTCTTATGTAACTTCCAGCCTTCCTTGGAGCTCTAGGTTTCATCTACTAAAACATATGGAACTAAGGTCGGAGGCTCTTCTTCTCATCTAGAAGTGTTTTCATAGGTGGGAATCAGTGCTGTTTCAGATTTTAGTGACTTTATATAGCCAGAAATAGATTGACCAATAAACAAACAATGGAGAGAAAGTCCCTAGGGAAGCCATTTGAAAGGAGCCTAAGGACAGTGAATGGCCTTGATGACAAAGACTTCGAAGTATATAAGGGCTGCTTCTTTGATTATTATGATGATCTGATTCGGAAGTACTTTGGGGCCTTCGAAATATTCAAGCTAAAGCAAGGAAGGCTTGCAAGGATGTTCTTTTCACATGACATGCTGAAGCTTTCCTCGAAATACGAATGGGTTGTTACAAGACTCAGCTATGGAAAGGAAGGAGAGCTGATGGTCCCTAGGAACTTCTACATATTGACCGAAACTGTTCTAAGTCTTGATTGTAAGGTTGGAGGAATCTTCAGGGTTAGAAATTCAATCACAACCATTAAAGAATGTGTGGAGACCATCAATATGTGTGTCCAAAGGAATCTCTCATATGGAGAGGCCAGAAGAATTCTTATCCGAGACTTCAACGTGATCGACCTCACCACGGCATTCAAAGAAATTCTCAGAGAGTACTCTACCACAATCATCCCTGAAAGTTTGATAGATACAATGTTCAAAATAGCAAAAGTTGAGAGCAAGGAGGACCAGATTATTCTCTGCCAAATGCTATTTATATCGATGCCAAAACCAAATAGACATGTCCTTGAAGCAACCATCTACTTCTTGTATGTTATACATGACATTGCAACGGATAAGGGAAAAAACCACAAAGATAACATGAATATGGAAGGGATTTCCACCATAATGATGCCAAACCTTGTGATCAAGCCCCACAGTGAGCTGGATCTCGAGCAGGTTGGAGTTCTTGTAAATTTTATGAAGATGTTTTTCGAGAACTTTACGGCAATTATCCATCTTGACCCAAACATTATGGAGCTTTGATGAGCGACCATTTGACTAATAAATTCGACCGAAAGCATTTATTCCATCATTGCGACTTATTTTCAGAAGGTTATAGCTTGGGGGATAGTCCCTGAACAGATGGGGGTACTTCCATTGAACAAGAGGTTCAGGAGAATGAATCTGTTTGATGTGGGAAGATGTATAATTGAAGGAGTGGAATACGTTGAGGAAGTTCTTGAGTCTAATATCTGCATCACAAAGGAGTACGAAAAGGATCTCTACGTACCGCTTCTACTTCCGAGGCTAAGGACAGACGAATTCACCGAAGAGGATTATAGAAATAATGTGACCATTGTCTGTTTGACGTCTTTGAGCCTGAGCTCACTGGATGGATTCCTACTACGCTTCTTCAGAGGCTTTACACTTAAAAAGACAGACACAGGGGCCGAGGTTGAATTCATCGAAAGGCAGGATGCCACAGAGTGTTTGTACTTGAGCAATAGCGACTTCACTTTCCTCCGGCCTATAGGCTACATAGAGCTTCCAAGGGCTCCCGAGGCAAGAAATAAGGGAAGTAAATACTGCAGAGATGTTCCGTGCACCAGAGACAAAATCTTACTCGGCCCGTTGAACATAGATTCAAACCTTCTTAGAGATGCTCTTGATGAAATATCACCTTTGCAAAGCTTTAGAGTGTGTAGAAACCCTTTATATTTTGTATTTACATTTAGAAACTCTGAGTTTTGTGAGCCTTTCGTCAAAGCTACAAGTCACATATTTATCTCGGACGCAGGCCGGTCTTTAGTTTCTATAAGGGCTTACAAAGGGTGTTCTATACTGAATCTCGGGAAGAATATCCCTCACCTTGTTCCCAGAAGAATGACAGGTCCTATTGCACTCAGTAAGGAAAGGACCAGGATAGTGACGGTTCTGAATGTACTAGGGCCCTGGGACCTGGATGTATCAAAGATTGTGGAAGAGATAAAGAGTAGATGTTCCAAGTACAAAGGAGTAAAAGATGTGATGGTGCCTAGAGACAGTCTTAGGTCTGGTAGACAGCCAGGGAGTTCTCGAGTTTTTATAGAATGCAAGGACCTAGAAACATCTGAAAAGGTTTATGACGAGCTAGGAGGACTTATTTACAAAGATCGGATTGTGGCCACTGGCTACTATCCTGAGTTAAACTATGCTGCTGGAGAATATGAATGACGTGAATATTGATTAAACAAAAGATATTTGAATGAGACTAAACAAATCAAAATGGGTGAGAATAAGATTCCACTGCACTTGATGCTAGTTACATACCTATTCTATCTCATTGTTGTTCTGCTGGGCCATGCTAGAGATACATTTGGGAAACTGTTATTTCCCAAGATATACAAGAAGTATAAGCTGGATAATGGCAAGGTACCACTGTATGGGAGTTTTGAGAGTTTCTTCAGCCGCAGGATATTCAGAAGGGCAAGAGACTGCTGTGAAAGGCCTATTACTGGTGTTCCAGGGAGACATGTCACGGTTTTAGAGAGGATATCTGAAGATTATAATGAAACCTTTCGGTTTACAGGGAGGAAGTTGAAGTTGCTTAATCTCGGATCATACAATTACTTGGGGTTCAGCAACAACGAAGGCCCAATTGTGGAGAAGGTTGTGGAGGTGGTACGCCACTATCCTCTTGTGATGACAGCACCAACCAGAGAGGTGGGGTGTTATGACATAGTTAGAACACTGGAAGAAGAGATGGCATCCTTCCTATACCAGGAGGATTGCATGGTATTCTCGATTGGGTATGGCACAAACTCTTCAAATATACCTGTGATATGCGAGGCAGAGACGCTTATCTTGTCTGATGAGCTTAACCATGCGTCGTTGATAACAGGAGCAAAGATAAGCAAGGGAGTTATAAGAGTGTTTGAACACAACAATATGGAGGACCTGGAGAATAAGCTGGTCTTCAACATCTCCCAGGGGCAGCCTTTGACACACAGGTCATGGAAAAAGATCATTGTGATTGTGGAAGGAATCTATTCGATGGAAGGGACAATAGTAAACCTGAAAAAGCTTGTCGAGCTGAAAAAGAAGTACAAGTTCTACATATTTGTGGATGAAGCACATTCTATAGGGGCGCTAGGAGCCACTGGTCGGGGGGTTTGTGAATATGCAGGAGTGGACTTTAAGGAAATTGACATTTTCATGGGAACGTTTACAAAGTCTTTTGGAGGAATGGGAGGATACATAGCAGGGTCAAAGAAGCTGATAACATGGCTGAGGTTCTATAGCGACCTGTCTCTCTATGGAGACCAGATTCCTCCGTTTGTATGCTCGCAGATATTGGAAAGTCTGAGATGCATAAAGTTTACAGAACTTGGAAGGTTGAAGATCGAAAAGCTCAGATCCAACACTGTCCTCATGAGGCAGAGTCTTGTGAATGCTGGTTTCTTTGTGCTTGGAGATGAGTTTTCGCCAGTCATTCCTATTCTTATTGTCTGTCCTGGGAAGCTAGCTGAGTTTTCAAGGTTGTGCATGGCCGAGGGAATTGGGGTTGTTGTTGTGGGGTATCCAGCAACACCCATATTGACAAGCAGAGTCAGGCTGTGCATTTCTGCTTCTCACACCACCGAAGATGTGATGAGAGCATTTGAGGTGATTGACAGGATTGGGGAAAGGCTTGGGATGAAGATTTGTAAATGAAAGCTGGAGATAAAGCATAGGAAATGGAGTCCCATGGACAGCGAAGTGTATGGAATCGACTTGAATGCAAGGAGGAATATACTAATACACGGGGGAGGAGATGAGAAATGCACAGTAACGGATATAGAGACCGGAGATGTCATCAGCATAGTGGAGGACTTTAGCGACTCAGTAATATTCTGCAAGTTCATAGACGATGAAAGGTTTATTGTTAGTTCTCTGGATGGAACGATATCTCTGATGACTTTGGAAGGAGAGATTAACAACGTATGTGTGAACGAGGACATCTCTCAGATAAAGATAAATGGAGACAGGCTCCTTGTAGGAACGGTTGGAGGAAGTGTGCATCTGTTTACTCTTGACCTATGCATCCAGAATGTTTGCATTGGCCAGTGCAACGAGATACAGGACGTATGCTATGAAAATGGAAAAGTGTACACTCTCAGCAAAACCAACTTTGTGATATTCGATGCCTTGAGCCACCAGAAGCTTATGGATGTTCATGTAAGAGGAGGATCCGCCATGGATAAGATCCCTTTAAGTGATGTGGTCTGCTTGGGACTGGAGGGATGTATTGTGGTACGAAAAAACTCTCACCTGCTAAGTAAAATTAGCATTGAGGGAAGTCCTGAGTGCATCCTATATATGAACAACTACTTTATTGTTGGAGGGGATTTTGAAGACATACTTCTTATTAACATACCTATGGGGATGCGCACCTTCAAGATACCTACTGGAACTGAGAGGATATTAAGCATAAAGGGGGACGGAGAAAACAAGATTGTGTTCAGCACATGCAGTGGAGTCGTTGGGTATGGTGATATAAGAGACGAAAGAAGCTTCAAACTTATTGAAGGCGGGGTAGGATGTATCTTTGATCTATGCTTCAAGGACAAGATGGTATATGTTGGGGGAGAGCACGGGTTTAATGCCCTTGATCTGGGAAGAGTTGAAGAGCTTACAGCAGAGTAGTGAAGAAAATAAACAAGCTTATTCCTTCTTTGAATATCATTGGCAGCCGAATTTACCCGAATAATCTTGAGAACAATTCTCTGGATACCTGTTTGTTAGAATCGAGCATATCCAGCATCATTGCTATGTCTTCATTTGAGATGCTCATTTCAAGCTTTGATATTGCTTTCTTAAGTGTTTGGAAGGAAATATAGTCTTCTCCAGAGGAAAAAAAGTCGAATACCCCATCGATCTCTGCTCCGCATGATTCAAACCTTATGTCATTGTATTCAATTCTGTCTCCCGTTTTTTTCCTTCCCAGAGGTTGTTTGAGTATACTCAGGCAGTATCCCTTGTACTCCTCGTAACTCAGAAATCCTTTCTTCCCAATGTCAAATGCCCGCGGGTCATTCTGGAGGCTGTCTCTTTCCATTGAAGTATGGGCACTCTTACTATTCTCCCCAAATAGTTCGGAATACTTGGATGGATGAGGAAGCCGTAAGAAGTGAAGATCATCACACCACAGACGACGAAAGAATGGATGTCACTGGAGTGGTTCCCTCTAATCAAGAACAACCAGATGCCATTGCAGAGGTTTGTCTTAGAACATCCACTCCTATCAAGAGAGAAGGATACGAGTTATTCCCCGAGGATATAGAAAGAACAAAGGATGGATTCATGCTCAACGACAAGATAATCAATGTATATTTCGAGCTTCTTGCCAAGCACTCAAAGGTTGGCGTGTATGTTTTCTCTACATTCTTCTACACAACCTTGAGTAAAAGAGGTATTCCTTGGGTTCAGAGGTGGACTTCAGGGATAAACATATTTGAGAACAGGCTGGTATACATTCCTGTGTACATTCCAGGCCATTGGATGCTCATAGTCTTCGATGTTAAGAAGAAGGTACTTGAACATTACGACTCCATGGGAAATGCATACACAGAAGTGGTTCATAGAATACTCAGGTATATAAGAGATGAATGGAGCAGAGTACATAAAAGTGAGCCTTCCTTATCTGTTGATATCAAGAGAAAAATACCCTTACAACGAAACGGAAGGGATTGTGGGGTATTCGTATGCATGTTCGGTAGATACAGGCTGTGTGGAAATGAGGTGTGGCTCTCTTCTGATAGGATTCCGAGATTCAGGAAGCTGATGTTACACGAAATAGTGTCTGGAAAGATCTTATACAATGTGTTCCATAAGCTTGTCCAGCCGAGCTCTGGTCTAAGAGAACATAAAGGTGAAGTTACAGATAAGAAGCTTTTAGCCCTTGAGACTTATGAAGAAGTCACCAAAGAGAAAGGAAGTCGAAGATAAATGCGAAGTCATAGAAGAAGAGAGAGAAGAGGAGAGAGAAAATAATAGCTTTGATGAGAATCTTAGGAGAGAAATGTGTGAGAAGGTACTTAGGTTTATTGATAAGAATGCTATTGATGAGATAAGAGAACTGATAAGGTATGGCTTATATGAAGATCTACAGGAATTTGTGAACCCGTGGATTGCAAGTGAAGTCCATGGGATCCTAAATGACGTGTCTGCAATTCAAGCAGCCATCGATGACCAACAATAAACAATTGTATCTAATTTAAATGAAGAGTGCAAGAAAAGGATAAAGGCTTTTACTTCACACATCGTAATTAGGATGAATGTGGATTTTCCCATCGGTTATGAACAGAACACCTTCCTTGCCTATAAGGAAAGACAACACATTTTCCGCCTTACTCTGCTCTTCAATTAGGGCCTTTTCACTCTCTATAGATGATTCCCTCTCAGATAAATATGCCTCAACCAACTCATGTCTTTCCATAGGTTCTCGTGTTTTTATAAGGTATATGAAAGAGTTGGTTATTCTTATGTAATCCTTGCTGTTTATCATAAATCCCGGTTCATCACCCGCTTTAGGAATTATTTCTATGTCCTCCCCTTTGATCTCAACAACACTACTCTTCACCAGCCTGTGTGCCTCTTCCACATATTCCTTTGTTACAAGCTCACTGTCATGAATCTTTGCAAGTGCCTCACTGAGACGGATAAGGCTCTCCAAATGCCTAACTGTCATCATGTAATTATTGCTATGGATAAGACTGTCTTGCCTTATGTTTATATATTTCTTGATAAGCATCTCCTTTGCTTCTTCAGTCATCTTGGGCGACCTCTTCCTTGCATATCGCAGATACAGCCTCACCTGCTCCCTGGTGAAGTAGCTTGAAAGCACTCCAGAGTCAGTAATCGATGCGTGGCTGTTGAGAATATGTGCTGCAACATTCCTGTCATTCTCAACATTGGCATCGTCAATGAGAACAAAATACAAATCAAACCTTGACATAACAGGTGCACTTAGATTTATATTCTGCCTCAACGTTTTTTTCTTGTCGTATCTTCCCTTTATAGGATTTGCTGCTGCTAGGATGCTACTTCTAGCATTAAGAGTTGCATTCACCCCAGCCTTGGATATGGTTATTGTCTGTTGCTCCATCGCCTCGTGGATGCTCACCTGATCCTTAACATTCATCTTGTCAAACTCGTCAATGCAGCACACACCTGTATCACTCAACATCAACGCCCCTGCCTCAATAGTAAACTCTCCAGTTTCTCCATCCTTTATCACACTAGCCGTGAGGCCCGCTGCACTGCTGCTCTTGCCAGATGTGTAAACACTTCTTGGGAGAAAGGCACTTGTTTGCTTCAGAAACTGTGACTTTGCTGTCCCAGGATCCCCAACAAGAAGTACATTTATATCTCCTCGGAGACTGGTTCCTCCTTCTGCTTTCTTTCCAACACCTCCAACAAGTAGTAGCAATATGGCATTCTTAATCGAGTAGTGTCCATGTATTGATGGAAACATACTCTGGCTCAGCTTGTAGTAGAGGTCAGGCGTCGATCTCATTTCACTTATAATCCCAAGCTCTTCATTTGTGAATTCATCATCCTCAACAATACTGCAATCCGCATGGATGCACATAAAGCTTAGCTTGTAGTTCAGATCTTTGATGTTTATGTTCCTCTTCCTTTTGATCTCATCCAGCTCCCCGCTCTGCATAGGGACAGTCTTGCTCTGAGGCATCATCAGCTGTATCACATCAGGAACAACGATAGGATATCCCGTCATCACAACCTTATCTCCTGCCCTTATCTTTTCTACCAGATCATTTCTAACAATCACATCCATACTTCTCGGCAGAGACCCAGGGGGAATCTCTTCTGTATTCTCTTGGATGTGTATCTTCTGCCAATTCAAAAACTCGCTTTTGTCAATGTCAAGCTTCCACAGCCTCCTGTTAGTACACAAATGGTTCGGACATACAAGAGGTTCTGTATACTTGAACTCCTGGAAAATATCACTAACAACAGAACTGCAGACCTTGCACACAAACGTCCCTTTGGAAAGCTCCGGTCTGACCTGTGTGGTTCTTGTTACCGTTCCACTAAAGCTAAGAAGCTGCCCAAGCTTGTCGCTCTTCAACTCCCTGATCCTATAAACCACATGGCTGTTGTGGAATGAAGTGTATTCCAGCGCCGTTGAAAACTCTCTCATGGTGTAAAGTGCTGTGCTCCGGTTAATCTTGTCGATGTCCCGCGAAAAGTTCCGAAGTATATCAGTATACAATTCCGCAGAGTATGCGTTGATATCTTGGAGATCAATCAGTAGTACACCTTCGTTTCTGTATATAGCCTGCTCGGCATCCATCCTGACCTTTGGTGTGTTATCAAGGAACTCCAGGAACTTGTCATGAACCTCTTCTGTCATTTTAGGATAAAATTTTTCCCTCATCCAAGTATCCAAGATAAGTCTGCCTGATATGCATCGTTACTTTACGGCTACAACCTTCCTAGCAAGCCTATCAGGAGCAATTCTTCTAATGTTGGCCCCAAGAAGAACAAATGCATAAACAAAGGTGTATATGAACAAAGATGCAAATCTGAGGCATACTCTTGGGGAGATATAGGCTACAGGAATAAACACAGGGACATGGAAGAGAATAAATACAAAGATCGCAAAGTTTATAAGTGCTATACCTAAAAATCTTCTGTTCCTCTTTATGTTTTCCATTCAGGGTGCACCCAAGATTCTAATATCATGGGCTTTCCAGGAATCTACTGGCTGTCACAATGATTGTAAAACTCGGGAGAGAATCTAAGACTATAGTCTCCAATGTATAGAAACCTGCCCTGCTTATTAAACTGATCCAATGGAAGGGATATCATACCTTTTGAAGTGTCGGATGATGCTAGTCCTGGGCATTCCACCTCCAAAACTCTGTTCCTTGCCTTTGCAACGAAGTACACGGTCTCTTCAGCTGCCCAGAAGTTGAAATAAAATGGACATGCAAAGACACATCTAGACTGAAATCTAAATACAAACTCTTCTCCGAGAATAACATACTCCTGATCATACCTTCTATCTGGATATATTTTGTAGATAGACCCATTTCCCTTCAGACGCTCGTTCCTCTCGCTGTAAACCTCGTACTTCTTAATCGCACCTTCTTCAAACAATTCCTCTAGTTTGAGGAATAGAAATGTTCCATCGAAATACTCTCTGATGGAGAACGGAGGATATACTTCATATATCTCCGACCTCAATATCTTTTGCCTTGTGACCTTGATGTCCTGGAATTCTCTGTATGATAGTATCCCTCTCCCCTCCTCAGATGTGTAGGTCTGTATGTAATTCACAGTCATAAGGCTTGATTCTCCTGTATGGACATAAATATTATCGAACACTGGCCGGCAATTAAGACACACAGGAATGTTATACTTTTCTCCAGGGAGAATCCTAATTGTTTTGCGATGTATTATTTGGACAAAAGTGCATTCTGGAGGGCTGTATGGAACAAAGATCATTCCCTCGTATAACCTGAGCATCTGGATATGGGTTAAAGAATCCTTATATCTACACCGTTTTGGTAAGAGTGATGGTGAGGATGAAGCCTACTTCTTAGTGGAGTAAGAGTCCTGCAATTTTTTCATTCTTTGGAAACACCCCAAATGAAAGTGAACTTTGGGTACATAACACCCGTACCGTTGAACATGGAGCTGATAGACACGTCTCTCAGCAAAACCCAAAGGAAGACACCGACAATCATCCATCCCCAATACAATATTATCAAGATAAGGATGTTTTATATGAGGAAGGTGAAGCATGCCGGAAACGAGTTTTCGTCGAGGCTTGGGACGATTCTTACAGACTTCCCAAGGATTGAGGACATCCATCCGTTTTACGGGGATCTGATCAATGTTCTATATGATAGAGATCACTACAAGCTTGCTCTTGGACATGTGAATGCAGCAAAAAACGGGATTGAAAAGACCTCGAAGGAGTTTGTGAAGCTCCTGAAGTTTGCAGACAGTCTTTATAGATGCAAGCAGCTGAAAAGGGCGGCACTTGGAAGGATGGCATCTACAGTCAAAAGACTTGGAAAGACGCTGGAATATCTGGAAGAGGTTAGGATGCACATGAGTAGGCTGCCATCTATAGACCTGTCTGGAAGGACACTTCTTGTGTGTGGATTTCCAAATGTTGGGAAGAGCTCGTTTGTCAGGAAAGTGTCAAGGGCAGATGTCGAAGTGCAGCCCTATCCGTTTACAACAAAGAGCCTTTATGTTGGGCACTTTGACTATAAATACCTACAGTGGCAGGTGATTGATACTCCAGGGATTCTCGATCAGCCTCTTGAAAATAGAAACACTATTGAGATGCTCAGTATAACTGCCCTTGCACATATAAAGGCTGTTGTCTTGTACTTCATTGATTTGAGCGAGACATGTGGGTATTCCATCGAGGAGCAGATAGATCTATTCAACACACTGAATCCCCTCCTCAACTCTACAATGGTTATTGTGCTAAGTAAGAGCGATGTTGTAAGGCTGTCTGAGGTGGAGAACAAGGAGGCGATCATGAGTTTTCTGGAGGGAAAGAAGTATATGGAGATGAGCTGCGAGAGGGAAGAGAATATAGATGCGGTCAAAGGAATGGCATGCGACCTCTTACTTGATGAGAGGTTCGAAAAGAAAATCAACAGTGATAAGCTTTGTGAGTACATCAACAGAATCACAATAGTCAGGCCCAAAGAGGTGAGGGAGAAGGCAGAGGCATTTATATGTTCAAGGGAAATAACCGAGATTGAGAATGAACAAGAAAGATATCTTGTTCCTGAGGAGTATAAGTATGATATTGTACCCGAGATCATGGATGGTAAGAATGTTGCAGACTTCTTTGATCCTGACATCGAGAAGAGGCTCTCTGAGATTGAGAAGGAAGAGGAGGACATGCTTGCAATGTACAACAAGACGTATGATGTTCTGTCCCCCGAGGAGAGAGCTATGAAGGAAGAAGTTACTGTTGGAATAGAAAGAAGGAGAATTATCAACAGACTCAACGAGAAGAAGAAACTCCCCGACTCATGGAAGCTCAGATCAAAAAATAGTGGGGAAGATGTGGTTGCTAGTGTGAAGAAGGAAAGCAAGGCACAGTTGGTGCAGCCACCCCGGCATCCAAAAAAGAAGAAGGCCAGGTTTGATGACAAACATTATTATGACAAAAGGCCAAGGCATCTCTATAGAGGCCGTAGGTGATCTATCTATATTACATTAAAAGGTATTTAATGACCATGGTTGTTACTTTCGAAGGGCCAAGGACAATTTTTTCTTAATAAAAAATCCTAGCCATGGGTAATAATAGGATTCCGATGTGGAAGCAATGCAGAGCCTTTACTCTAGAGCCTAATTCTTTAGATAACAAGGAGGAGGCTACCTCTGTGCTATACGGAGAGAACCTGTATGTAGGATGTGGGGACGGAAGGGTGAACTGCTATGGAGACAAGAAGTTGTACTCATTTCAAGGATTTGAGCTAGAGTTCGACTATCTGGAGAGCTGTGATGTGGCTGAGAAGGTATTGGCGATTGAGAGATTTGATGATGGGGGTCTGAATGAGCTTCTTGTTGTTGGAAATGAAAGAAACTTAAAGATATGGAAGGTTAGGAACAAGGGACCTACTAAGGAGGTTTTGGAAGGGAGGCATTCTGAGGGCTACGAGTGTGTATGTATAAAGGAATGTAGGAATGTGCATCCGTGTATTCTTAACAGCCTTAGCCTTAACAACGACAGGCAATATCTTTTATCCTCGGACTATCTGAAAATCAACCTGTGGAAGCCCGAAAAGATTGATGGATGCTTTACTATTGTGGACGTAAAGCCACATAAATACAGCGACTTGATGTTTGTGATCAATTCAACTAAATTCAGCAAGGAAATGAATATGGTGTTTGGATATTCAACAAGCTCTGGAGAGATCCATGTAAACGACCTGAGGCTATCCTCCAAGTCACTGGAAGCCTTGACAATAGACGGGGTGGATGCGGATGGAATTGAGGGTGCAGTGAAATCCATTTCCGACTTCCAGTTTGTCGACTCAAATCTAATTCTTGCTAGAAGCCTCAATTCTGTCACGCTCTATGACATGAGAAATCCTAAGGACAACATTTTTACTACTGTTTTATGTGACGATGTAGACGAGATCAGCTCTGTATATGAGTCTGATGCTGTGTATGCAAGGTTCAGGGTGTGCTGCTCGGACAACTATGGGTTCACAGGAGGGTTCAGGAACACTGTGCACATCATTAATCTTCTGGATGGATCAAAGGAGGATTTGCCAATACAATGTAAACCAAAAAACACAGAAAAGAAAGACAGACTCAAACTTGTGAGCTCAAGGGGGAATGATTTTATCATTGCTTGTGAAGGAAAGATACTTGAGTATCGGCATGTTTAGTGGGCATATGGCGAAAGAAATGATCTTCTTGAGACCATGGCTCCATGAAAAATCCAAATGTTTTTGTTTATATAAAGATTGTTTAGAAAAGCTCCAGCTATTTTATTAATTATGTGAAATCACCTCCTTAGCAGCCAAAAAGCTAATGCCAGCACTACCCAGAACGCTATGAACTTGATTATTGCAGGGCGTGTGCCAGATACATTTGCCCAGGTTTTTTTCATGAGATCGAGGCTTCCAGAGATGAGGGAGTCCGAGGTGGCCATGAGGTCATCGATTCTTCTGAAGCTTTCTTCTTGAAGAGACACATGCATACTTATCTCCTCCATTATCTGACCTATCTCGCTGATCTGCATCGATATCTTCTGTCTTTCCTTGATTCTTTCTGTGACAACTTCCCTCTCCATAAGCACAGTGTCTTGATGCTCCAGAGAGCACTCGGAGTCAAACTCTTTTCTCCTCTCACTTATAGCCTGCCTCCTTTCGTTTCTTTTGTTGATGAATTCCTTCAATTTTATACTATATCTCGACACTCTGTTTTTGATCATCCCTTCGAGATTGGCATATGATGCAGCTTCCTGATCATTTCTGCACCTCATCTCAAGCCTTGCGACATCCCGCATCTTTCCCACCAGCTCAGAGGCCCTATCTATCTTCGACTGTAATGTAAACGACTCATATACTCTTTCCTTATCCAGCATTCTGGATATTTCAGAAAGCGTCCTCTCTATCATAGTATCTATTTCAAATGCCTCTATGTATGGAGATGAAAGAAGAGGCTTTCCTTGCTGAGGAATGAGCGTGGTTTGGATTATTTTCACAAACTCATCGGTTCTATCCATCGAGGGTCTTTGCCATTAAATTTAATGTGTTTGTTTATGTCTCTTCTCGTGAATCCCTTGCAGGATGTTCGAGTACTACGAAGAGCCCATCTTCACCAACGATCTCCTATCGCTGATGTATATTTTGGACGGCAATGTGGACAGAATCGTCTTCACATCGAGGATGGATCCAAAGGTTTTTCCAAAGGAGGACACAGTCCCTACCAAGTATGCAGAGGTATTGTCGTCTTTCGGAAGCTTTCTAGATTTCTACAGAGATCTGAAGGAGGAGGGGGAGCATGCAGAAATAATAGCTTATTATAAGCTAAAACATAGCAGGCTCTCATTCATGGCTTTGCATTCAAAATATGTCCAGATCATCAAAAAGATGGACAAAGAAGAGGACATTACTTACTATAATAAGAATCTTTATAAAACACTACTGGAGTGTAATGAATATGCATCCAATAGAGGATCTTCAGACATGTTTCTGGCACCTTTTTACACAAGCCGATTTTTCAAGCAGAATGGAGAGCTTGGAAAGTCTAGAAGGCTAAGAAAAGAAGCAAGAAGAATAGCAAGAATCTCAAACAGGTTGAACGCCATCCAGGAAATGGACAATGGGATATAGAGGCCCTGAGGAACCACCCTAAATAAAACTATTCTTAAGCCTTAGAGACCTTTTCCTTGTATAAAAGCCACAATATCTGCCTCAACTTTCTCCATATCTTTTCTACCCTTAAGAACTTCATCACATACAAACTTCAGATAAACCGTTAGCATCCTCATCCTCTCCTCTATAACATCCTTGTCCATTTTGTTCCATCTCTTCCTTGGAAATTCCGGTAGCACCTTTAGAAAGCACTTGAGCCTGGAATGAAGCATGTGGAAGTCTCTGTATCGTCTAAAAACTTTCGTATAACACTTTCCAAAGCTTTTATTGTTAGTTATACATACAACCTCATATTCAGTGTATCTATCCTGTACATTCCTTGATCCGGGAATCGTTATTTCCAACAATCTTTCCTCTTCCATCGGGTTTGTTTCTCCCTTCAAACAATTTATGAGTCTCCGTTTCATTTTTAGTTTTGGATCCTTTGCCTGATGTCTGCTGTTGCTCGGAACCTCTAAACCTCGACAATTTCACCCTGGATTCCACCATAATCCTGCCTTGAGGAAAGATAATGCCTTACAGAGATGAACATCAGAACATTGGCATAGAAGTCTCCGTGCTCATTTACCTCTCCTTCGTTAGATAAATTCGTTACACTGCTTTCAAGATCTGTCTCCAAGCGATTCTTCAGGGACTCAAGATCCTCCATGGTGCAGCTTTCGAAGAATTCCTTGAGAACAGAAAATGAAAAGCATTCAAAGAGTCCGGATTCTGCCAAAGGCCTTTCTTCCTTGAACCCCCTCAGTCTCTTGTCCAATCTTTTGGCTTCCCATGGAAACAGAGAGAGGAATATATACAACTCTTGCTGGATCATCGACTTGAATAGAAATTCTCTGTTTCTTTTTATATGTACAGACTTTCTGAGGCATTCCACCTTTCTTGATTGTAAGATCTTTACTTGTATCCTATACACAAGGCTCTCGTCTAGCAGTTTGATAAACTCTGTAAAGTTCGGATTCATTATTAGTGACTCGGTGGACTTATAGATGATTTCGTTCAGACGCAGAAACCCAACCTTCCTTATTTTTTTCCAGAGGATATCACACTTCTCCAGGTATTCTGTTGATCCATCTTCCTTGAATCTCAGGTTAGCGGCTAGCATGTCCTTCATCACACTGACAACCAGCTCTAGATCCATTGAGTTTATGTCTGCAGACTTATCACCCAGAAGGTCTACAAGGTCGTATCCTGCTATCTGGGTATCTATGGATCTTATCCTGCTGTCCAGGGCCTCTAGCCTGCTTTTGTACTCCTTTATCCTGGAATTCATGAGCTTGAAGCCTTCGCATTTCCTGTGGAGCTGCTCGGCGGCTAGAAGCTTTTTCTCAAGGCTCTTGATCTTTTCCTCCATAACAACAATCAGGGTTGTTTCTATGGGTTGGATACAAAGTACAAATTCGAGAGCCTCTAACCCATTAATGGAGATTGGTTTGATAGGTCTGGGTGTGATGGGGCACAACCTTGCACTAAACATTGTTTCGAAAGGATACAAACTCCATGTCTTCAACAGGACGTCTTCAAAGACAGACAGACTTGCAGAGGAAAGCAATGATGTCTACCCGCATTATTCTGTTCAGGATATGGTTATGGGGATCAAGACCTCTCCAAAGATCATTATTTTGATGCTGACATCCGGAGAAGTGGTGGATGCATTTCTTGAGGAGCTTGGTAAATATTTGGGCAAGGATGACATTGTCATCGATGGAGGGAATTCATCGTTCAGAGACACTATTAGAAGGAACAACTGTAAATTCAGATTTGTTGGATGTGGGATTTCTGGCGGAGAAGAGGGAGCTCGCCATGGCCCGTCCATCATGGTTGGGTGTTCTAAGGGTGCCTGGGAGGAGGTGAAGGGACTTCTTACAGATATTTCTGCCATCAGCGCCTCTAGAAATGATCGCTGCTGTGTGTGGCTTGGAGAGGATGGGGCAGGCCATTTCGTCAAGATGATTCACAACGGAATTGAATATGGGGACATGGCAGTGATTACCGAGACATATCTAGTTCTGAGGTCTTTAGGACTGGATAACTTGGAGATATCTTCGTTGTTTGATAGTTGGGACAGGATGGAATCCGAGAGCTATTTGCTTAGGATTTCATCCAACATTCTAAGGATGAAGAATGAAAAGGGAAGTGTGATCGACCAGATAATAGATGTTTCTGAACAGAAGGGGACTGGGAAGGAGACGGTTATATCTGCTATGGAGATAGGAGAGGCAATACCTGCAATAACTGAGGCTGTTACATCAAGGATGGTATCACATATGAAGGATAAAAGATGCTGGCTTTCCTCAAGGCTGAAAGGTAGCAGGGGAGGCAAAAGAATACCAGAAGAAACTATAAGAAAAGGATTCTATCTTGCAAGGATAGTCTCGTATATCCAAGGATTCAATCTATTGATGAAGGCTAGAAAGAAGTACGGATGGACATACACCATTAAAGATATCACTAGGGTGTGGAGCAATGGATGCATTCTCAGAGGAAAGCTTTTGAATGTGGTTGAGGGCTTAGGGGAAGAAAGAGAGGAAGATTTTGAACTTACGTCTGGGTTTGTGTCTCTCTACGACAGGTGCTCTGTGGACCTGAAAGAGATGGTCTTATATTCTGTAGAAAATGAGGTGGCCATCCCAACTATTTCATCCTGTTTGATGTATTTGAATGGCATGAAAGAGAAGGAAGGGGGAGGCAATATGATTCAGGCTATGAGAGATTACTTTGGATCCCACACCGTGGTAATGAAAGGGGAGTCTCAATCTGTTCACATTGAATGGGCTTAGTTTGCTTTATAGGAATTAAACTTTTGTAAATTGAATTGGAAAAGGGTTCTTAAAGAATTACTAGTTATCCATAGGATGGAAGACCAGAAAACTGGATTGAAAGTGAATATGGACACGATTAGGCGTTCTGGAAGAATTGTAGGTAGAGAGCACGGACTGGAGGGGGGTGTGCCCAAACAGTTACGGGCAGTATTTATAACTTCAAGTGTCTATAAGTATGAGGCATTCAGAGAATTTCTAAATGCACCTGTGGAGCTTGTTGTGCTAGACATAAAAGAAATTCAGGGAAGTAAGGAGGAGATAATCATGGACAAACTTCAAAAGGTAAGCCATCTTGTCACTGAATCTACCATTACCTTTATTGACGACACCAGCATTCACATGAGTGGACTAGGAGGATTCCCAGGGCAATATGCAAAAGACTTTCTCAAGATTGGTGCCTCGAGGATACTTGAGATTGCCTCGAAGGTAGGAAGAGAATGTTTGTACTCTACGATTATTGGGGTGATGAGGATGGAAGAGGGGAAGATTGTGACCAAGATATTCACTGGGGAAGTGCGAGGAGACATTATCCAAAGGAGCGAAGGGGAGCCTAAGACATTTAGTGATATTTTTGTTCCTAAGGAAGAGGAATATGATGGAATACCTCATGGGATGGAAGGAATCAAGATAGGAAGATACAAAGCCGTTGAGAAGGTCAAGAGGTATCTGGGAGAGATTGGGGTATATGAACAGCTATTTTCCAATTAAAATGTTTAGGTGGGATATATCTATGGTTAGTTTGTTGCGAGATTTGGAGTTGGATATGGTAAAGGGAAATGGATTTTGAAAAAGAAGCCCTTAAAGTGGTTTGATAGGATGCTTGAGAACTTAGATGGATTTGTTTTCAGGAGAAACGTCAGGCAGGAGCCGAAAGCTCGGAAGTTTTTTGATGAAGGAAGCAAAGAACAGAGCATAGCAAGGGGGAATACCGATGGGATATTCAGCTTCAAGTTTGTACGGAGTAATAAGAGAAGGGGGGATTCTGAGGAAGAGAATTCTGGTAAAAGAGCTAAGGAGAAAGAGCCTGATATGGGTGTGATAAATGAGAATGAGGAAAATGCGTTGAATGATGTGTCTGAGGAGATAAGTGAGGAAGATGGCATCTGCAGTAATATTCTTATTAAAGATGAGGCAAAGAAAAGGATTAGTATTTCAGATCTTCACACAAAACTCGGAGAGGACGGAACCTTGGGAGAGCTGGTTAGATTATGTGTGGAGTATGCGTTGCAGAAGAAGAAAATAGAATATGGAATAAACCTTGAGAGGAAACTCTTACAGAACGAGGGGTCTATTAAAAGACGAGATGTCGAAAGAGAGATTGAGGAGGCAGACAGAAAGATTCTGTGGGTTTCTCAAGAAGAAGAGAAATGGAACAGTTTGAAGACTGAGGTGCTTAATTCAAGCAAGGTGGATGTGAGAGAGGTTCAAAGATCAGTTCGAGACTTTGGATATATAGAAAATATGGAGGAGATTAGACAAGAGTTTGTAAGAAAGTTTGAAAGACTTGAGTTTCTGAAAGAGTCTGCCAAGTCTTGCATTTCTCGGATTAGAGAGCAAAGCGAAGATATTCTTGGGAGGGTCTTAAGAACTATTTGTAGAGAAAAAGAAGTGGATACATTATTTTTGCTAAGAACCTTATCAAAGACAAATAAGTGACAAAGAGAAATGGAATGATATTTTATAGAATAAAGGCCTTCTGTAATTTTTTTATTGTGCTTTACAATGCAGTGATAAGGGGTTTGGCGGTATGTGATGTGGAGGTTGTGCGGCTAGCCGCCATAGCTAAGTGGTTATAGCGCCAGTTTAGTAAACTGGAGGTCCCGAGTTCGATCCTCGGTGGTGGCTTTATCTTATAATATTCGGGAGAGGAGAAGTCGATTTGTTTTTACGAACACAAAATAATCTAGAACTTCTCAGCCCCGAATGTCACAGAAGTCACGGAGCCCAAGTCTTCTAGCAGATTACTTGAAGTCTGTCCGACTCTTTACGAAGAAGTGTGTAAAGCCATCAGGAAAAGAGTTTGCCATGTCAGTGAAACGCCACGCCATTGGAATAGGTTTCCTTGGGATCCTGGGATATGCAATAAAGCTGATACACATTCCGATCAATAACATTATTGTGAGTAACCCAAACAAGGAATAAAGCTGTGTTTCTTAAAGCTTACTAATCTTTTCAATTGTAACACATGTTTAATTTCCAGCAAAAGACTCAGGCACTGGAAGCCCTTCTGAACACAAGAAACAAAACAAAGAAAAACCCAATTGTTAAGGAGCTTCTTATAGAGAACTTCCTAATAAACCCGTCCATGACATCCCCAAAAACTTCTGCAATGATGCGAGTGTATCCTATAGACCAATATCCATTTTTGATCACACATTCCCATTTGTTGCACAGATCCTCTATTGCAGGCACTCTTGTGGCTGGATCACACTTGTTGACCTTGTAGAAGGTCTTTGCTTCTTCTATTTGGTGCCGTATCTGCGTCCTTCTGTTAATTATCTTATATCTTATGTCCCTCTCCAATCCTATCAGTACATACATGATAACATAGCACACAAATCCTATAACAACAAAGTTCAGTACCAAATGGAGATACCCTATTATCGTCATAGGGAGCCGGCTAATATTTATAGCGTAAATCCACTTGACTTTTTTTGTGGCAACCTTTCTTCTATCATTTAGGCATTTAACCATTTGAGTGCAGCTTTCCTTCGCCGTCTCTGCACCTATCTTACGTTTCTTCAATGGCGATAAGTGGGAGCATCCCCCGCCTCTTTGCTTACTTTCACGTTTCCATCCAAGCTCATGCTCTACGTCCATCGGTATTTCCCCATGCATTGAAGGATACCAAATTCCACTCTTTTGAACTTCAGAACAGAAAAGGCTTCTTGTCCCAAGACAATGTAAAAGAGGAGAATTTCGATAAAATGGTTTTATTAGAAGATCACTATATGAGGCTCGTAGCCAACCTCAATGGGCTGATTGTTCTTAAGAGATATCTCCATACCCTTCCTTGGACCCTCAATCTTCCTTTTGATCGGAGGAAGCACCATTCCTCTAGCCTCAGCACTCTTTGCCAGCTCAGAAGCTTTAAGAATCCTATTCTGACTCTCCTCGCAGCACCTGCTCTTCCTCACATGCTCAATACGTGCAATCACCTTCTTAATAACATACTTTCCACGAACTCTCTTGTAAAGAGCAATGTTGACAGACCTAGGCTTCACATCATAAACACGCCCTGTCCTTCCATGATAGTACTTGTGAGGCATCCCCTTCATTATAGCCGGATTGACTAAGATATCCACCATATCTCCTATCTCGTACTTCTCGAGATATTTCGACACATGTGGAACACCATGCTTTCTGTGGTCTTGTGAAAAAAGAGACCTGGTTCCTCTTCTGTATCCCTTACTCCTCATTTCTAGGGCTGTTTTCAGATTTGAAAAATTTGCAATCCGTGGGTCAAAACAGCTCAAAGGCCACCCAAATCTGTAGGATCAAGATCCCTATTCTACAAACGTTATATCCTCTACAAACTCTCCTCGGATAATAGCAGAGCCCCCCACTTCACTGGGCTCTGTGATCTTGGATAGCACTATGTTCATAAATGCATCATATCCCATCAACAGCCCTTTGAGGACATGTCCTCCATCAACTCGGACAATAACATTTTTATGTAATAGACTTGCTAGGTTTGGAACGGCACTCTTTCCCATCTGAGGGATAGGAAAGTATTGCATTTAACAATTGAGTGGCGTCCTGCCTGAATATAGTATTCCAAAACCAGGATGCCTTATTCCATAGTATGACTGGGAGTGTATTGCACTCTGGTTGGTAGAATAGAACGAAAAATTTTCACCCTGAATGGCAAACAAGAAAGGCAGTAAGAGAGCAAACACCCCGAGAGATCCATTCGAGAAGGAAAGGCTTATAAGAGAGATCCAGCTGGTTGGCGTGTATGGGCTGAAGAACAAGCACGAGCTTTGGGTCATGGAGAAGATGTTTTCAAAGGATAAAGAGCGTGCGCGTATGCTTCTTACGTCGACAAATCCTGAGGACATCCCCATAGACGGGAGGTCTCTCCTTAAGAGGCTCATGAAGTATGGAATACTTAATGGAATTGATCTTTGTGACAAGCAGAAGGTGATTGAAGGTCTCAACAAGGTTCTTGACCTTACGATCAACCATTATCTGGAAAGGCGTCTTCAATTCCGAGTGTTTGCAGCTGGGCTGGCAAAGTCTGTACATCATGCAAGGGTTCTTATAAAAGGAAGGTGCATCTCTATCAAAGACCAGGTTGTTGATGTCCCTGGGTTCATGGTGAGAGCAGACAAGGAGCCACTTATTGAATACAATCCATACTCACGCTATGGGGACAAGGGTAAGAAGAAGAAGGCAGGGGCTAAGGTAGATGAGGAATGATTATTTAATAAAATTTTTATCCTTTTGGTTTTCATTCTCTTTTCTGATTTCATCGATGGTCTTTCCATACCATTTATCCATTGTGCAGAATATTCTTTGCTGGACAGACGTTATGACGCCCCTCATGACCTTCTCTATCTCTGCTGAAATCCATCCCATCATGTAGTTATTTATTTCGACGGTCAGGTGCTTGTAGGATACCATCATCGGGATCCCTTTGTTTTTGTATCCCTCCATCCAGTGTTCATCTAGCCTCCCCCTCCCACTCTCCTCATGGTAGTAAACAGAGGGATCGAACATCGGGTTTATGGGTGATGAGTGGAGGTCCAGGTTGATCTTTTCTATATTTCTTATATGTTCTGGATCATGTTCAAATGGATTTTCGAGTATCTCTGCACCATCTCTGTTGATTGTGTTGAACGCCATATTAAATGTTTCGTTTGAGAAGTATCTGTTCTTGTAAAATGTATGGCATTTTGTATAAGCATTATATGAGATTTCCTCGACTATGCATGCATCTTCCGGAATAAGGCTGTGAAGTACTTGTGGGAATCTGGACTTCAAGTACATTATTTTGTGTGTCTTGTTGGCCTTCCCAAGTGTTTCATGAACAACGGTTTCTGCCTTTATCATCTCTACCTTTAAATCACCCGCATTTTCTGATTCTGTCATTGAAGAAACAGTATGAAAATGCCCCACAGCATATTCATCGGTGGTCATCGGAAGAACCGTTACATATATCTTTTCCACCTTGCCCATTGCGTTCGGGTGCCTCCCTTTACTTATTATACTGGTATCCACCAGTATGATGCATTTTCCAATTAACAAACAAAGAAGATAAAATCAAGATACAGTGTATAGAAAGGAGTTTAATTTAGGCAAACATGGCCTTGAATTTCGGTTCGAACATGGAATGGAAGCGCACAATCTTGGATCTGTCATCGCTGCAAAGGTCATATGTTTCGTATAGCCTTATGAGCGATAGAACAACATTATTAACAGCATTCAATGATTTGAAAAGCTCTCCTGTTCCAATACAATTCTCCTCTGCAATTCTATTCCAGTTTCCATGCTTGAAAAAGTCCAGGAGATATGAGTTCTTGATCTTGTCTAGGTTCTCCACACTTAGAAAGGAATCGATGATGTGAAGAGGTTCAGATGACATTTTCTGTAAGGATCTCAGGATCGGAGGGTATAGCCTTGACACGGAACTCCTGGAGATGCCATTAATCTTTCGACAGAATTCATAAACATCCGTGCTCAAAGGAGGAAGCGTACAGCCCATGTCGAATAAAAGAGGCTTTGTTTCAAAGAAGTGTGCTAACGTGATCATGAAAGCGTTAGGTTCCAAGGGTAAAGCTTTGCTCTCCAGGAGAAGGGCAAACGATAGGATTCCTGGATCAGAGTCTCTGTTTCCTATCACGAGATCACAAAGATAGGACTTTGGCAGAAAGTATGGTTTGAGAAGATTGAGCTGATAGTTTACAAGCTCAGCCCTCCTTTCCTCATATCCGTACACATCACTTAGGTCATAGGGTGGAGACCTGTCCCCAGATATGGATAGCTCCTCGATCGTCTTGGTAAGTCCCTCCTGATCACTATAGAGAGTGCTCTTAATCAAGGGATTCCTAACAAGTGAGTCTTTCAAATTAAACCCAACAAAGCTTGTATTCGTGTAGGTGTAGGCACCCTTTATGTTTGGAAGTAAAGACACCATGAGATTCTGCACCCTCTGCTTGGGTATTCCCATAAACACAACATTCCCAAGGGTATCGAAGCCTCTTCTCCCGGCTCTTCCTGCCATTTGCTTGTAATTCATGGGGTCTAGCTGTAAAGAATCTCCAGCAAACACAACAGTCCTGCAGGGCATGTTAATTCCAAGAGCCAGGGTTTCCGTTGCAAAAAGAACTTGTAAATGCTTCTGCCTGAACAGAATCTCAACAAGAGATCTATACTTTCTATTCATGTGTGCATGATGTACTCCTATCCCACGATAAATCATATCAATAAATTCAAAGCTGGTATTCTTTATGAACTTCGTTTCCTCAGAGAGTTCGTAATCAGTCAGTTTGGTCAGGGGATCCAGAAAGGTATACTTGATGTTTTTCTTATCACTCCTCATCTGAAAGCTTTTCTCTGCCGCAATGGATTCTTCAATCCAGCTCTCTTTTGTCTTCTCGGCATCCCTTGTCCTCTTCGCCTCTTTCTTCATCTTCTCAATGAACTTGTCCTTCTTTTTCTCCATGTCCATAGACTCCAGCTTCTGATACACTTTCAGTGCAAGCTTACTAGCAAAATCCCTGTCTGTATTGAAGACTATGCATGGGAACATGTCTCTCTCCTTAAGTTCCATGAGAAGGTCAAGGATGTTTTCAAGGAGATAATCGTTGCTGTAGTCCACAACCGTCTCAAAGGCCTTTCTTGTTTCTTTCGTTTGCAGCTTGTAAACATACTTCACTTGCTTCTCGCTCAGTAAATCTCCTTCAATCATCTTCTGGAATGTTTCTAGAAGGTGGTTTCCATACTCCCTCACCTCTTTCTTTGTTACTATGTTACTCTTGAAGAAGTTCTCGGGCGTTATCCTACTGATCAAATGCTCCTGATCCTTTCCAAGAACTGCACATATCGAGTCGTATAGATGAAGGAGCTCTTCAGGAAGGAAGCTCATATCATTTCCAAACCCAAACCTTTTTATGTGGGAATAGGAGTATGCAAACAGATTGTTTATAGGCACCATCTTTGGATCAAATTCATGGGAATAGACATAGGGTTTCAGCTCACAGTATCTTTCGTCATAGGAAACAAGTTCACACACCCTACCTTTCTCTTCTTCAATCTTCTTCATCCATCCATAGAACCCTTCAATATTCCCAAGCGTTGCACTAAGAACCAGCATAGGGCATGGCGATAGGTGGATTATCCTCTCTATCGGAATACCCATCTCTTCACTGCTGATCTTATGAACCTCATCGATAATTATGTACTTGACCCTCTCAAGAAACCCCTTGGGAGGTGTATTCAACACAGATTCCAAAAGAGATGGAATCACTATCAGAACCTGGCAATTCCAGGGCGCTATCGAAAATTCTTTCATAAGACTTCCTTGAAGAAAAGTTTTGGAGTTCACCTTTGCAGTAAATCTAGCATAGATGTCTGCAGATACCTGGTTGACAAGAGCTTTGGTGGGGAGACAAAAAATCACCATGTTAGTGTCGCTTTCTTTCAGAATCTTTTCAATTGCATAGAAACATATAAATGTCTTTCCAGCACTTGTTGGTGCAGATATCACGGCACTCTTATTTTGGTCAACGAGATCAAGAAGTCGCACTTGCCACTCATCAGGCTTGAATAGGACACGAGGGTCTTTCTTCGAATTCACACTTCTTTGGAGCTTGTCCCCAGTATGCTTCAACTGGAAACAAATATCAAATTCACTGGGTGCACTTGTGTCGTCAGTAAAGAACTCGAGATTCAAATACTCAAGACTGTGCTTTTCAATCAGCTCTTTGACAGTTGCTTCAAACCCACACCCAATCAGATTCTGGAATACAAACTCAAGCTCTGCATCTGGCGCCTGATCATCAAACCCAAGCCTTCCAAACTCACGTATATATTCAATACAGCTTAGATAGCATGGGACAATGATGCTTTCGTCGCAATCTTCAGACCTTTTCTTAAGATTCCACATGTCTGCATAGAACTCAATCCTGAGTAGAAGAACCCTCCTATAAATCCCGGATCTATCATTCTTGACACTCTCTAGAAGATTCTTCTTTCCTTGATAATCAAGCACCTTGTACTTTCCAAAGAAGTTTCTAAGCCACGATTCCTCCTTTGCCATTTTCTCTTCTTTCATTCTCCTCTCATTCTCCTCTATAATCTGCTTTTGCTTCTTTGACATCTTTGATGCCTTCCCTCCCTTAGTCCTAACAATCGGTGTATATAACAGCTTTCCATCAAATAACGACTGTGCAGACTTCCTTATGTTTTTCATGTGTGCAGCCGCAGATCCCGGGCTTACCTCCTTCCCACTTATTAGCAGATCCAACTCCATTCCAACATTCTTGCTTTCAATATCTCTGTGTCCATCCTTAATGATCTCGCCATATTCCGTATACTCCTCTTCACTCTCCCCCTCTCCATCTTGAAGGAGAAGCCTTCCATCAAAGTCCATCACTCTTTCAGATGCTTCGTCTCTGAACATCCTGATAAGCTTCTTACACAACGATGCAGGCACAGAAAACTTGCAAGGCCCAAAAGCTTCGGTTCTAGACTTGAAAAGCTCATCAATAACTTTTATACTCATCTCGGAGTTGATCTTCTTGATTTCGTCATCTATGTCCTCCCAAGTTCCGGAATCAGTGTCTTCGTCAGGGAAAGCCACAGCCTTCCTTTCCACCCTATGCTCAAGAGGACAGTATACAAACGCATAGACATTAGGAACCCTAAATTCCATCTGGTCCAGAACTCCACAATAAAGACTGATTCCAAGACATTCATATAAAAACCGGAGCTCATCTTCTTCACTTCCCCCAAGAACAAGTGCAACCCTTTCATTCTCAATGTAATCATAGACTCGGGAAATATCCATGCAATCAAACTTTCTCATGAGATATTCCCTGATCACCTTTCTGTGCCCACTCTCTGCTCGGAAGAACATTACAACATCATGAAATCCGACCTTTTGGAGATTCGACAGCATAAACTTAGTCCCATGCATATATGTGTGCAGCGGAAGGTTTTCATATCCTACCCCATACCTTTTACTGATATTGGTTATAAGAGCCCCTCCATCAATCACAAGATGCCCTATACCTGTAAATTGTGCCGAGATGTTTGTATACACCGGATGCTTTGTCTTGAAGTATTCTTCGTGATTCATTTTAGGGCAAAAATTTCTTCTCTCTTTTGCTACCTCCAAAAAGATAAGAAAGTCATCTAAACCATGTTTAATTATCTTCTCGATCTTTTTCGGCCCGTGTATTTAGTATCCTTAGGCACCTCGACTCCTCTAAGCCTTAGCTTTTCCTTTCTTCTTAGGATTGCATCTATTCTTCCCATCCCTTTTTTCTTCTTCCCTCTTTTCTTCCCCGGTCCTTTAACAGACGTAAGCACCAAGAAGCTCTTGACATTCCGAGTCCCTTCGTTGTCCACCTGAATTCCTCCACTAAACCCTGCTCTAATTGCTTCAGCCTTCATCATCTCAATTTGGCCTTGGCTTTTCAAATAGAACTGGAGTACGCACCGAGCATCGGGCTTGCATATAGAATAGAGGGCCGTGAAGAATGTCCTGAGTCTACGCACAGGATGGTCATCAGATGAATATGAATGAAACAGCCACTGAATCGCACTGACACTCACCACACCATCAAAGGTTCCTGGCTGAAACTCCAGCCCCCTCCCCATATCCATTCTTATGTATCCAACTCCTTCTTTTTTCGCCGCTCCTAGCTTCAGCATATCCATACTTATGTCAATCCCAATCCATGGGTGGCCATTCTCAGCAAGAACAGACCCACTAAGGCCAGACCCACATCCAACGTCCAGAAGCAGCCCCCCGTCTTTCGGCTCAAGCAATTCAAGACATCTTTCAGTAAGCTCTCTTTGAATGTAGACTATCCTGCTGTTCTGTGTGTACTTCAGTGACGTCTCTTCATCGTAATACACTTCGGCAGGGCCAGAGAGCTCGGGAATCCCCATGAGGGCTAAATTCATCTTTCAGATAACAACCAGGAGAAGTGTCTGTACGTAGCCGAGGAGACAGTACCCAAAATAAATACATGCAAAATGCATCCCTTATAATGACCATAGTGTATGAGGCTGTTGGAATGAAAAGATGTGCTCGAACAGGTGCTGATTTTGATAGAGATCTGAGAAGATTCTCCATGCTCGAGAAGGCCGTGATATCAATGGCCTATCTACTTCCAATCATCATCCCTTCAGTTGCAAAATCCATAGATGCATCCTATAATTTATTCCTTCCCCTTTCCATGGGCCTTTCTGCTTCTTCATTCATGCCTATATCTGCTAGAATAGCCCGAAGGTTCTTCGACCAAGATACAGTCAGGATAGTCACCCTGCACAGCTCCATGGTGACAATATACGTGGCCATAGTATTTATTTACTCTCTTCGTATGTCTGCCATTTGCTATAGCAATGGATTCCTCGAGTCAGATATCTCAGATGGAGAGATGATGTATAGAATGCTCATTCTTGCTTCATATCTGTTCTATGACTCAGGGAGACTTATCAACCGATCTGTAGGATTGTACAGGACGTTTGTAGTGATGTCCCACCTTATTGGTATCTTTTTGATAAGCCTGCTAGCTATAGCATATGAGACGGGCTTTGCATCCCATTCTCTTCTTATGCAGGTATTCTTTTGCCACAGTATATCCTCAATGGTAGTGTCGCTGGCTTTCGACAACTTTCCAAGCATCATAACCTTGAAAAAAGACTTAGATATTCTCCCGGTTGTCGTGTCTGTTGGAAATCTCCTTACTGTCATTCTTGGAGTTGAGATCATATTTCCTAGATACAATCTTAATAAATAAATACTTTACGTCAATAACAGAGTAACCATCACCAATCGACCTTGAAATCTACTCTTCTTGTCTTTACTTGTTTAAATGTCCTTTTTTCTTCTAACTCAGATGGCAAATAATGGATATCTGGCTGTTCCTTTCCACAAAGGTTGTATTCCTTGAGATCCATTTCAATGTCATTTACCCTTTCTTGTCCGGGGCCCCCAATGCAGCTGCTCTTGCATAGAAATATCTCTGCCATCTTGTATCTAGCTCCTTTAATCTTACTTCTCCTGAAATAGTTTATGGAATTCTCCAACCCTGTTATCTGCGATATGATGCTCCCATCATCTACTACATATTCTTTTATTCCATTCCTGTCTTTCACTACCTCTATAGAACAGTATCTTCTAAGTATGGACTCCGAATATCCTCCAGAACTTGTTCCAATGTTCCACTGTGATATCTCCGTCTTTTCCATGTCGCAGAGATTCATGGTCCTTGACTTGATGAATGCTTCAAATCCAAGCTCGTCAAGCACCTGCCGAAACTCTCTCGTGGCCAGGACGAAGTCGAAGTTAACACCATCCCTCCCATTCTCTAACTTCTTGTCATAGCATGGCATCACACTTATTGTTCTGCTTCCTTTTACAAGAGAGAATGCCATCTGCTGAGGAGACTTGACTCTTGATAAGTACCCAATGAGATGTGGAGCTGTTCTCTCGACATATGTGACAACCCCTGGGCATGCACTGATCACCAGGTGGTTTGTAGTCAGATACTCCCTGTATACTTCTTCATAGATCCGGCTTCTCATGCAGGAAGTATCAACTATCTTGTATATATTGAACTTAGTTTTGAGAAAGGAAGACAGAGCAGACTCGAACTTCCTGTAGCTCATATCTCCTATCCGATAGATATTAAAGATGTTTATCTTCGATTGGGGAGAGAGAATAAATGAGGTCCGTACAGACAGATCCAGGATGAAGGAGGTATCTACCGGGAGAGTATGGGCCTCATCTGCAGATACACACCCACTGCAAGCAAGACAATCATTTAAGGACAAGCTGAATGGAGTATCTGTTTTGATGCACTTATGGTTGTCTCCGGAAAGACCCGTGAAGAAGGACATTGCGAATTTACAAGGGATTTTTGGTTCTGAATAATTGTTGGGATGGATCCCTTTAATGGAGATCAGGCTGAGTTCATTCAAAAGAGAGCACTCTCTCAAGGAGTTGTTATCAAAGGACATGTCTGAATACTGGGCTACAGACGACGTGCTTCCGCACTCCATCCAAATATCATTTGATAAAGTCAAATATGTCCAGTCAGTACAGCTGTTCTTAAGCTTCACACAAGACGATAGCTATACACCCGAAAAGATCGCGATCAGATCTGGATTGGCCAGGGAATGCATCAAGGAAATAAGCTCAGTAGAGCTTGTAGAACCTGAGGGACTGCTGACATTGAATGTTGGAAGAAAGTGTCTTTATATCCAGATTGTGATCAACTCGAACCATCAGGAGGGAAAGGATAGTCATATCAGACATCTGAAGGTTCTGGAATCACCAACAAAGGAGATTTATTACAAAATATGAGGTCCATGAGATCTCTAACAAGACGGATTAAATACGTTGTTTATCAACTGGGATGGCATGATGAAAAGTGATGTCTTTAGATATCCCATGTATTTTTACATACTAAATGTCGAGCAGGTCGATGAATCAACGGTTATGCTTTATGGGAAACATCTAACAGAGCTTCCCAAGACTCCTCCAACGGATGTATGTGGATGCAACTCGACATCCGCAAAGATATGTGTAGAAAATATCTATTCCCCAGTCTTTTTAAAAGCAACCAACGGCAGAGATGAGGAATTGAAAGGGGACATTAAAGCATTCATGGACTCCAAAGGCGTCAGATATGTGGTGGAACCTTCATCGAAGGAGAATGTATTTTATCCCAGTCTAGACAGAAAGATAGAACTGATCAAGGTTCTTCCAGAAAGAAAGGTCTCTTTTGATGATTTCTTTTCTGATCATTCAGAAGCCATCATAACAGAGTTTTCGAATCCTATAGAAAACATTATCATATCAAGAAGACTCCGGGGGCCTTGTATCATCAGGGTTGATGAACATTCCATGTCTTCCAAGAAGGAAATTGTTGTGAAATCTCCGGGTATGATCACCTTTGTATGCAATTCAAATTTCCCTAGGCTGACTTTTGGATCGTTAGCTGTGAGGTTTAGTAGGATAGGGATTCTCAAGTATTGCCTTTATGTGCAAGGAGTCCTTCATTGTGGAGAGGTGAGACCTGAAGATGGAAATGAGAGTGTGGAGGCTGAAGGGGCAAATTATGTATTGCATCACACCCCGGAAGTGCTGTTAAGGTATCTCAACAGCCTCATGGCCAATGAAGGCATAGATTGCATAGTATATCACAACCTTCCTAGCCCGATCCTCAGGAGGTTAGAGATATCGAGAATGGTAAGGTGTGATTTGTTTGCTTTTGCAAGTGGGAACATAAAAGGATGTGATTTTTCAATTGAAGAATTATCTGAAGTGCTGAATCTAGAGGCGGTAGGAGAACTAAGGAGAAATCAAGAAAAGCCAGAGAGTTCACTTAAAAGATTGATCATCGAGTCTAAAGCAATACTCCAGATATTCCAGGCTACAGAGGCATTGGATCTATCAAAAGAGATGTCTGAGATTTCAGGATACATCCTGAACAGGGCCCTACAGAACTTGCGTGCTGAGAGGATTGAGTATACTCTTCTTCATGAATTATATGAAAGAGGATATTTATTTCCTTGTGTCGCAAGTCGAAGAGAAGTGAAGTATACTGGAGGATTGGTTCTATCACCGCAGGTAGGGTTCTATGAAGACCTTGTTCTTCTTCTAGACTTCAACTCATTATACCCGTCGATTATTCAGGAATTCAATGTATGCTTCTCAACCATTGGGATGTTTAATGGAAGGATTTCGGGAGATATGGATGGGGAAAAGTTGGAAATGCTTACCGAGAAAAGTAGGAGCTCTGGAAGAGGATTTCTCCCAAAGATCCTGGAGGGATTCGTTGGAAGAAGGAAGGCAGTCAAGGATCTGATGAAACGGTGTAAGGGAAAGGAAGAAATAAAGGTGTTGGAAATAAGGCAAAGGGCATTAAAGTTGACTGCTAACAGCATATACGGTTGTCTTGGGTTTGCAGGGTCAAGGTTTTGTAACTATACAATGGCGGCATACATAACCAACAAGGGAAGAGACCTTCTTCTTGAGGCAAAAAGAATAGCAGAAGAAGGATGTGGGATGAAGATTATTTACGGAGACACTGACTCTGTGATGGTTCACACCGGGCTTGGTGGAGAGATGTCTAACTACAAAAAGGCCCTGGAGATGTCAGTGAGGTTAAAAGATGCAATCAACTCTCGGTATAAGAAAATAGAGATTGAAGTTGATAAGGTATTCAAGAAGCTTTTGTTGTATAAGAAGAAGAAGTATGCAGGGCTTTACATTACAGAGGAAGGAAAGAGTAGTATTGAGTACAAAGGATTAGACCTTGTTAGAAAAGACTTTTGTGAGGCCAGTAGAAGAGTGTGCAGATCTGTTTTGGAACTATTGCTTACGGATTTCGAAGATCCTAGGACCTACGCAAGGTTTTATGAAGATGAGCCAAAAAGAGTCCTGAATGACGGAAATAGCAAGATAAGAAGGGCTGTGTACGATGAATTGAAAAAGCTGAGTAGTAACCTTGAAGGACTCCCTACCAAAGACTTTGTGATTTATAACACTCTGTCCAAGGCACCGGAGAATTACGATCCTTCTGTGGCACTTCCACATGTTTCTCTTGCTCTAAGATTGAAGGAGGCAGGAATGAAGTTTGACCAGGGAGACGTTGCTTGTTATGTGATAGGGAAGGGAGGTCCAAACGAGGCTCCACATAAGAGAGCATATCATTTGAATGAGGATTTTGCCATTGACTATGAGTACTATATATCAAATCAGATTCTTCCTCCTCTCCTCCGAATTGTAGGGATAGTCAAAGGGTTTCATGGGGAAAAAATAGGTAGAATATTCGGGGTGGAAAAGGTTGTAAAGACTGAAGTCCAGAAGAGTATATCGTTCCTATCTCCTTGCTGTGGAATTGTTCAGGAGGCGGCCCCGAAATGTAAAGGATGTTCTAGAAGTATTCCCAGAACATTCTACATATATAAGGTCAGTAGGATGATCAGAAGAGAAGTTGAATGCCTTTATAGCGCAGATTCCAAGTGTCTTGAGTGTGGGATATCTTCTTATACACACATGAAGAGATGCTTCAACTGTAATTCTGAGTTATCCTTTGTTCCTCACAACCAGGATTTTGACTATTTTCTAAGTAATCTCCAAGCGATGTTTGCGGGATGGGATGAAATAGAGGATATCATAAGAAGACATTTAGTGGTTTCCGAATACAGGAGAATAGAGCTGTCTAAGTATTTTGAAAAAGAGATAAATAGAAACCATTGATGTATGGAGCAGATATCTAATGAGGAGAGAATGTTTTAAAGTGAAGGCCAATTGGATATGAAGACTCTTAAAATAAGGTGACAGACGGTATTGATGCATGAGATATGTAGAAGGGTCAAGAAGAAGGTTTTGGACGTGTACAATAGGATATTTGTTATTCGGGTTAGAGTAGCGGTTCTTGGGCCTGAAAAGAGTGGGAAGTCTACGATTGTGAACCGAATGTTCAAGGACAGGCTGAGGTATTTAGGAAGCCAGAAGGATATGTGCTTATATAAGTACGATGAGGACTATATAAACTATGTAGTGTATGATGTATGCGGAAAGAGAAGTTCTAGGGTTAGATGGGACTATTTCTACAAAAGATGTGATGTAATATTATATTGCGTTGATGCTTCTTCCACTGAAGAGAAATGGGTGGAAGCAAGGGAAGAGTTGAAGTCAATGCTATATAGGAACCCGTGGATCAAAAGAAGCATTCTGGTTCTTGGAACAAAGAATGAAAAGAAGAGTGCACTGGGATGCATGGAGATTATTCGGAAACTTGAGCTCTTTGACATAAATGGATTGAAAGTTTCTTGCTTCTCTGTATCTGCAAAAAAAAACACCAACATAGAGTGTATAATGTCATGGATAAGGGATCAGTGCTATTTTCTGAGATGGTCTTGGGGATCAAGGACTATTCGGAGATGGTGGAGATTGGGCTCTTTGAAGTATTAGGCCTTGGCTTCTGTGTCCAGAGAATTCTGTGATTGTGAGATAAATTCCTCTAGATTTGACCCTAGATGGCGGTACATCAGAGCACGGAAGATTCGGAAGAAGAGATTTCTGGATTGTCGAGTGAGGAGTGTGAAGTTTATGAGCCGCAAGCAGATGATGAAGAGCTTGAAGTTTCTGAGGATGCATACAATGTTATGGAATACATCTCGCTTGACTGGCCAGCACAGAGTATTGACATTTTCAGAGGATTTACCGTTGTGCTCGGAACAAACCCTCCCGAGGGAATTACACCTGGGATGATAAGCATTGATTTGCTTCCAACGAATGGGATGAAGATGCCAGGGAAGATGAAGATTTCTAAAAGGAATGTAAAGGAATCCTACAACAAGGTTAGAGTGAATGGAGAGACAATTTATTGCCTGTCTGATAACAAGTTTGTCGTACACAACTCTAAGTTTGATGAGGTTTATGTGAGAGAGATTAACCAGGGGCTTGGGTATGGACTTTGTTTTGGTAGCACTGGATGTGTTTTTGGAACAAGAAGTGGAGAAGTATCTATGAATGATTGGAATTTCAATGAGATTAGCATGATAAGTGTTCATGAGGACTCTATTGAAGGGCTTTGCTACCAGGACAACATGATTTTTTCTGGATCATGTGACCACAGTATCGGGATTACCGATATTAGGGCCAAGAAAAGTGTTTTCCAGAAGAAGTTTGAATATGATATAAATGCCGTGGACTTCAATGGAGACAATATGCTTGCTTTTGGAGACGATAATGGAGTAATCCGATTGATGGATATCAGGAACTACTCGGTGGAAGAAATTAGCAGGCACAAGACACCCATCAGCTGTTTGAAGTGGAGGGATGGCGATATTCTTGCTTCTGGAAGTGACGAGCAGGTATGCATCTGGGATATATCTCTTGATCCAGGCGAGGAGGATGGGTATCTATTATTTGTTCATCAAGGACAGAAGTTCTATAAGGACATTACCTTCTGCAGGGGGGATAACAACTATGTTATTACAACTTCAATAGATGGACTCTGTGTCTTCTACCCTATTTCGTTTGATCCTGAAGAATAAACCTTTAATTTATCAAGCAACCCAAGCTGTAACTATACTACTCTAAAGAAGTGATGATGATGTTCTCCAAAAGTAAAATTTTTCTCTTTGGTAGTGGCCCTAGAATGACCGAAAACCTCAAGTACTTCATGGAAGACAAAGGATTAAGCACGTCTGAGACATGGGATCTTCTCCTGGCAGACATGGACAAGATGGTAGTAAGGACAAATCATTATACGCCTCTTGGATGTGGGAGCATGCCTTTGAACAGAAAAATTGGAGAGTATATCAAGTACGGAATTGTTAACCTAGATAAATCATCGAACCCAAGCTCGCATGAGGTTGTGACATGGGTGAAAGAGATATTGAAGTGTGAGAAGACTGGGCATAGTGGGACGTTGGACCCCCAGGTAAGTGGGGTATTGACGATTTGTATTGATCGGGCAACTCGATTGACAAAGAGCCAGCAGTCTTTAGGGAAGGAGTATGTGTGTGTGATTGAGTTTCTAGAGGAACCGAATGAGGCAGAGTTCCATAAGATAAGTAAAAGACTCATAGGATCGTTGCTTCAAAGGCCACCTCTGATGTGTGCAGTCAAAAGAGAGCTTCGGGTAAGGAACATTTATAACATCGATATCCTTGAATTTAGTAAAGAGAAGAGAGTTGGGCTTTTCAAGGTGTCATGTGAAGCAGGGACATATGTTAGAACTCTTTGCACTCATATGGGGATATTGATGGGATGTGGGGCCAAGATGAAGGAGCTTAGAAGAACAAGAAGCGGGAGAACGTCTGAAAAAGACATTTTTACACTACATGATCTGTTAGATGCAGTGCATATATTTAATTCAGAAAAGGATGAAACTGTGATCCGAAGAGTGATACGTCCTTTAGAAAGTCTTCTTGTGGGGTATCCAAGGATTATGATCAAGGACAGTTGTGTCAACGCCATATGTTATGGGGCAAAGCTAAGTGTCACCGGCGTTCTTAGGTTTGATAGAAATATCGATGTGGGAAAGGAGATTGTGATTATAACGACCAAAGGGGAGGCCGTTGCGCTTGGCATTGCTCTTGTGAGTAGTCCCGAGATGAGTATCATTGACCATGGGCTTGTATGCAGAACCAAAAGGGTTATTATGGAGAAGGATCTATACCCAAGGAGTTGGGGATTCAAAAACGAATATGAAATACTAAGTGAATAGGGACCTTCCTCATCTAAGATTTCTCTTGTTAATCCATTGATATTATTGTCCCGAAGGATTTGGCAGTTAAAAATTTACCCTTAGATGTTTGAATTGGAGTTAACTGCAAGGGAAAAGGACAAGGATGGAGCGCAGATCGATTCTTTGTCATTGATGAAAAGGGTATTGGAGAGTCTGAACGAGATTGTAGAGACTGCAGACATAAAGGTGACGGAGAAGGGGCTATCTATCCAAGTGATGGATGTGACACATGTAGCCTTTGCAGACATTTTTCTATCGTCGGCCATGTTTACGAAATATCGTTGTGATAGAGAACTAGTGATTGGAGTCCAGCTTAAGACATTCACTAAGATAATCAAAGGAATGAGTGTTGAGGGAGGAGGGGTATTCAGGTTGGAATGCGATGATGCAACAACAGACTTGAATGTTAAAAACATCAGGGAGGGGAACGTCCTTAGTTTCAAGCTAAAACTCTTTTCTTCAGACTCTGAGGCTTATAGTGTCCCTGAGTTTGAGTTTGATGCATCTGCAACCATACCTGCTGGTGAGTTTATTTATGTTCCCAAGCTTGTAGGCTCCTTTGGGGATGTAGTTGGGGTCCAAGTAGAGAACAAGACCCTAATATTCTTCCAGACAGGCGAGCATGCAGATTCATTGATGAGTTTTGAGGAGTCACCTGCTCGTAAGGAGCTAAAGATCGAGGCCAAAGAACCCATAACCCAGGAGATTGCCATGAAATATGTCAACTTGATCAGTAAGGTTGTGCCACTCTGCAAAGATGTGAAAATATCTCTGGGATCAGGCAAGCCTGTCTTTTTTGGCCTACACATGGATGATTTTTCCCACATGAAGCTTTATGTAGCCCCTAAATTTGAGAGCGATTATTAAAAAGACAGACCATTCTAGTACATATTCATTCCAAAAGTCAAACATTCTCTAGACTACTGTATGACTTTTATTCGACATCTAAATCCCTATAGTAATTTATATAGATTATTGTACGTAGCTTCTCGTAAAGTTCATGCTGGATTGCATACTCCTCTTCGGCTTTCCGGACCCTTGAGGAAGAGTAATTCCACTTCTCACGGAGAATTTTCCATTGCACATGATTGCAGACTTCAAGAGCATCATTGAGACCTATTTCTGTTTTCTTGTGACATGAACTATGCAGCCAGAAGCATGCGGTATCCACCAAAACATATATGTTGAGGTGGCTCGCTCTTTCTGGATTCTGGTAGTAGTCACGATAGAAAAAGGACACCTTTCCCAGGAATTTGTAATTCTCCTCACCATATACATGGAATATTCCTCTAGCTTTGAATTCACTGTATTCATTGCCCTCAAAAACCCTTAGGTAAGACGTGTTATGCAACACTAGGGCCGTTACAGCACCCAGCTCGTATGTCCTAGCGCTACAGTAGTCGTAGAGGAAGTTGAGGACTAATAAAATGTATTCAGACCTTTCCCCAGTTATTCTCTCCCCAGCTTCCTTATATGCGGACTTACACATAGTATATATCTTATTGAGATACGTACATTTGGAGATCATCTTATTATCTTCATTCGAAGAATTGAGTCTTTTGAACTCATCAACATAGTTTACGTTAAGGTGATCTTCATAATGACAAGAGACATGGACCAGACGCTTCTTTTCTTTTGTATCTTTGCAGGTTGCAAATGCAAAGAGTCCCAATAGTGCTAGTACTTGCATAGGAATTGATTTTAAGGTTTCTTAAATACTTTTGTAGGGATATTTAATACAATTGTAAATTTTCAGACGTTTAATTGTTATTTCTTAGAGGTATTTATATAGGCCTAATGTACCTGAAAGTAATCTTAAGAATGTTTAATTTCAATCAATCGTGATGTTTTAATTAATGTACCAAACGAATTGCCTTTCAATCTCTAAATTCATGTGGTTGAGATTTTTGGATTGTGGAGATATACTTCTGTACATTAGAGTTGATGAATGGAAAGCCTTATGCAGAAAGAGGACAATGGAGAGGAAAGCACTATGATTTCTGACATGGAAAGGAATAGATACCATACGATCTATGGAGTGATTGTGGACTGGCTAGAATGGAAGAGATGCAAAGGAAGGGATTTTATGATGACTTTGGATGTGATTGATGAAAGCATGAAAAAATTGTCTGTCAAGGTATTCAGTCCGAAAAAAATCTTTTCCGAAGGTTTTTGTGTCGGAGAGGTTGTAAGGATAGGAAATATAAAGCTTTACGATGGGTTTAGAGCAGTAACTGATCGTAACAATGATGTCGAGGTGGTTTTCACACCGTATAAGCATCTGAATGGTACTGTCAGTCCAAGAGCTCAACAGCTTATGGAATTCTTCCAGAAGAACAGAAAGAACCTCGTAAAGGAGAGAGAGATATCCGAAATAGAGGAGGGAAAATACTTTGACTTCAATGGAGAGCTGATAGATAAACAGAGAGAGAGGACTAATCTCGTTCTTTTAAGACTTGTGGACTTTAGTAGAAATAAACTTGTTCAGGGCTACGGAGGCTCCTCGAAGTATCCGAAGGAGATGGTTTTGATTGTGAAGGCATGGGGACGCTTTGCCAATGAGGCCGAGAAATGCGAGATTGGAGGATGGTATAGAATCAGAAATTTAAAAGCAGATGAAGTAGGACATAATCTGTATGCAAGCTTGTCTGAGTCAAGCAAAGGAAGTATTATTGAAATGGAAAAAGAGACGACACTCGGAAGATATCTCGGATCAAAAAAAGATGGATACACGCGAGGCTTTGTATGCAAGGAAATGAACATTGAAACGCCAAAAAGAATGGAAAAATATAGTTTGGGCAGTATTAAGAGCATTGATAGACCTGGAGTATACAGAGTCAGGGGCTGGATAAAAAGATACGGGCCACCTGGAGGAATGGAAGTGTTCCTTTGTAGAGTTTGTGGATCAGAGGATGCAAGGATAGATGGGAGATGCAGATGCAATGGCTTAGAGACGAAGGGAATCAAGGTTCTGAGGTTGTTGCTGTGGGATGGAGAGGAGGAGATGGTGGTCATATGCAGAAACAGACTGGCAGAATATGTGCTTGATGAGGAAAGCCGTGAACAGCTGGGTAATAGGATGTTTGATTGTATTATCTTGAGTGTCATAAGTAAACTGGGAATGATTCACCATCTTATTGACTCCGACTTTTTTGAAGTTAAGATGGAAGATTAGTACCCTCGAATTTCTCTTATACGGTTAAAAGTATTTATTTGTTATCGTTGAATAGGTCTAATATTCTAAGGAGGGCTTCCTCAGTAAACCTCTCTTCCATGTCCTCGATCACAAGCTGAAGGCAAACAATGGACTTGGGGTTGAAGTCAAGTAATTGTATGATCTCGAACTCTGTCAGGCCTATATTGATTAGTGTTTGCTTGATTCCTAAAGCTTGATCTTTGGCCATGGAAGAAGTGCAGTACAGCCGTACCTTTTCCAAAAACTCTGCCTGGCCTGGGTGGGTTTCTAAGGATCTGTTGATTGCATCGAGTGTTTCTATCTTTGTCATCAGCCTAAACTTACTATTTATCTTCATCGGGTGTACGAACGGAAATGTTAATTTATTGAAATGGAATCGGAAAGTCTAGAGTTCGTACCCACGAAAAATGAAGGAAACCAGAGGAGAAAAGAGAAAGAAAGACAAGTCTGATAGAGCAACGGTGGACAAGGTTCTTGACAAGAAAACGTTGAGGGTACTGGAGAAGCTGGAGGCTAGAGGAAAGCTAAAGGGCCTTGAAGGGAGTCTTTGCACTGGAAAAGAATCGAATGTCTATCTTGCTGAAGCAAGTACGGCGCTATGCAGCAAGTTTATCAAAAGCAGATACAGCGAGAATGGAGTGCCTGACAGCTCAGAACAGATGATCCCTGTGGTTGTGAAGATTTTCAAGACATCTATCATGTCCTTTAAAGACAGAGAAAGATACATTAGAAGCGAAAAAAGGTTCCAGAGGTTTTGTACATCCAATCCACGCAAACTCATCAAGGTTTGGGCTGAGAAGGAAGTTCGAAATCTCAAGCGCTTGAACAATGCCGAGATTCCCTCTCCAGAGCCAATTTATCTTAAGAATAACATTCTTATAATGTCGCGGATTGGAAATTGTGAAGAGGTTGCGCCTAAGCTACGGGATGCAATGATCGAGGACGTTAATGGTTGCTATTTGCAGTGTGTAGAGATAATAAGAAACATGTATAAGAAGGCAGGGCTTGTACATGCAGATCTATCTGAGTTTAATCTTCTGTATTTTGGAGGAGTAGTTTATGTAATTGATGTAGGACAAAGTGTAGAGATCGATCATGCCAATGCCCAGAGTTTTTTAATAATGGATATAAATAACATCAACAACTTCTTTAGCAAAAAGGGTGTGGATGTGATCAGAGGGAACGATCTATTTGAGGAGATTACCGGAAGTGTTATACCGTCGTATTTGAAAGACATGGATATAGTTAAGGATGTTTTTATTCCATCTAGAGTTTCCGAGATTGGAAACTTGGAGGATCTTGCAGCATTCGGTGTGGAAAGGCAGGGCTCTGAAATGGCATCGATGTCTGAGGAGTTTTCAGATACTAATGAATCTGATATCGAGGGTTTTGGCACAAGATTTGAGGCCATGGAGATAGAAAATACTGAAGATGCAAAGGAAGAGAAGAAGAAAAAGAAGAAGACAGTAAAAGAGATGAATAGAATCAGAAGGGCGTCTAGAATCAGCAAGAAAGAGAAAAAGAAGATATTCAAGAAATACATAGGAATGAAAAAGAGAAGAAGTTGACAGTATAGTTAGACATTAAATCCTTTATTCTACTTCGAACCCATATGATTATTGTAGATCTAGACAAGATATTTATAAGTTCTGAAACAAGATCAAGGGGAGAACATATAGAGGAAGGGAAGAAAATTGTGAAGATGAACTCGAAGTACAAAGGAGACCCTGGGTACAGATACTTCCTCGATGAAACCATTCCGGGCCTTTGTAAAGGATGTACCAATGAAGAGATTTTTCGGCAGATCAGATCGCTACAGAGAATGATAAAGCCCAGAGCTAGGGTGCTTGGAGAGGATCTATGTTTTGGGAGATAAATATAAATCAAGGTTAGCTTTTTTTAATGGAGAACTTTAGACGCTCTTTATGTATAAGATGGTTACACTTGATCAACTTATTCATCACATCATCGACGCTTTCGTTCCACTTCCTTTTTCCAAACTCAACAATTTCTGTTTTCTGGTTGATCTTACATCTTGTAAATCCATTATTGACCATAAAAGAAATTTTCTTAATAATGTCTTCTACAGGGCTTTGCATCACCAGAGAGATTTCTTGGATCGTGATAGATGAGTAGAATCTCTCGACAATTCTGAAGTTGTGCTCATCTATTGCAGAAACAAGATCATTCAAGTAGACAGAGACATCCAAGACAGAGGAAAAGGCTTGCTGAATTTCATTGGCCATGGACTTGTCCAAAACAATTCTAGACAGAAATCTATTTACAATAGACCTGACAACCTCGTCGTTATTCTTGTCCTCACTCAGCTTCTTCAGCATATCGATCCTTTTACATACTACATCCTCCATCTCCGTTTCGCATGTTGTCAAGATACAAAAGAATGAGCTTAGAACGACATAGCCAGTGGAGTTTTTCCCAAGCTTGCTAAGAGCATAGTATACATCAGATGCATTGAAATAATTTCTCTGTCCAAGATGAAGCAACACAATGAGCTCATAGAACTTAGTCTTCTCCTCTACATTGCCGCTCTCTTCAAAGTACTTCCTTCTGATCTTCTTCATGGTTATATCAGCTCTTATCCAATCATGATTCTTAACACAGAGCCTCAGCTGCTCCAATTGGTAGTTGACCACAACACTTTCCTTGACCATTGTAAATGTCTCCACAGGGACATTTATGATCACATCCAACGCACTCTTAATGTCCCCAGATGACTCATATCTTTCTTTAAGCTCTTTTGTTATGTATATCCTTTCCTCCTCAAGAAAAATCCTTCCCTCAATCACATCTCGAAGAATTAGGCAGAAAAACCCAACAAAACCTTGCTCCTTCTTCTTCCTCTCAAACAACTGGCTGATCATCCACTTGATAGCCATTCTGTTTTGGCCTCTTTTTATTGTAAGAACCCGCGCAAGCCCTGCAAGCTCCTCGTCAGATCTACAAAGGCCCATCAGATCCTCAAATATCTTCAAAAGTGCTTCATAGTCATTCCTGACCCTGGCCCTCCTTTCCTTTTCCAGAAGCTCCTCCATTCCCAAGGGCTGCTTTGTCTCACAGAAATCCATTCAAAAAACAATAGCTCCGTAGAAACATTTAATTCTTAGAATTTTTTCTTGTCTTCCTGAAAACATTCTCTGGACTACAGTATGTTTTCATTATTATTGTAAGAAGTATTCCAAAGCTGTTGAATGCTACAAACTGTATGGTAAAGTCTGGAATCACCACCCAGTCTACAACTCTATCTTCCCAAACAACATTGTTTCCAACCAATCCCACAGCCTTTATTTCAACTCCTTCATCTATGTAAGGCGAGCACTCCCAGACTCTACACAGGCTCTTCTCACAGGGAATGTCTAACGTCCTCTTGCCTTCCAGACGAAAAATGACAATAGTCGATGACCTCTCCTCGACAATTCTATATACAGGCAAAGATATTAGGTATGGTGTCACATTCAGAGGATACTTAACTGCAAGGAAATGTGGAGACGGGTGCGTGGTTGTATACCTTATAATGCTTTTTGACCAATCCGTATAAATAACCTCACTTGAGAAGCATAGAATCTTCGAAGCCAGAACGAGCCCTACAAATAAACTGTGCATCTGGGGATCCCCTTAGCATTTCACAACTTTCATGTTTACCAAAAAGAATGTAGGTTTTACACCCTAGATGAATCCATTTTCTGAGAACATGCAGTTCGATTCCAGGCTCTATGAGGTAGTTTCTAGAATCGGAAAGAAAAATGACAAGACAAAGATTAAGGGACTTCATGAGCTGAGAGATATACTAGACACCATTGACGTGGAAGGAAACATAGATACACTGCTGGAAACAATAGAGGACACCATAAAGTCTCAGGACCTACAAATCAGAAATCTGTCAATCGACGTGCTTTACAAGCTTCTTTCTTCTGTGAACGAAAGGTCGAAGTTCAAAAGGGTGCTTTCGATTTGGCTTTATGGATTCATAGAGAATCCTGAACATGCCACTTCAAAGCAGATATTCAATGAGTTTGTCAATATAGAGGAAATAGAGGATGAGTTTGTACAGATGGTAAATTTCAAGGAAAACCCTGTGTTAGGGCTAATATGCTTGAGACTATTAGTGAAGAGGGGAAGGAAAGACTACTCAAGGATGATTGCAGAAAATGTCAAGTATCTGAGTCTGAATTCAAGCAGGGAGTTAAGGGAGGTTTATAATTTATGCAAGGAATTAGGAAGAGTCAATGAACTGTATGAAAAGATTGTCATGATAAAGGGACCCAGCCTCATGAACTACAAATGGAGGCTCCTACTAGATATATTTAATGCATTGCCGAAGTGCATTGAGAATGATGGGAAGTATCTTGATAATGAGGTGCTTTGCAAGGCAGTAGAGAGGCTAGATTCTTGCGATGATATACTTGTGAGAAATGTTGACTCTCTCAGAATAGTCTTTCCTAAGGTTAAGGACAAGAGGGGGTATATGAGAAGATACCTAGAGCGTGGGTCTATAGAAAGATTATGTATCCTCGAATTCTTTGACGACTTCCAGTTTCTGAACGAGAATGTGAGTTTTGAAACGGTTAACAAGCTGGTTGAGAATGTGATAAAAATCCATTTCCAAAGAAATCAGGATGTAGAGGAGATCGTTACTAGAATGAGTATGGAAAGCTTACCAAGAAATCTGTCCTCCAAGTCTGAAGAAAACCATGAGCACACTAGTCCAAATGGGAAGAAAAGCATTCTCAAGACACTCCTATCCTCCCTCGATGGGCTTTGCGGAAAGAGGAAGATAATCAGGGGAGACATTCTTGAGATAGAGCTTGATCCACATGAGTTTACCAAAGAGGAAATAGAGGATGTCTTTCAACACTCTGTGAATGTGTTTCCGAAAGATTATATATTGAATTCGTCCTTTAGTTGTGATCTTCTTCCTTTAGTACTGAAGTATCCTGAAGAAGTGGGAGAAGAAAGAATAAGGAAGACGATATGTAAAGATAATCTTCACCTCTTCATCCCTGTATGTAAAGACTTAGATTTTTTAAGGTCGCTGATGTCTTCATATGATAACAAGTCTATGATAGAGATCTATCTGTCTTCGGATATCCCCCCGGCCCTGGATCTTGATTTCTATTACAGGCTTGGAGACGGAATACCTAGGCCTAGAACTATCGACTACAATAGGATTCTGGAGAGGTATTTGGATTCTAACTTTATAAGAAACATCATCACGAATGGCGTGGCCAACAGAGTTGAATTGTATAATGCAGTTGTCTCCTATCTATCTTTGGCAGAGATTCCAATTAGCACTAGTTATACAAGTCCATTTTATGATTTAGATGAATGCTTTTATGGAAATGTCAAGATCAGAGAGCAAAGCCGTGTTATACTGAATCTCAAGAATGTGTATACAAACATCTACGAAGGAGCAGACGAAGCGTTTCTGCTTCTTCTCTTGGATGCCATGTGCGACGACGAAGATGAATCTTTAGATCAGGAGTTGAAAGACAAGGGGTTACCTGGCGGCAAGAAGGGACTGGGTGAATTTATTCTTCAGGACGGGTCTGCTGTTGAGAGATGGAGAAGCACAGACTTGGGGATAAATCAGCATTTTATAGAAAAGGTGTTTTTCGACTTAAATCTTCCATCTAGAAGATGTGGCGGTAAGAAAATTGAAGAGCTTCTTGAGTATGGAGGCCCACGTGCAATTGACTATATTCTTAGAAAGTATAGCGTTCCGGCACAGTTCATTCCATCCGTTGATTTTTCTTATCTCAGCAATGAAGCCTTGACTTATGCTGTAAGCGTTCTAGAAAATGCATCGAAGAAGGGACTCCCAATCAGTCTCACCGAAGTACCACCGGAAGACCAAAGGATCCATCCCTCTGGAGAAGAGGGGGTTGTGGATGACCATCTTCTGATGTCTATCTCCAGATCAAACTTCAAGAATCTTAAAACTCTTGGCCTAGAAGACATAGCTCGGATAATAGAAAAGGATCAACTTCTATCAAGGAAAGAGTATCATAAAGAAAGATACACTATCTATTCTCCACTACTAAGGAGAATATACAATCGCATAGCAGACTCCATACTCAACATGTATAGCATATCAAGACTGGACACAAACTCTATTGATGACGAGGTCTATGATCTTCTTCGAGAATGCTTCCTTGGGTCTGTAGGCTTGTTTTGGGATTTCCTTCTGAACTCCCTGTTGATTGTCAGGAACATTAGAATCAATGCCTTTTTCGAGAAGATGATTAAAGAAAAAGAAGAGTGGAGGGCGTTTCTTCTGGATGCAGATCTCAATCAAAGATCTCTGTTTGCTTTTTTGTTTCCCAATCTCTTTTCAGCCATTCCAAGGATGGAGGTGAACTTGGACTCCTTTATATTGGAGGAAGCCTCTAGAACGATAGCAGATGTCACGGTTAAGACCCAGAAGCTTACCAATGGATTCGATATTAGAATTTCCTATACAGCTGAGGGAACTTTGTTTAAAGCCCTGGTGTCTATCCCATCAGACTATCCATACAGAAAACCTGTATTTACTTCTGAAATCGGAAGAAAGAGCCTTCTCAACCTCAAGATCAATGAAATGATCAAGAAATGCTCGAAGTTCATGGAGCTTATTGGGCTATGGAAGGTTAATATTGATGAAAAGATCTCTGGCCATAAGGAGTGTCCTATATGTTATCTTGTTATAGACCTCCACGACTCATCTTTCCCAAATAGTCAATGTAAGGCATGCAAGAATAAATTCCATGCTAGATGTATTGCAAAGTGGGTTGCATCCGGGACAAGAAGTAACTGTCCAATATGTAGAATGCCCATGGAAAATGTATCATGAGTATGGATTCATTCTTGTGATCATTTTTATTAAAGATCTTTTGTTTTTGCTACGGTGGATACATATTGTAAGCACCTTTCTTTTTCCTTAATAAACTCCTTCAATGTTTCAGGATCTAAGCATAAGGAATTGGTTTTCAAGAAATTGAATAGTTTTTGGAAAATACTTGACCTCTTGAACGTTTTGGAGTCTCCAACAACCACCAGCCCTTTTTTGCACCGGGTCAGAGCAACATTAAGCCTTTTCTCGTTACTCAAAAACCCAAAATCCTTTCTATCGTTGCACCTTACCAACGTTATTATTATGTAATCTCTCTCCTGTCCTTGGAATCCATCCACAGTAGAAACCTCTACATCCACCATCTCACGCAGAAGCAGGACTTGAGAAGTGTAGGGTGCTATGATGCCAACCTCTTCTCCTTTGAGAATTTCAACAATGCTTTTTACTATCATGGCTTCTCCTATATTTGATTTCGAGATATCATCGCTCTCATAAAACTCAAAGTATTGCGTGTCAACAAATAGAATCGGGTTTTCACCAAAAATAGGTTTGCATTCTTTTGCAACACTTTTGATTTGCCCTTTATAGAACATTTCATTACTAAACTTTAGAAGATTAGAAGGCATTCTATATTGCTCATTTAGAAGCACTACCGGAAGGGTAAGAGATTCATATAGAGAAGGGGTTTCTGGGCATAGTTGCATGGGGTCTCCTATGAGAATAAACATTTTCCCCTTGGTGACTGCAAGGAAAGATTCTGGTTCCGACGCTTGGCATGCTTCATCAATTAAAACCCAGTCAAACATCCTCTTTTCCTTAAGAGAAGAGAAGAGCGTGGCGAACACGACAGGGGAACTGTCCCGCTTCTCCTTCATAAACTTCTTCTGCTTCTCAATTCTGTCCTTATAGAAATTTGTGTCGTTTTTTTTTTCTTTCATAAAATTTGTATGTAACTCTGCTAGCGACTCAAGGTTTAAATGGCTTAAGCCTTTTAGAGAGCTGCCTAAGCGATAGAAGGAAGGCTTACTACGTAGAAAGTACTTACTTTTCAGGAATCTTTCTATAATGTTATCAATAGATACATTGCTGGGCCCACACACAAGAACCCTTTTGTTTTTTGCCAGAAGCTGTGATATTATTTCTACCACTGTCCTTGTCTTTCCAGTCCCTGGAGGTCCAAGTATCTTATAAGGAATGTTGAGTCTTGTCATCTCCACAGCTTTCTTTTGGCTTGCATTCAATGAGGTGTCATAAAAATTCAACTTCTTGGGTTTAGATGTTTTTCTAGCCTTCTTGGTGCTTTTCTTCACTTCCTCATCCAATTTCCATGATTTTGCTATGAAATTGCTAAAGGACTTTCCAGACTTCATAAATCTTTTAAGATTACTAAGTAGAACTTTAGTATTGTACTTAAAATCCAGAGTAGCTTCAAAGTTACTATCTTTGAGATTTTTGTACCCGATGGCCTTAACCATGTCTTGCTCAACTTCTACAATAGTGCATAACAACGGGCCATTGGATGTCTCCAAAAACAGCTTTTCTTCCTGTCTTAATATCCTGGGCACTTTATTTTTTTCTGAAATCGACAAAATCCTCAAAGTGTAAAGATAACCATTCAATTTTTTCTTCACAGAGACTGTTTTGCATTTAAGTCTGACCTCTGGGTCCAGTTTTTCTTGTGTTTCTATAACCTCCTCCAGTCCCTTCTGTAGATGATTTAGATACTGTTTCTTCTTGGAATCCATTTTTGTTTCCCCTGGGCTGGATGAAATTCTATATTGTAAAGCCCATTGAAATGAGTGTCGAGCAGAAGCTTCATTTGATTACAAGAAACCTTCAGGAGATTCTGGGCTTAGAAGAACTCAAGACAATTCTTTCTGAAAGAGAGCTGAATGTTTACTGGGGAACAGCCATAACAGGAAAGCCTCACATAGCCTATCTAGTTCCTCTAATGAAGGTGAAGGATTTTGCGGATGCAGGCTGCAATGTAAAAGTCCTGCTTGCAGACATTCATGGATTTTTGGATAATCTTAAGGCACCTATTGAAAAGATTAAATATAGGTGTGTGTACTATGAGAAGCTGATCAAGGCTTCCTTAAAGATGCTGGGTGTTGACCTTAATAGAATTCAGTTTATCAAGGGCAGCGAGTTCCAGAGGTCGAACGAATACACTATGGACTTGTATAAAATTCTGTCAATAACATCTGAGCACGATGCCAAGAAAGCCGGAGCGCAGGTTGTTAAGCAGGTTGAAAATCCTATGGTGAGCTCTCTGGTGTATCCGGCAATGCAGGCTCTTGACGAAGTCCATCTGTCCGTAGATGCACAGTTTGGAGGGGTTGACCAGAGGAAGATATTCACATATGCCAGGAAATACTTACCACTTCTCAACTATAAGAAAAGAATACATTTAATGAGTCCGATGCTTCCAGGGCTGAACTCAGAGAAGATGAGCAGCTCTGATGATCTTTCAAAAATCGATCTCATGGATTCTAAAGAGGTTATTTTGAAGAAGATAAAGAAATGTTTCTGTGAAGAGGGGAACAAAGAGAATGGGCTGATGAAGATTTTTTCACACATTATATTTCCCATCTTTGAGGCTAAGGGAGAGAAGATTAGAATTGCAGATAGAGATGGAAAGGAGAAGGTCTTTGAAAAGTATCAGGAATTCGAGGATGAGTTTTCCAGTAAGTCTATTCACCCTGGAGATCTCAAAACCAATGCAGCACGGCTCATTGACGGCATTATAAGGCCCATCAGAGAAGAGATGGAGAAGGATTTGAAAATGGTCAAGCAGGCTTATGATTAAAATACTGGGGTGGATGTTTTCTACTTGTTTATTAAAAACAAATCCTACATACCCTGTGATGGAGATTCGCCTTTGGCCAAATCAAGAGTTTAGAATTGAGGTCAATGAGACCCAGAAGTTAAAAGTGATGGTTGTTTCTGGGTTGGCAGAGGTCAAAGGACAAGAGTTGCTTAATGAGAAATGGTATGCATTCAAGGACACAAAGACATTTATATTCACGTTTTCGGGGTGCAAGCTCAAGGTTGAGGGTGCATGCGATCTTCAATATGTATCTGATACAACAAATGTCCCCCTGATATTCAACATCCTAAGCTTCTTCTCTAAGAATGGATTCGACTATAGCAAGCTCAGAACATTTATGGTTATAGGGAATGGAAGGTCTACGTTTTGCTTCACATTGATTAATTTCTTTGTAAGGATGGGTAAGAAGGTTTTGTTCACGGAGGTGGATCCATCTCGAGGGAACATATTCCCTGGGGCACTAAGCACAATCCATGTAGATACATTGGTAGACTGTATTGAGGGACTCCGGCTGAAGAATCCATTGTCCTTCTACTATGGGTCTACAGAAATAACGAACATGGAGCTATACGACCTCCAAACAACTAAACTACAAGAAGCTATAAAATCTAAGGGTGTCGAGGATCTTCACCTGATACTTTGTCCAGAGGGTACATCTGCATTTTATAACACATTAATAAAGAGATTTGAGGTTGATAGGGTTATTGTTGTAGGAAATGAAAGACTATATCACTCCTTGGACACGATAGCAGAGAAGCTTATGATAAATAGAAGCGGGTTTGTCGAGGAAAAGGAGGTGGGAAGAAGCATTTCTAGGTACTTCAAAGGAGTCAATAACGAGTATACACCCTTTACATTCAACGTGAAGTACAAGTGGAGAATTGTAAGGATAGGGGAGATGTATGTTGCGCCAGTTAGCGCCTTACCATTAGGAAGTACAAGGAAGGTAGGATGCGTGGAAGCCTCTGAGGTGGAGATTGGGGAGAACTCGGTGCTAGGAATTTCTGAAGCCAGGGAGATAGAAGATGTTGCAGGGTCTCCGATTATTGGATATGTGGTTGTGATTGATGCAAATACATTCAAGATACTGTGCACTCAGCCGAGACTTCCAAAGTATACTTTCTTGGTACAAGGGGACCTCAAACATATCGAGTATTAGCTCATCTTAATAAAATAATACATCTTCTCAACTGACCCGAATGAATATTTGTGATTTCATCTATCCCTTGGATGAATAGAAAGAATCCAATGAGAGATGCCGGCTCTGCTCTTAGAGACAAGTACATTACCTCGCACTTAAATGAGAGCTTGAAGATTGACCACGAATACCCTCCACTCCAGAAGGTTGGAGGGATAAAATACTTGCTTCCAAAGATAACAGAGCTTGTATACAACCCGTTGTTCTCCAAGGCCTCATATGACGAGATTGGAATTCATCCGCCTAGCACTCTTTTGTTGCATGGAGTTTCTGGGGTTGGAAAGACATTCCTTGTGAATTGCATCAGCCAAGAGTACAAGCTTCCCATAATCAGGGCATCCCTAGACTCTGACAAAGAGCTTCGGGAGTCATTCAGGAAGTCTTCTCTGCTTGAGAGATCCATTATACTTATTGAAGACATAGATGTGCTGGGAGAAGACGACAAGAAAGTGATTTCACAACTTTCTGAGTATCTTGAAAACCACAAAGGAAAGTCGATTGTTATTGCCACTGCTCGAAATCCTGCATTTATAAATGAAAGTCTTAACAAGTTTGATAACTCACTGCTTGTGAAGATACCAACTGCAGCCGAAAGAAGAGAGATCCTAATTAGCCTTACTGATAAGATGAAGTGCCAGGAAACTGACTGGACGGAGCTTGCTAAGCTAATGCCTGGGTTTGTTGCCAGAGACTTGAAAAGGGCTCTGAAGATTGCCTCTACAAAGGCTGTGGCTGATGGATCTTCAGCTATTAGGATGATTGATTTAGAGGTTGCACTAAAAGAGATGAAATGGAAGGGTGCTGAAATTACATTTGATAGCATAGGGTCTCTTGAAGATGTTAAGGACGAGCTCAACATGAGCATAATCTTTCCATCGAGATTTCCAGAGAAGTTTCGAAAGCTTGGGATTACAAGGCCCTCTGGGATCCTTCTCTACGGCCCGCCTGGATGTGGGAAAACGCTACTTGTTAGGGCGGTGTCGAATATGAGCCATTGTAACTTTCTAAGCATCAAGGGTCCGGAACTTATAAGCAAGTATGTCGGAGACTCAGAAAAGGAAATAAGAAAGCTATTCGATAAAGCCAAGCAGTTACAACCCTGTGTCTTGTTTTTTGATGAGATAGACTCTCTTTGTGGAGAGAGAAATGGGAATGAATTCACCAGCCGCATAGTCAATCAAATATTAACGCTTTTGGATGGGCTTGACGATAGAGGAGACGTGTATGTGATTGGAGCCACCAACCGGATTGAGAGCATCGACAAAGCCATATTGCGACCTGGAAGATTTGACAAGATCCTTAAAGTCCCATTACCATCTAAAGAGGGATGTGTCGACATATTTAGAAAGTGCACCAAGGGAATCCCAATAGAGCCTTTTGATTTTGAAGTGTTAAACCTGGAGGGTTTTAGTGGTGCTGAAATAGCAGGCTTGATCAGGGATGCTGCAATATTATGTCTGAAACATAACTTCGATTCAGACTCCCTTGTCATAACTAAGGAAAACATCATAGAAGCATTGGAAGCTGCAAGGGTTACCAAGGACTTCCGGTGAGTACTTACTTTACAAGCAAGTCCTAGACCCGGATCGATACACACTATGCAAAATAATGGTGTTTAAGACAGGATGGATTTATTTCTAATATAAGGAGTTGACTTCACCCAGCACAGTGATTAGTCTGTTCCTATCATACTTTCTAGTGGAAATAAAATCTTCCAAATCACTACTTTTCATATTATTTATCACACTGATATTTATGACCTTAGATGTCTTATCTCGATAGAATGGTGCCAGTTCGTTGGCATATCTTTCTAGTTCTATCAAAGCCTCAAGATCCTTCTTATTAAGGTCAATGGGTGTTAGTATTCCTACCCCACCGTTTCTTGTTATGAAATAAATAGAATCAGATCGACAGAGTGATAGAGTGCCTGGGCACATACTTGTTATTCTATCTCCAAGGAGGAAGGCCTCTGCCTTATAGTTCTCATCCAAAAACAGAATCTTCCCATCTGTAGTTGCAATTATAAGACTCCCTAGGCCAAATACCATAGACTCCACTTGCTCCTTACTAGTGGAAAGAAAGTCCAAAGACAAATGGTTGGTTTCTTGGTTAAATGTGAAGACTCCAAAAGATCTATAAACACATGAGCAAGCAATCCTATCTCTATCCATTACTATTCTATACGGGACAAAATCTATCTTCATTGCACATAGCTCCACAAGAATTTGGGCTTGCCTCTTATATATATGTATGGTATGATCTCTATGTGTTACCAAATAATCCTCATTGGTATCAAGTGCATACACAATACCCTCATCTATACTTTCATGGATAAGCTTGATAGTGTTGTCTTTTGTGGAGAACATGGCAAGCTTTGAAAATTTGCCTTCTTTAGGAAGGTTACTTACAACAGCAAAGTAATGTTTTGTTAGAAACCTTCCATCCATTATTATTTCGTCCTGGAGAAAGAAGTTGTATGCATGTCTCCTTGCTTTCAGTGTAAGATATGAGTTAACGGTTGCATCTTCATCAATCCTGAGAATAGGGTTCACCATTCCGGTGATCTCCTTTCCATGTCTTGTAATGGAAAACTTCATAGAACACATGTCTCCAGGATTTGTCCCCTGTAATCTGTTCTCGGTGGAGATCTTTACCCTAGGAATGGATCCTAGGTGACATTTATAGATAGATTTCCCTACAGAAACATACAACTGATCTGTGACCTGGGCATAGGAGATTCCCTCCAGAGAACATCTATAGCATGAAAAGTCCTGGGGATCCACAAATATAGTGGATCTCCCTATTCCCATTATATGTCTCCCCACAGGAACCATAATTTCAATCATACAACCTGAAAAAAATGAGGGCTTGATGTCTAGAAGCTCCCATTCGCTTTCTTCCTCAAGCCTTTCCAATATCGATGAGATGCCATCTGAGCTTGCTTTAGATTCTTTTTTGCATACAGCTTCATATCCTACTCCGCACATGTCACTGAAGAAAAGCCTGCCGTTCACAACCGATGCAGACTTGAGGACCTTTTGCTTTCTTTTGTGTATAACTCGAAGGAGCTTGTCCATAATGATAAACTCATCATAATATGTAGATATAAACAGACAGCTGTTGAAGTGAAGAAGGCTGACCTCATAGGGGCATTCCACAGACCTAATGCATTCCATCGTCTCAAGGCATATTACCTTAAGAAGCCTGTCTCCAGTGAATATAGCACATAGATCTTGATAGAATGAAGATAAGACAATGTCCCCTATCTCTAATCCTATAAAATTCTTCTCTTTCAAGCAAAACACATGGGTTTTGGTGTTGAAACAGCAATAATCATCGATATGTATATTCAGGATCTCGCTGAAACATTTTTCACCACCCATAGAGTCTCCGAGTATTTTTCCTTCATTTGGATATGATACAATCAGAGTGTCATCTACCATCCCAAACCTTTGAATAACCTTAGAGAGGCTATATCTTGACTCTGCAGCGAGATCAACCGCATATGTAATCCTCTTAATCGCATTCTTCGTGATATATCTAAAGGAAGCTCCAAGATATGTCAAGCATGCTGGGTAAGGACTGCTTGCAAACATTTTCAGAATCTTCATTTCTTTTCCTATTTTCAGATGGTAAGAATGTCCAGAGCACGATCCTCCATAATAAAGCTCCCCTCCAAGGCGAAGCAATACACTGAACCAAGTTCTAAGGTTACCTAGAACCTCAACCTTGATAAATGGCTCTTCACTGACCATGCTTTCACAACTATAGGTTCTACTTCCAAACGACATTCTCTTTTCCAAAGAAATGCGTATGACCTCTCCGTCTTCCATAGAAAGCAAAACGCTTCCCTCTGCCACTATACTATTCTTGATTCCAGGATTTGCAAATTCACTTTCAAGCATAAACTTATCTCTTACATAATAGTAAGCTTTCCCTCCCCCTATAAGAAGCAATCCATCGCCCATAGGCCTTGCAGACACAAGACCTTTTCTAAGAAGAGCCTTTTCCTTCAGAATCATTCTGGGCTTACTAGAAGCCATTAGATACCTCGAGTAAAAGATGTCTCCAGAGATGTCTTCCAGCAGGAAACCAACGTCGTTTTTGCCGGAAAAGCAATCAAGAATCTTGTAGTATCCAAAGTCATTTGCATCGTCCCCAAAGATTAGCCCATCATAGCTCAGAGCAGCCACACTGACAATACCACTCTCTGCAATAAATATAAGATTTTTCAAGGTTCTGATGCACCTAGTATAGGTTGACGGAGTTGCCATCTTTCCACTCACAATGGGCCGTCTTCCATCCATGATGACATACTTTCCCTCCTTACTGACCATTAGGAACCTCTTGGAGTTTCTAAATGTCACAGGAACAACGAGCGTTACATATCCATTGGGGTATATGACATCCACAAGTCTCATGTCTAGATTATATACTTCGACGGCTGTTCCCTTGGATACGGCAATGCATGACTTCTTTTCATATTCTATCTTTTCTCCGGAAACCACAGAGCTAGGGTCTTCGATAGTCCTTATTGCATAGTGCATCGGTACAATTTCTGGGTTCCACCGGAATAAGTTACAACTATTTCACTAAAAATTTTGTTGAATAAACAAAGGACAGATGGAAGTAGCATATGACTTTGCAGAAACAAAGGACAGCGCAATTATATTCGTATACAAGCCCCTTGCAGAAGATATCCAGATAAGCCCCGTACTTGAAGATCCTAGAAAGCTCAGGCTGTGCAAGGGCATCGCCATCGATCTCCACAAGGACGTCCATCCAGACATTAAGCTTAGTGAGTCCAAGTCTAGAATAGAAATACATCTCAGAAAGGTTGAAACAACGAGATGGGGAGGAATCAATGGGAAGCCGAGTGGTAAACTTCAAGATGGTAGTAAGGAAACCACAGAGAATGATTCTGAAGACGAAGAAAACACTTCTGTAATGGATTTACTCAGAAAAATCTACCAACGATCTGGAGAAGACGTCCGGAGAGCTATGGAAAAGTCTTTTTACGAATCTGAAGGAACTGTTCTGAGTACCGATTGGGATCAGGTCAAATCAAAAAAAATCACACGAGAAGATTAAATATCTTGCTTCAAAGCCTGCAATGGCCATCGTCACCACATAAATATATTAATGAGAAAGTTTTAGGAAAGACTAGAGCGTGTTCTTTATCTACACTTATAGCGAGTTGCTTAAAGGATAAGAGATCCGATAATACACAGGATCATTGATTTACTCAATTCTGATGATGTATTCTTCTAAGTTTCTCTGCCAAAGCACACACTTCTCCTTCAGGATTATTGATGCTCACCCTTTCCATTGAATCTCTGAATGCCTTCAGATTGTTTTCCTTTTCTACATCCCTGTTCCTTATCTTTAAAAAGTACTCCCAGTTGCCAATGGCATCAATTATTGCCTGATCTGTCAGAAAGGCATCATCAAGTCTCAGGTCTCTCTTTATATCAGTTCGAAAAGCTTCTATTTCTTCAATAAGCTCTTTCATGGGGTCTCATCCATCATATAGACGTCATCTTGTTAATTGCATCCAAATAAAATCAGAAGTATATTGCAATTAGTTTAATTAATTGCCGTTTTTAGAGCTCTCTTAAAATTATAAATGGAAAGCCAAAGGCCTTGTTTCAAAGAGGCCCAGATGGTCCCAGGTTACATAAACAAGGTGGTACAGTATTTACCTAGGCGAAGTAATTGTGCTCAGTAGGGATAACAGCCCACAAAGCTCTAAGTATGGGAATATCCATTCATTGTATTTTCCGTTCAATATATCCTCCACCCCATCCATTAATCTAAGAGGAGTTAAGACAGGGGCTGAAAGAAAGACCCTTTTAGTAAGATACTCAATCTCCTTCGACTCTAGCATTTCATTTTTTACCTTTATTAATTCCTTCCAGATGCCCGTATTGTCGTAGATGTTTAGAGATCTTCTAGATTCTATAACAATCTCATAAAGCTTTTCCCAAACCATCCGGGCGTCACTACACTGAGGGTTATGGATTGAAAAAATAAAGTAAGGGTAGACCTTGGATCTAAAATCTGGAAATTCTTGAAACTCATTAAGTTCTACATTATTATATACCGTGAGGCCTATAGAATTCACCCACTTCTTGGTCTTTTTCAGGAGCTCATCAATGTTGGTTTCTGTTTTTTCTATTGTTTCCATAATTTTTCTGTCAAACAAAGCTGGATTGGTAAATGTTGATTTTATATCGTCTTCCAAAGAAAATTGAGCCACATCTTGGTATGACAAGCACTCCAGAAGCGATCTGATGGCTACAAGGAGGGAATATGTCATCAGGAGCGCCGAATGATTGTGTATCACTATTTGGCTTCCAACATTATTAAGTTCTTGGAAATCTGGTATGCTTGTAAATTCCATAGGGATGAAAGTTTTCGCTGGAATTTATAGATTCCATAATAAAAACACAGAGTGTTACCGAATCATTTATTCCAAGTAAACCCCTGCTTTCGTAAGCATATAAGAGGCAAGGTCTAAAGAATTAGTTCGAGGGCATCTTGCTGGAAGGTACTGCTGAAACCTTCTGGAAATGAAGGCTACGAGCATCTTCATTGATCTCCTGTAGTATACGAGACGAGACGTCGATAATATTGTGGTCTCTTGTAATTAGTTCCCCGTTCCATCCGAATTCTCTTGCTTTAATGATGTTGATTTCAGAATCGTCAAAGAAATAAACATTTCCAGGAGACTCTATTCCCAAAACCTTTGTAACGAATTCATAAGACTTGATAAGTGGCTTACAGCAGAAAGTTTTGTCATACTTTCCTATGGAGATAACAACCTCAAAGCAATCCAAAACACCCAACTTTGCAAGAATGTTCTCTGCTCGGTCTCGAGGTCCGTTTGTAAAACAGCATCTTCTGATATTCTTCATAGAAAGAAGGAAATTCCTCAGATTTACATCTGGAGAAAGATACTGTAGATAGTCAAACTCAGATAACATCTCCCAATACTCCTCTAGAGAAATACCGACATAGTTGTAGAAAAGAGACGAATAAAGGAGTGATAGAGATAGCTCCTCCTTAAACGTTTCCAGAGTCCCATCCTTCTTGAAAGAAAGATATTTTTCTTCAAGGAACTTCCTTTCCATCTTCTGAAGATTGTTTGATGGGTGGTAAAGAGTATCATCTATGTCATACAAAAACAGAACGTCCTTTCCTATCTTCCTAAACTCGGCACTTATAAGATCTGGATCCTGTCCCATCTCAATAAAAACAGGGTCTTTGAAAGGCTTCTCCACCAGAAGGTCTTTGTAGTCCTGGGGACAATCTTCAGAGTCTCCTATCCCCGACCTTACAGGAAAGGAAATGCCTTCTGATTTCTCAGCAGAGTCAGAAGCATCCTTCTTTTTATTACCAAAGCCAGACACCAACTTCTCGGCCTTGTGCTTAGCTTTCTTAATCCCATTGCTAAGAACCTTAAAAGCTGCCTTTGCTGCGTTTCCTATGGTTCTCATCAGGGTAATAAGTTTCCCTAAACTGTATTAAAAATTTTCTTCATAGACTTAGATAACTCACAGGAAGGCCTTTATTTTTACTCCTGGGTGTCATCAACAGGTTTCCCTGGCATCTTGACGTCAATGTTAGAGCTCTGCTTCTCTCCATTTATAACTGTTGAATCGATAGTGGAAAATCCTGAGTCAGAAACATCCTCCATGTTAGAATCTTCCGGAGATATTTTGGAACCCTCCCCTTCGTTTTTTATTCCAAGGGCTTCTTCTTCTACCTCGCTGATCTTACGGCCATGATATGTCTTCTGAGCCTTATCGTAGCACTCGTTAAAATATCTGAACACGGCAGACCTTGCCTTCTCCACCATCTCTTCAAGAGCGCCCTGATACTTGTCCATAAACCCATGGATGTAAAACTTGTAAACAAACACTGCGCCAGTGCATGCAGGTATGGATATCCATGCAACAACCATAAGCTTAAACAACTGATAGAAAGGTATAAAATCAAGTACAAATGAAAACAAATTGTCTAGAACAAGAAACACTGCAATGACCATGAAATACTTATTGTATCTCCTGTAAATCCTCTTATCTTCTCTACATGCCTTGAATGCCTGGAGAACATTGTAGAGAACCAGCATTGCTACAAAAGCATTAATCAATAGCTTGATCATTTTAGGGTTCCATTCATTTCATTTTAAAAACAAAGAAAAGATTGAAAAGAAAGTATACTTGTCAGACCGAGCTCCATGACATTCTTCCAAGTCCAATAAAGTATCAGCCAGAATCTTGATTGGTTAGAAGCAATTCAAATGTAACACATATTCTTCCGCTGAAGAATTCAATAGGATCATATCTCTGGACAAAGAATAAGACACATCTGAAGGTTATGCTTGATAGATGAACAACAAAAAGAAGTTTGAAGAGATAAAAAAGCAACTTGAATCCTTTCTTACACCAAGGCACCTTAGAAATGAGTTTCCTCGTGAAAAGAGGTGGGTAGTACCTGAAAGCACAGCTCATGAATCCGAGCTCAGAAGGGAGAATAAAATTCAATAAGCTCTTAAATAAACAAGTTGTAAGTAATCTTTAATCTAAACACTTAGTCCTCGCTTGTATTCAAAAATATCCCCATAGAATCTCTTAACATTTTTATCTTCACAGACATATATTTCCTTAAAGACAGACCCAATGAAGTTTAGATCGTGGCTAACACAAACGACTGCTCCATCAAACCTTCTAAGTGCATCTGCCAGTGCATCTATAGACTCCATATCAAGATGGTTTGTAGGCTCATCTAGAACTAAAAGGCTCGGCTTCATTCCATTGATAATTGCGAATCCTAATCTACTCTTTTGGCCCCCTGAGAGTGTTCCAATACGCTGATTGTCGACATTCAATCCAAATGCCGCAAGAGCACGCCTGCTCTCCTCCTGAGAATATGACTTCATCATGAAGTCTAGTACATTTTCATTGACCTTCAAATGGTCAATGTGATGCTGTGCAAAATATCCAACTCTAAGCCCTGAGTTTCTTATAATACTCCCCGATGTGGCCTCCATCTTTCCTGCTAAAAGCTTGAGAAATGTACTCTTGCCTTGCCCGTTAGCCCCTACTACCACTATTCTCGAATCTGAGTTGATTTTCATATTCAATCCTTTAAGAATATTTCTAGAACCATAGGAAAATCCAACATCGGAAAACTCAACCAATGGACCTTGAGAAGCTGTAGATGCAAAGGAAAACTTGATAATCGCATCTTGCTTAGGAGGAACAAGGGCCGGCATTTTTGCAAGTGCCTTTATCTTGCTCTGCACAAGAGAAGCTCTTTTTGCATTGTATCTGAACCTGTCAATAAAGGATTGGATGTGCTCCCTAACTGCAAGCTGGCTCTCATATTCCCTTCTGGCCTTTGACATCCTTTCTCTTCTTTGCTTCACAAAGCTTTCATAATTTCCCTTATATACATCAATCTTCAGGTCATTCAGGTGAAGTGTCACTTCTGTGGTATTGTTAAGGAAGTTCCTGTCATGGGACACAATAATAACAGTCTTCAATTCCTTTATCTTCCTTTCTAGCCAGTTCAAGGCGTTGATGTCTAGGTAGTTGGTGGGTTCATCAAGCAGCAATAGGTCAGGATCTGTGTTTATTGCTTTAGCTAGGTGGGCACGCATTCTCCACCCTCCACTTAAATCACTTATCTTCTTTACGGCCATGTCTTTCGTAAAGCCTAATCCATTCAGTATCCTTCCGCCATCAACTCCAACAAAATCTTCTACAGTTCCATCCCCAACTAGATCTTGCTTTATCATGTAAATCTTCATTCCCTTTGGAATCCCAAATCTTCTTTTTCTAATCGCTTTCAAAAGTGTGGTTTTCCCTATCCCATTTCTTCCTACAAGTCCATACTTCTTACCTCTAATAATACTGAGCGAGCCCTCTCTCACAATCTCTTTTCCTTTCACAAAAAGATCAATCACCAGGTGCAGATCTCCTTCAAACTCCCCAGAGTCAGTATCTTCTCCAGATGATGATGATGGCTGCAGATACTCCTCTTCCATAGCCTCGTCAGCCACCATTTCTTCCTTTCTCTCTGACATCGACCTCATAGAAAACGGTGTTTCTAATGGAATGAGGTCTCTCCTATAATTCACCGTGTAAGCTTCCAGACCTATACCAACAGCCTCCTCCTTGGATCTAAATGGAAATTTCTCAAGTTTTCTTAAATACTTGGATTTCAAAGAAGAGATCTTAGTGTTCATCAAAACACAGAGTGGGTTACATAACTAAGAAGAATTCAATACTTTCAAGAAAAAACTAGATGGAGTTGAAGATTTTTAAGTAGATAAAGCTAGGAGAACATTAGGATTCTAAATAATAAGACGGCTTATCAATCTGAAGCACCTAGGTAGTTCATGAAAATCAAACAGTTGATCCTTATCTCTGCCTTCTAAAAGAACTCTTCTAACTGCTCTCTTCTGTTTCTCGAAGGTGTGAGATGAATAAACAATACTCCTGGTAGTTATAAACTTGACACACTCCGAATCAAAAAACTCCTTTTTGAACCTCTCTATCCACTCGCTTATATTCTGGTTTTGGTTCATCTCCTCAGCCTTACAGGCATCAATAATTTGAAAAAGCCTTTCCCACAACGCTTTCTCGTTTCCTCCCCTGGGTGGCATCTCGGCGTGATCAGATTCTTCAAATATTTCCTTAAACTCTCTGCCGACATACTGATAGAACTCCATCATGGCATCTGTCCCTAGCTCTACCTCTGCTAACTTATGCCCATCAATGTACCACATACCCACTTCCTCCTCAATATCTATGAGTCTATCCCGTGCGCTGTCCAGCAGACTTACAATTTGCTGAGAAAATTCAGGTGTGTCCTCGCCCTTTATTGAGTTCATGAGATCTTTATTGATAATGAAAAAAGAAAGATCGTCCAAATATGCTAGCCCTGCAGCTCCCCATGCCATTTCTAATAGATGCAGAAGTATGAGAAACTTAGGCTCCTGAATATAAGAAATGCATTTAAGTACAACCTTCAATCGAGATTCCTCGGTCATTTATTTAGGGCTTCCCCTCTCATTTGTTGAATAAGACTCACGCATTCAAGTTTTTCCAGCATTCTCATCAGGACTTTTATATTCGAGATAATATCTAATAGGCGTTACAACTAACTTCTCTTGCTTCTTACGTGTTAGTTTCTCCAAGAGCCTTGTACACTTCCCATTAAAAGTTCCTCCATCCATCACATCTTCGATATCCGCCTCCATCCCCTCAGCCAGCTTCATTACATATTCTTTGTCTTCAATAAAAGGACAACTACTTCTTCTCTCCTCATTTGTTGTATTTGCTATCTTTGAGCAAGTGAAACAAGAGTAGTTCGCCCTTTTTCCTTCAAGCCCGTAATTATGTCTGATGGAATATAAGTATTCCTTATCAAAAACTTCTCGCCCAACCTTGAATGAGCTCCGAAAAAAGTCTATTCCATCATCAACATTCATCCCACAGTCTTTAAGAAAAAGACACAATATCTGTCTATCATTATACTTGAGATGCCTGTTCCTTTTTAACCTTTGCATTATGATCTGAATGCATAGCGGGAAGTATTTTTCAGATTCTTTCAACGAAAAACTGATGTTTCTTTTACATCTTGTTGAGTTTGTCAATAATTCAGTAGAAAGGATTTTCATTCTTTCATCGGGGTCGTACAAAGAAACCTCTACTAGCTCATCCATTCTTCTGTCCAAATATCTTCTGTACTCATTGACAAGCATCGATTTGATTCCTTCATCATTTAGCTTGAGATATCCCCTCTCAGGCACGGCCAATCTCTTTCCGATTAGATCAATAACTTTTGTGAAATGTACAAGAACATTGGAGGATACCATTCCGCCAGCTACATCCGGGTTGTATCTGCTCTTCATTCCCAATATCAGAACACCGTCCTGGACCTTTCCTCCCTCCATCCGAGGCAGTATCTCGGTGAGGAAAAACGATCTTGCACCGCTTGGATTCTTAGAAATTCTAAGCCTTAGGAGATTCACCTCTGCATTCACAAACCATGTGGCCGCCCAAGGGTCCTGGGAGCACACCATCCTGCAGAAGAAATGAGAGAGAACATCATCCTCTATATCCACGGTGAGGTATTTAGAAAGAGAGCCCTCTGATTCCTCTCCCTTCAACATCTCTATCCTCCTTTCTGCATACCTTCTAAATGTTTCGTAATCCACTGAGCTCTTGGAAAGCGTGGTATAGAATGTAATTCCTGGCCATCCATTTTCCTTCATTGTTTTTATTCTTTTCATTTCTTCACAACCCTAGAGCCCATGCAAAATATTTCCCATCATAAGGCTCTTTCATCTACTTCTGGCCATCTTTAGCATAGACATAAGAACAAGCACGATGGAGAGAAGGAGCATAAAGTATATTACTTTGTTCTTCATCCTCCGATGCGAGCCAGGTATCTTCCCTAGCTCTTTGTTAGCTCCTTCAAGATAAAAGTTTATCGAGTCAAGGTAAAAGTCTAATCTATCTATTTGAAGTGATTGCTGCCCAACAGCCATCTTCATATCCAAAAGAACAGAGGTAAGGTCGTAAATAGACTTTCTTAAGTCCTTTACATTCTCAAGAAGCAGCATACTGCCCCCGTCGTTCTCTTCATCTTCGTGATCTATCTCATCATAAATGTCTATATTTTTCAAAAACTTCTGCTGCAAGCCTCTATAGTCATGGATTATTGCTTTCAGCTGCCCAGCAAAATAGCCATGCATACAGTCTGTAAGGACCTTAGAGTTGGAGAACTTCACAATCTCTTCGATACCTTTTTCTGCACGATGGATCTGATCTGTTATGTGTCTCTTAACCTCGTCGATCTCATCCTTCTTCTTCTTTTTTGGTGAAAACGAAGGCATGCAATGTTTTTCTTGGATAATGCCTAGCCTTGAGATGCTTTGTTTCACATCGTCTAAAGATCCCCTGAGACTAGAGGTGGAAAGTGGGCTAAATTTAATGTCCTTTCTCTTTGTGAGCCTCTTGTATTCCAGAGTTCTATTCACAAGCATCGAATATCTTTATTTGTCTTGAAGGGAAAAGTGTTATCTGGCTTGTGAAACACTGTTTTATTTTGTAGCTTCTACCTTCCAGCCAAGCTCCTTAGTATCCAGAACACCCTCTGCAGCCGCAGTTGTCACACTTTATGGCCTTATTAACATCGATGTTTCTCTGCGGCACTCGACATATGCATACATTTCCGTGCTTACTGTCTATAGGCTGAACACACCTGAGGCAGCACAGGCCCTCGTATCCTTCTCTTTCCCAGTAGCAAACCAGCTCATGGTCCACAAACTGATTTAGGGAAAGATATCTATACAATTCATTACTGATCTCACCTTTTTTCTTAAGATTATATATGTGTCTAGACCTCTGATGATGGAGCTGGAATATGGGCCAGTAGTTTTCTGGAGGATTTGGAACAGTAGGTGCATTTTCAGCCTTTCGCATCTCAGCCTCCATATTTTCCAGAAAGGTCCTTACTTTCTCAAACTCCTTTGGCGGGTTGACTGGAATTCTTGGCATTCAACCCCAGACGGCTTTCATATAATAAAAGGCGTATTCCAGACCAGGATGTATTTATCGTCACATATGTACTTCTTCTTGTTTCAGATTATTTTGATAAATGGCTACATAGATCTCTAGTAAACAACGGAGACCCAGATGAAGTTACCGAGTCCTCTATTTGGTTTCTTGTTAGCTCTAGTGGTTCAAGGAAACCCCGGGCATAATCCAGACTTTGAAGCTTTCAAAGTGTACTCCAATGGCGCCTGTACCACAGAAGTTCCGTTATGCTCAAGGCTTGGTGTTAAGAAGCTCATGGAAGGAGGGAATGCAATGGATGCTGCAATTGCATCTACGATATGCATCGGCATAATAAACTCCTTCTCGTCAGGAATCGGAGGTGGGGGGTTTATGCTTATCAAGGGCCCAGGCACAAACGGAGTGCTTGATATGATAGATTTTAGAGAAACGGCACCAAGGAATCTCTCAGATAGTGGGCTCAGTGGAATGGGAGGAGCAAATGAAAAAGGATTGAAAGTAGGTGTTCCTGGGGAGATCCTTGGGTTATATGAAGCACACAAAAAGTATGGGAAGCTCCCGTGGAGAGAACTGTTTCGAGAGAACATAATGATTGCTAGGGGGTTCCCTGCTAGTAATCTGCTTGTAAAGAAAATTAACAAGCTTAAGAGTTACATAACGAGCGATCCAGGGCTAAGAGACATCTATACAAGAAATGGAGTACTTCTCAAGGAAGGAGATATTGTTGCAAGGGAAAATTATGCCAAGACATTAGAGATTATAATGAGGCATCCCGAAAGCTTCTATACCGGTAGTCTTGCAGACCTGATTGTTAAGGCTGTCAGAAAAAAAGGAGGATTGATAGACAAAAGAGATCTGGAAGAATACAAAGTAATTCATAGGGATGTCATAGAAGGAAGGTATCATGATTACAAGGTATACACCACAAACCTTCCAACCAGTGGGCCATTGGTTCTGAAGGCTTTGAATATATTTGAAAAGTATGATCTGAAGAAGCTAAAGGCAGATAGTTTAAGAAATGGAAACTTCAACCATATGCATCTGCTTATTGAGGTCTTCAAGTTTGCCATGGCAAGAAGAGGAGAGTTGGGAGATCCCGCATTTCTTCCAGGATGGGAAGAGATAGTCAAAGAAATAATCTCTAAGAAAAGTGCAGAAGAGGCTTACAGAAAGATAAATCTAGGAAAGGTCTTAGACATAAAAGAATATGGAATGAAAACAAAAGGAACTGAGGACCACGGAACAACACACATCAACGTTATAGACAAGGACAACATGGTAGTGCTTCTTACAAGCTCAATTAATCTCGAGTTTGGGGCAAAGTTCATGGATCCTGAAACAGGGGTAGTATTCAATGATACAATAGATGACTTCCATATTTCACACGCAAGGGATGTTCATAGCAAGCATCCAAACAATGTAGAAGGAGGCAAAAGGTCCTTTTCTTCAATGTCCCCAATCCTCCTGCTTAAGGAGGATGAGATACTTGCTATAGGTGCTGCCGGAGGAATAAGGATCCCCACATCTGTTATTTCCACTATATTCCATCTAGGAACCGGAGAGAACCTCAGAGAGGCGATAATAGAAACAAGAATCCATAACCAGCTATCTCCAAATATAACGTTTGTGGAACATAATATACCGAAGGCCCTTGAAAGGTATCTTATCAGCATTGGACACAGGATAGAAAAATCGCTTCAGAATACCATTTTCACTTCTGTCCAGGGTATTTTCCTCAAGAGTGTTGGAGGGAATAGAATCATCCAGGCTGTATCAGATCCCAGGAAAGAAGGTGAAGCCTTTGGATATTAAATATAAACCTGAAAGGTCTATTCTCCTCTTCTGAGATAGTAAGCTGTATATAAACCATCTGTAGAGAGTTCTCGATGTGGAACGATATCTACCTTCTCGTCGTCTATCTTATGCCATTTGCCTCCAAGGATAATGTATGAAAGATAATGTCCACAATTAATGGATCCATAATGACTCACAAATCCTAAAATATCATAGACTCTTTTGCCTATTGTCAGTGTGCTTGACAAAGCTACATGAGAGTCTATTTTTCTGGGTACCTTGTCATAAGAAAATCTTTTCATGTGGAGGGACAGAATTCTTGGATGCTTTTTGACTTCTAGCCTCCTGGTGCACAATGTTTTTGTCTTACACGTGTTGCAGGCCATCTCGCACTTCAAATCCTCAGGTTCAAAAAAGATGTCTAGGGATGATTGAATAGAGGGGAGGCATTCTAAAGAAATCGTTGCAAATGCTTCCTCTTTTGCTCTTCCAAGGTTACACCTTCTGCAATTTGTCGTCGAGGAAAACGTGCCGAAGAATATTCGATGCGACAGGCATCTGCATACCAGATCATCTATGGTACTTGGGCTGTATGCTTCATGAATCTTCTGAAGTAAGCATATAAAGAATTCATGTGCATCTTGTTGCCTAGGACTTGCAAGATGAGGAGCCAGTAACCAAAATGTATGTATAAATTTGTGTGTAAGTACACACCCAGATCCATAAGAAGAATCAATTAAAGACTTCATGGCACATATAATGCATCGACTTCCACTGCATCTTGCCCTTATACGAGTACTCAATAGAAGTTCGTCTCTTATTGGGCTCAGATTGACCATTATACTAAGAATCGCATTGATGTAGCATGTATTTCCAAGATTAGAAAACCCTTTAATAGGGACATATGGAAGGATTTCGTACAGTGGCCCAGGGACTTTAACTAAAACTGTACTTCCAGATCTGTTTACGATATTGCTTGGAAGATATCTTTTGGTACATGAAATACAAGAGATAAGGTCATAAAATAAATCAAGAAACATAGTGTGCTCATGTAGCCTCTCGTCTATGCTGCACAGAAAACAATAACATTGCATACATACACGCAGGCTTAGCGTTGCTTTACATTTCTGGCATCTGGGCCTTACTCCTCTTTTCTTGAGGCAATCCAGCTTTGAAACAATCATTTTGAATGTCTTCTCGACGTCCTTTAATGCTTCAAAATGAGCACACAAATCCATTATATGGGTGTAACCTTCTATCATATCTGAAGAAGACATTTCTTCAAAACCATGAAAGCAAAATAAACAAATCAATCTTTTTATGTCCTCAATCCAATATGATCAGAGAAAAGAGAGGTTGCAAGGAGGATTTAAATGGATGTGATTCTTCAAAAACTCTCAGAAGAAAAGAAGAGAGTGTTTTGAATGGAAGACTGCACCATGAAATAGTACAAGATAAGATAGGAGGGATCACCAAGACCAACTTCTTCAGGAGAATGGTTTTATCCATAGTTATGATTTCAGGTTTTTTCTGGATTTGTATGAACAATAAGATATACTCCTATGCCTTGGTGATCTTTCTAACAGTATCCATCATAAAAGAAATAATAGGAATCACAAGAAAATCGGATGGAAAGCCTTTCCACTTAAGAGTTTCAATCATTCTTGGGTTTGCTGTGCCTATATATTTGTATCTGGTCTTTCCTTCCATAATGATGATGTATTTTTCTGAGGTCCTGAGATACTTCTTCCGAAGATTATCCTCCATATGCTTCTATAGCTATGTGGCTGCGTTTATGTGTTTTGTTGGTTCTCTTAGAAAGGGAAAGCTAAGGCTGCAGCTGGGATTGTTCGCTCTAGTTAACTTATCTACATATTCTATGGCGATGGTGGCTAAGTGTGCCATCTTCAATCTTAACAAGGGAAGATTTTGGTTTGTGTTTCCTGCTTTGCTTGTAATATCCAACGACATCTCGGCGTATGCTGTAGGAAAGAGCATTGGAAAGAGACCTCTGTACCGTCTGAGTCCAAAGAAAACACTTGAGGGATTTATAGGAGCATTCATTTTCACAACAGTTGTGGGATTTATATTGGGATACCTGCATGTGAATCGAGGGTTTCTAAGAGATGAGGAGCCCATCAAACTCCGGAAGTCGATGAAGTTCAAAGTGTTCAGCGCAGTCTTCAAGATACAGAGCATATACTTCCACATCATTCCATTTATTCTTGTGGCATCTTTTGTAGCGCCCTTCAGCGGCTTTCTTGCAAGTGCGTTGAAAAGGGCCTATAAGAAAAAAGACTTTGGAGAAGCCATTTCCGGGCATGGAGGAATAGCAGATAGGATGGACTGCCAGGTAATAATTGCAATTTTCACGTCCACATACATAAGCTCATTCATTTATACGGAAGATAAGTCCGTTGGATCTATTTTTAGCTTTATATGTAAAAACTTCAGTCCGGAAGAGATAATGATTCTCATCGAAATGCTAAATCGAAGAATATCAAGTATAAAAAATAAATGATCCTCAGGTTTTACTAGCTTTTCATTTACGCTTCTGTGTAACATTGCAATTGGCGTCTTTGGATAAAAATAGAAAAAAAAACTTTCCCATGGAAACCTTTGGGATGATTGAAGCCATGAGATGTAAAAGTAGGTTTTCTTCCGGGGACTATGTGGGCTATAAGAACTATCTTAGGGCTCAAATGAGGAGGCCAGGCCAGAAAGGGGAAGAAAGGATGCTATGTAAACTTGAGTCGAATCTATCTAAGTTCTTCATTTTCAACTCTGTGGGGTTTTTAAAGAGTAACCTGAGAATACTTAGGAAAAACGAGTCTGAGTTTGGGACTATGTATAGCAATCTTGTGAAAGGTATTATGGGAAAAGGGGTCGAAGTCAACACCCTTCTAGAACTCAGGAAGAAGCTCATGCCATGCAGGACATTTGTAAATCAAGTTGACGCATTGCTTGAGTCCCCTCCATACAACTTTGATGTTTCATCCTTGAAGGTTAGACACATGTGGAATGACATCCCAATTGGATTTAACAGTAGTTTTGAAAAAGACCAGTTCCTGGAGGGGAAGGCGCCCCAAGGCGTTGGATACGATGCAGATATTTCAAGAGCCATACTGAAGGTGGAGAATAAAAAGATGAGGCTGATATCTCTCATCAAGACCAAGCCTGGCAAGATTATATGCATCAACAAGAAAGTGGAGGAACTCTTAAGGGCACTTTATGGATTAAAGACTGTTCTGAACGAGAATTTAATTGAATCTAGTCATACTGAGAAATTAATAAAGGATACGGAGGAGCTGAGGATGTACTGCTTTAATATCATGGAATTTATGAAGTGCTTGAAGTGGGATGATTCCATAGATACATTTAGAGTCCCCTCATCGTTTAAAACGGTCGACCTTCAGATATTAAGGATGAGGGAAGACTTGTCTTATATTCCAAGAAAATGTTCTAGAAACGTAATCACTAAGTATTTGGAAGAGCTTCTCAGGCCCAAAAAGCCTATTATAAAGGTTCCATTCATACCTGTGTTATTCGATATAGCAAGGGATTACATATCATACCCTGCTGAAGACAGAAAAATGTCTGAATTGTTCAAGAAACTTCATATTCAAAATGATTAAAGTGACCATCTACTTCATATTTTACAACACCCTAATGAGAAACCTTGCAATATTGAGAAGCCTAAGAGACAAGATTCTTAAAAAAACAAGTGGTAGAAGGCCAATGGCTCGGGTAGATATTGTTCAGGACACGCCTCAATCTTCTGAGACTACTACAAGCAATACCAAAGGATCTCAGTGGAAATGGCCTTTTCTATTGAATAGAGACTTGATGCCACCATATCCAACAGATGTTCAAAGGATTGTAATCCCACATATATTGGCAAAGGAGAGCATCGGTGTTGTTTCCAAAACTGGTAGTGGAAAGACCCTCTCTTATGTACTGCCTTATATACATATTCTAGAAAGTGAAGACAAAAGATTGCTGGTTATTGTCCCTACAAGAGAACTAGTTTCACAGGTGGGGCAAATATTTAGAAAATTCTCTGAAGACAGTCTCAAGGTTGTAGAGATAACAGGAGAAATGGGTATAGATTCACAGCGGCTTCAGGTTTCCGAGCCGTTTGATGTGATTGTTTCCACGCCTGGAAGATTGAAGGAGCTTGTGAAATTAAAGAGTATTGGAGGATTTGAATATGTCGTTATTGATGAGGCTGATAGATTGATGCAGCATGACTTTAGGAACGATGTAACATTCATATTAGAAGAAGCAGGGGCAAAAGTCATTAGCCTTTTTTCTGCAACGCCTTTTGAATGGAATGGTGTAACGAAGATCTCGGTTGGAGATGTTTCCGTCAGCAGAAGTGTAGAGGAGTTTTTCTTGTACGCTGAGGAGAATGAGAAGCAGGGGATTCTTGAAGACATTTTTGAGTCTTGCGAAGACTGGCTTATGAAGAACATGAATGTAAAAACGAAATGCCTAGAGATAAAGAAAATTGTTGTATTTTGCAATACCATTAAGACATGCGAAAGCCTCCATAAAAGATTTAAGGGATCTCTGGTGCTTCATTCGAGAAGGACTATGGAGGAAAGAAAGGCAGTAGTTGAAGCATTAGAGGAGGAAAAGGTAGTCTTGATAGCCACCGACTTAGGAGGAAGAGGAATAGATATAAGGGATGTCGATTTGGTGATAAACTATGATCTTCCTAAGACCATTGAAGTCTATGTCCATCGATGTGGCAGGGCAGGAAGACAAAAGGAGGGGATGTCTCTATCGATGGTATGCCGAGAGGACAAAGAGCTACTCCCTAAACTCAAAAGACTTATTGAAAGGAAGGGGGGCGTTGTGCCTGAGTTTATGGACATAAAGGAGGATATCATATTGGACTGATATGATGGATTAATGGTCTCTCTTGAGACCAGCCCTTCTCTAAGAATGTATTTTGAATATGATAAGAACGTAATGAGGAGTATTGTTAAGAGGCTTATGGAGGATAGTAGTAAAGATAAAGATGCTGAAGATCAGACGAAAGATAGCGAAGACACATAGTATAGATACCTACTGAAAGTCTTGTATTGGGTTATAAGTAATAAAATTTTTGACCTATTTATTCACCCAAAAATGAGGATTCTGATAACATCTGACAATCATTTGGGATACAAGGAATCCGACCCTGTTCTGCTTGATGATAGTTATGAAACCTTTGAAGAGATTTTGAAGGTAGCCCAAAGGGAAAAAGTCGACTTAATTCTACAGGGAGGAGATTTATTTCATGATAACAGGCCGTCAAGAAACTGTCTGAATAGAGCCATAGGACTTCTCAGAAGTTATTGCGTTGGAAGTGAAAGATCTCGTCTCAGATCGAACCGGACTCTAAATTCCCATGACCAAAACATCACCATTTCTATTCCTGTAGTGGCTATCCATGGAAACCATGATGATCCAAGCGGGATAAACATGGTTTCTCCACTTGACATTCTACAGAGCAGCGGACTTGTAAACTATATAGGTAAGTATAGTCTTATGGAGAGGATAGATGTCTTTCCTTTGTTGCTAGAAAAGGAATATAGAGTTGCAATCTATGGGCTGGGGCATATTAAGGATAGAAGACTGTACAGAATGTTTTGTGAAGGAAAAGTTGTATTTCATAAGCCAGAGGATTATGATTCATGGTACAATATCCTTGTACTACACCAAAATCGAGTTCCTAGGGAGAAGGAGCATCTTTCCTTGGATTTTATAGATGATTTCTTTGACCTTGTAATATATGGTCATGAGCATGAAAGCAGAGTGACCAAGGAAGAGCGGCTGATACTCCAGCCAGGCTCTACAGTTAGAACGTCTTTGTGTGAAGGCGAGAGGCATGACAAATATGTATATATTCTGAGGATTGAGGAGAAATGTATTTTGGAACATGTCAAGTTAAGGAGTGTAAGGCCGCTCGTGTTGGGTGTCTTGAGAATTGAGGGAAAATGTAATGCTGAAGAAATAGTTGCAGGCAAGATCAAGGAGATGATAGAGGAAGGAAAAAAGAAAGAAACTCTTTTCTGTAAAGAAACCACAACTGTGAATGTTGATACAAAAAAATTCAAATGCGAAAGAGACACCTCCAACAAGACGTTGCCAAGCAGCTTCTATATGTGAGAGTTATTTACATGAGGAGAAGAGTTACATTCCGATGATTAGGCTGAAGGTTGAGCTTCATGGAAATGATATGTTTGATAGACATAGATTCAGCACTCAATTCAAGGGATTGGTAGCCAATCCAAATGACATGTTGTCTATATCTAGGAAAACTGGAAGAAGAGAAGAAATTGAAGTTCATCAACCAGATGAAGAAAAGGTTGAAATAACACACATACTGAGAAAGATTCTTGGGAATGTTGAGTTTGGAGTTTTAAACAGACTTTGCTTTTCTGAAAGTTTGGAAGAATACGTTCGAGGAGATAGCAACGCCTTTATGGGAATGATTAGAAAGAACATCGAAAAGGTTATAGATACAATAGACCATTCTTCCATTGTGGATGAAGATGTAATTAAGGCCATGAAGAAAATCAGCCGTGAGGAAGACCGCAGTTATGATGCAGAACATGTGAGGACTGAGGAAAATATGGGAGTTTCTGATGGGAAGGAGATAGAAACGAGCTCTATGGATAAAAAGCTAGAAGGAGGGAGTCTATGTCATTCTTCGGATAGCAATGAAGGAAGCGAATCTAGAATCAAAAAGAATTTCGCATTGGAAGACTTAATTGGAAGGAAATACCTAGGAAAAAGAGTAAGGAAGAACAAGGAGGATTCAAGCACAGATGTCTCTTTTACATTCTCAAAATATCTGTGATGTAAGGTTTATTGAATTCATTGGTTTCTTGATAGATGAAGTCTACTAAATATACTTTCTATGGGCCGTCTTTTCTCCAAATTACTAAATTTAAGATCTAGATAGCTTCTTTTGGGATCTTCTTTGGATTCTGTTTTTGGGCCTAAGGATGGCTTTTGTGGTGCATGGCTTTCAGCATCTCTTTCTTCAACATTTACATGGCCATTGATTATCGCAATGTAGTTTTTATCTGAAGCTTTATCGAACTTCTCCACAAGCCATATTGTATCATTCACCATATCTTTGGTCCATAGAATTGTTTTAGAGTGTATTTTCTTTAGGTCTTCCAAAGTATCTACGGACATAATGTTTCCATCTACTACTAATATGTCGCACGTAGAAATGTCTTCTAGGGAGTCTGTGAAGTGAATGTGGGTATATGAAAGTTTCATCTGTATGTTCTGGAGCAGAGTGTTTCTAATGAACATTGTGGGAGGTAGACTTATCGAAGAGCTATATGTTATGATTCTCACTCCCATGGATCAATTGTTTATGAATAATATCATATCTTTGAAGGTTTCAACTTTATGGAAAGTATAGAAAAGAGAAAGAACGCCCCTCAAATGGTTGGGTTTGTAGTTGGATTTATAATAGGGCTTCTGTCTTTCCCAATGATTTACTGCCTCTCTCCTCGAGCTGTCGTTGAGGTCAATAGGAAAAAGATGCTGAGGATAAGCAATAAGAGTAAAGGAATCGAAATTAATGACGAGCAGATGAAGACGGTAGTTAAGAGCATGCACAGATGTAAAGATACCCATTGGGTCAATGCTGTTCTCCAAAGGCTTTACTTCGAGATTTCCCGATCATATGCTATTGAGACTAGGATCAAATCCATGATACTGAAGAGATTTGAAGTATCCGGGATAGGCAAATACTTCAAAAGCATTGATATTGTCGAAGTGGCTCTCGGGAAAGAGGCACCATATGTGGAAAGCATCCAGGTGGTCTCTGACGATGACGTATGTAAAATCATTTCTGAAGAAGGGCATAAGTGCGCAGACAGTGAAGAGGAGAAGCTATTCCACCTTGAAGAGGAGATCAAAAGAGGATTAGGACTTGGGGATGAGATACTTAGAGAAGAATGTGGGTATGGAGGATCTGATGAAAGTTTTGGACATGAAGAAGTCGAAAGAATTGGGGAGGCGATAAAAGCAAGCACAGGTGATTGCAAGAAGTGCATACCCGAGGCATCTGAGAATTCTATTGAATCTTCCCTTACTTCGCAGGACAGAGAAGCAAACCGAATGATGTTTTCACAGAAGATTTTTGAGAGACTCCAGGTTCTTTTAGGAATCAATTATGGGGGAGGAGCACAGATTTCCTTGAGTTTGGGGCTTCCAAAGGGAATAGTTCTCAAGACCACCATATTCATTAATGGAATGAAAGGAGACGTTCTTGTCAGAATACCGTCAAAGGACTACGATACAAGATATGAATACTGCTTTCTATTCAAGCCAGAGCTTGCAATAACGGTAGAATCTGGGATATCTGGCGAGATAGGAAAGCTTTACTTCAGAAAGTCGATCTCCAACTTCATAGAAAGATATATAAGACATTTAGTATCAAGGACCATGGTCTACCCGGCATGGAGTGGGCAGTATCTTCCATTTATTGTTCCACCAATCAAGGATGTGGTGCACAAGATCGAGAAGGTAACGTTGGAAAACCATAGTATTCAACTTCCGCAGATAGTAGAAGGTATTCTTCTTTACTCTTCAATGGACTACAAGATTGTGGATGTTGATGGTGAAATGGTGCACAGAAGAGCCGGGAATTTCATTAATGAAAGAGAAAGGATACTCTGCACACACTTTCCCATTCCCAAGATATCGCTCAAAGCAACGCAATCTGTAGGGAAGAATAGACTTTTCAAAGGGCTAACTCTACAGGAAAGCAAAGTCATGAATCAACTGTACAGTTGGACAGCTTTTTCCGACGTGATTTCTAGATTTCGGGAGCTAAGGGTGAAAACCGTTCTCACACCTAACTCGTCTTTAGTTGAGCTTGTGTTTGAAAATACAAAATATGAGTTTGTAAGGGTGGTTGTGAAGAACGGACTGATTTTCCAAAGAAACGATCCGGAGAGCCCAGAATTTATTGTGTTCAAGATAGTTCGGGAAGTACTTTACATCTACCAATACGTGGAGACTAAGGATTTTATGATGAATAGGAGAAGAATATGGAAATTGAGGCAGAAGTTCGACTTCAAGCCACTTACAGCACTTGGATCCGCATCCCTATACAAGCTAATCCGATTTTCCAAAAGAGTGATGTTTAGTTACCTTAAAAAACCTCCATGCCAAATTGGAGAAGAATCCACGGACTCGGGCTCTGTTGAAAGAAATGGGGATATGAAAACAGAGCTAGTTGAGGTATTTGAGGAGATAAAGAAGTCTTTTTCTGATGAAGAATATCATTTGAAGAAGATGTGCTCAAAGGCATCTATAGAATCTATCTATAGAGTTTTGTCTCAGGATGAGGTCCGAGCTAAGTTATTCTCTGAGGACTGTGGAATATACACTGTTATTAGTGAAGCAGATAACATTCGCAGCATTGTCATTGAGAGTAGATCACGGAGCGCCAGCATGCCTTCTTATCAGGCAAGTACATGCCTAGACATCACCACCGAGATAGAAGAGGATTTCATCATCCATTCTTATTTTGATGTGGACACTATTATTGATGTAAGGTTTGGAAAGGAAAAGGAGGTTCTTATGTACAGAATAATGAAGATGGAGGAAAATTCATATGGATATAACTCAAAAGTGGATCTTTACTATAGCAAGTCTATGAATCTTAGGTTCCCAAACTACTTTGTGGAAGCTTTTCAGTTGAGGATAAGGCAGGATGAATATTTAACGATTGCAACCAAGTATCCTTATTCTACATCCCCAGTGAAAAAAGAGTTTAGAAAAGAGGTGGAGATAAAAAAAGGTGCCATTTACATCGAATTCTACACCGATGTTCCCGACGATTACTCTTTTACGGTCTATGGACACTCCGGGGATCTTGTGTATGATATATACAAGATAATCACTTCTAGGAAGGTAAAGATAGTCCTTCCTGTTGCAAAAGAAAAGGAGACATTTTCCATTATTCTTGTGCCAAAGTTCAACAGAAATAGAAACATCCATTATAAAATCCTTTCTCTTCCAGAACAATTCTCCAGTGAGGTTTTGGTTGACTGCAACATCGGATTGTCGAGAAATATGAAGTTCTACTGCCCGGTAGTTGGAAAAACAGACTCTGTGATATTCTGGGAGAAGGGAGACGATGATAAGATCAAAGGGTATATAGAGAACAGTGATACGAAAATAATGATATCAAGGAATGGGACTATGAGAACAGAGAATAGGGAGTATAATATCTATTACAAAAACAAAGGGGAGAAGAAAAGAGATATAAGAGTGTTCCTTGGGATAAGCCTGAGGAAACCGTAGAGTGGGTGTGGATGAAACAATCTTTTATTGTATGATTCACGTAGTGAAGGAATTACATCAGCTAGGTTGAAGCTGCGAGCTTAGAATTTCGTTTCTGAGAACTAAGAAGTCTACCTGTACCAACCCTCTTCCTATATCTGAAGGGCCTAAGCCTATCATCGTGATATTTTCTCCTCTTATTATAAATAGCTCATGTTTCCTCTCTGCATATTTTTCGTCATGGAATATCCTTTCTATGACCCTGTCCAATGTTATACTATTAAATTGATCAAAAGACTTCATTATGCCATATAGATATCTTCCATCCCGTAGCACAACAACAATCTCTTGCTCCAGATATTTCTCATAATCTCTGGTATTGCCGAAATCCTCATCTAGCATTATATAGGGCTTCCCGAGAGCGAGGGAATTAAAAACATCAGGATCTTCCCATGGATGTTAAGTTGTTTTATTATTTTATAACAAGGAACTCTTTTTTTGCTAGAGTGTTCAGGCACAATCGAAGTCGTCATTCTTTCCATTGAACTCATCGATCTTCTTCTTAATCTTGGATTCATCAACCCATGAAACAAAGTCTTCCATGGCCTTGCTTATGATTGTTGAGGGATCGTAGATAACTTTTGAGCCAAGTCGGACATGCCCATGTTCAACAAACCTTGTGGCGTCTTTAAAGTTTGGGACCATTCTAATTCTCTTCATAACCATTGGGAGTCGCCTTTCACAAAACGAGGAAACTGTTACTTTGGTACAGTCCACAAGCTTTCTATTACTGATGATCCCAATATTATATAGCTTACTAACAAGCTTCTTGGTGACATTGCTTCTAATTGGATCATTCTCCTTGAGCCTTGATAATGCTTCTGCAAGCTTGCGTATTTTTCCTACTATTCTGTTGTACTTGACATACTCCTCCCTATCTCTCAGGCCATACCTTACTATGGCCAAATGCTCGCGTGCAGTATTCGTGTTCTTCCACTCAAGAAAGTCTACTCGCTTCAGAAGCTTCTTCTCGTGGAACTTCAACTCTCTCATGGGCTTTTAATCTTTTAAAGTAAAATCACTTGGGTTGAAAGAAAAGTATTATCACTTAGGCAGAAGTTATTTATCAAATATTTCGGCAATGAAGTGATCAAACAGCATGGCGTCCTGCCCTAGACAACCTTCTGTGCTAATCAGAGAAAAATGCAGTGTTTGGCTGCACTTTTCGTTATCATTCGAACATGTGCCATTATATTTTCTCCCACTAGAGGCCGGAGTTAGCTTGAAGGTTGGTGACTGTGGAATATACTCCTCTGGAGGACCTATGTTTTCAAAAGCCGAGGTTGATATGAATATGTCGAGCTTCTTGTAGTTAGAGTTGTCCTTGGCAAACTCCCTGTGCTCAAACTCCTCGATGTGTTCTTCGTAGTTGTTGAACCTTACATAGCAGATCTCACAAAAGCCTTCCCGGATGTGCCTACGCCTGCCTGATTGTTTGTATTTCTTGGCTGCCTGGAACGGACAGCATAGCGTCGGACTATCCAGGTGAAGCTTTGGAGCATCCGAGTTGACATATTCTTTATAAAATGGTTGACATTTGTTCTTGCAGTCTTCTATAAGGATATAAGGTTTCTTGAATACTTTATAACTCTTCATTCCTTACCACTCTCTATGCCTTCTTTATTATTTTTATCTTTTTGGCGGGAATCTTTTGGCGGGAATCAGGGGCTTTTGCCTTAAAGGTAGATAGGGAATCTCCTAGAGGAATTGAAAGAAACATCTCTTTTTATTATTTGGCATGAACTTCTTCAAGAAATTCCAAGATCTGATCACGTGGAAGGAATACCTTACTCTCTTTGGAGAAATGTAGAATCTCCATTCGGTCTGCTTCTTTTGGCCCCAGCTCTCGAATCTTTCCGAGAAGTTTTAATATTTCAATAGTTGCCATCTTCATTTCCATTTCTTCTTCAGGCATATCATTCTTAAGTCCTCCGTTTATAGCCTCCTCATTTTCCCCATAGCACATTCCTCTCCATCTATTCAATGTCCCGCTTGGGTCCGTAGAAAATAGAGCATACTCTCCACCCATGACTCCAGCATACAGAAAGGAAGCTCCAAAAGGCCGTGTTCCTGCATATTGGGTGAAAGCTTGCTTTTTCTGCCCAATGGCTTTGCATAGTGTTGTGAGAGGGCATTCCACTCCAAACTTCTCTAAAGCCTCCTGAGCCTTTACCCGCGCGTATCTTTTGATCCTCATTGCATCTCCAAATAACCCGCACAACGCACAATAAATATTATCGCTCAGTTGGTAGATCTTTTCCATCGGTCCATTTGTAGGCTCCTTATTTATTCCTATGAGAACAATGCCATCCACGCATACATACCCTATTATGGTTCCTGCCTTAGATACATTCTTGATGGCAAACTCCACCTGGGGGAGCCTACCTTCATCTGTAAATGTGTTGGACTTGAGTTTGTTGTCCTCCATGTTCAGGGTCTTATTTTGAAGAATGATTTCTTGGACTAATACAATGGATTCCTATACCATAGATAGCTCTGATATAAACCTCTTGTATAGGATGTTTGGGTAGCATGAAGCTTTAAGGTTTCCTTTAAAACTCGATAGTAGTAGCATTACCCCGTCCCCATGAAAAACCTGTTTAACAAAGTAGAAATAAGTTCATCATGCTGCTTAGGAAAGAAAGACAAGAAGGATATCAATAAGAGGCTGGGCTATGAACTGCTGGAGAAAAATGAAGCATATATGATTCATAGATGCAAGAACAAGGTATCTCTCGTATCCTTAGGAGGAGTGGCAATCTTATTCTTCTTTAATAGAAAGTATTTTCCAACTATAAGATATCTTGAGAAGCATGATTCAGAATTCCATGAAATATTCCTAGACGATGGAGCACTTGGACCTTTGTGTAGGGGAGCTGATGTTATGATCCCGGGTATACTTAAGTACAAAGATCTTATAAAAAAAGAGTTTGAGGCAGGAGATACTGTTGTTATTCGGATTGTTGGGAAGTCTATTGTAGCGATTGGGGAAGCAGTTATAAGCTTGCAGGAGATGGTTAGTAAGGGCAATGGGGTTGGTGTAGAGGTGTACCATCGAATTGGAGACGAATTATATTGCGGAGAGTGGGCTTAGAAGAACCAATAAAGTACTTTTCCTAGGAGAATGCAAAGAGGATATAATGGCAATTGATTTTATGGACAGCTACGGCCATATCCACAGAAAAGCACCGGAACTCGTCAGATCTCCGAAGTTAAGCCTGTGCGAGCCTGGATAGTACTGAGATGGGAGACCACTCGGGAATCCCAGGTGCTGTAGCTTTTTGTACGTTTTCTTCGTTGACTGACGTGAGAGCATAACATGAAAATAAAGGATTGTAAAGGTATTAGAAATTGTTCTTTTATTTACTGAAAGATCGAGTATCAGCATCAACTACCTCAGTGAATACATATCCAGGAGATACCTTACAATTAACCAACGTGCTCCCAGAAAAAATGTTTGCACCCATTCCAATCACAGACCCTTCAATATGTGATCCATTCCCAATAGAAACGTTATTCATCACAATCGATGATATTATTTTTGATTCCTCACCAATATCGCATCCACTTCCAATTATCGAATCAAGGAGAAGCACGTTGTCTGTTTTAGTATTACTTCCAACTACATTGCTTAGATCCTTGAGGTTATATTTCTTCACATAATCCTTTATAAATTTCGCATTTGACTCACTTGTTTTCAACTTCTTATCCGTACTAACCGCACGTCTTTTTAGTAGAGCATTTACACACAAATAGTTATTAATGGTTCTTATCTGGTAAATATAGCTCTTCTTAGGCCTGTGAATTCCAACCGGATTCGTTGGAATTAGACTTTTCACAATATTGGGCAACAGCCCATGCTTAAAGCTGAAGTAATCTGGCTTGAATGCTTTGAACAGTGAAGTCCTGAACATGTAGAGTTGAAGTATGTCAAGGTCTTTTGTAAGAGTTAGTCCCTTTTTCAACAAGTGGAAAGGAATTTCCTCGTTGGAATCATTTGAGTAAAACATTAAATCGTCACCTTTGTATCCTAGAATGGATGTCTCTGATGTCGAATTTTCCAGAATCACCATAAACATTTTCTTTTCGTTGAAGTAGTTTGATGCCATTGCCTGAATATCCATATTAGTCACAATATCTCCCTTGCATACAAGGACATCTTCAGATGATATTCTTGGATACACGTTCAAAAGAGATGCCACTGTTCCATCATATGTGTCAATTCCTACATACTCCACAGGCACATCGATCCTCCCCTTTATAGCATTCATAAGATCTTCTTTTTCCTCATTCAATCCAACCACGAAGAATTTCTTTGAGATACTCCGAAGGCATTCCATTGTATGAAGAATCATTGGGCTGTTCATGATTGGAAGGCAAGCCTTTGAAAACTTCTCACTAACTATTGGAAATAATTCTGTTCCAGGACCTATCAAGATAATTACCTCAAACATATAGGAATAAGGGATGGAAAATGGATTCAATTGGTCTCTCCATATCTAAGTCATGGAAACATTCATTTCTATAGATGTGTAGGAAAACCCGATGTGTGTTCCTTCTGTTCTTGTCAATAAGGCTTGCTGCAGTGATTTGGGAAATGAGATTTCAATATCTATGTTTGGAGCATCTCAAGAAAGGTCAGTTGTGGTTTGAGCCTGGTACTTGCACGGAAAAGATGGCTGCTACTACCGATTCGTTTATCGAGTTGCAACTCGGGGCCTCTAGCGATAGGATTGAAAGCATGTATAAGGAAGTGAAACGTTTTATGCTATACATATCTGTTGTACTATTAATTTTTAACAGTAAGTTTCGAAGGAGAGTGGCAGAGCTGTCAAAATCCTTGAAGATATCCAATCCAGAGATAACACTACTGATACTTCTAATCTCCGCATTCACCTTGATAGAAAAATTGTGTGGTGTAAAGTTTACATTGGCAAAATACATGTATAGTATAAGATATGTGGAGCCACCAGTTGGTATCCTGGTGTTACTTCTTATAGAACTTCCGTTATTCATATGTCTGATAATGAAGCTTTTTGAGCTCTTAGGAAGAAGGTTTATTGTGATGTTTTACATCATCTTTGTAGTAAACAACCTATTAGATACTCTTTGGTGTGCCAGAGTAGATAAAGCTAAACTGGAAAGGATTCCTCTTAACATGTTCCCTCCCAAGTTACAAGAGATTATTAAATCTGAAGGGATGGAAGAATCAATCTATGAAGTCAAGGGCTCTAAGGAGAAAAACGCATCTCAGGTCGGACTTGGCAGCTTCAAAAGGATTGAGATATATGGAGATTTTAGTAAAGATGCAAAGAAACTATATCCTATTTCATTCCATGAGATGGGACATTCGATCGATAACATCATACTAAAAAGAAAGATTCTTTTGCATTTAATAGTGGTCTGTGAAGTACTAGTGCTTAGTTTTATTTATAGAAAAGAAAGCAGAACCTTTGGGTTTTCAGATATATCTTCTGAAGCATTTGTCTTGATCATAGTTGTTATGTATTTGGTGATCGGAAGGCCTTTAGTTTTTATACCTTCGAATATATATGCACAGCGCTCGGAGCTGTTTGCAGATGAGGTTGCCAAAATAAATGGATACGGAAGAGAGCTTTCTCAAACATTGCTTGATATGACTTTGGAGCACAATGCGACCATAGATACAACGTATTTGTTCAATGCAATAACATCTCTACACCCAGTTGCCAGGGAAAGAATTGATAGGTGCGGATGCTCTCCACAGAAATAGTTATTGAGCCATCCCTCCATTTTCAAGATGGACGATGTGGAACGCAGCAACTTATTTGAAGAGCTTGGAGAATATGAAGTGATTGTGGCATATGAAGACGATGACAACAAACTCTATTCCACATTAAAGGACATAGACATTGACTATGTCGAAGTGGATTTGGGGGTATCTGAAAAGCTTAGAATGGAGTTTATGAAACACTTTGACGTGGCCAAGCTTCCTGCCCTTGTGATAAGGGGCACACCTGTTCTCGGAGATCCGGATAAGGGAATAAGAGAGTATATTAAGGAAAGAGAAGCAAGGGCTCTGAAGAAAATCCAAGATGTCATCGACCCTAGTAAGGTTGTTCTCTTCATAAAGGGATCTCCAGAACATCCTAAATGCGGGTTTACCAGGATTCTCATGGATGTTTTGCTGAGGGAAGGCGTGACAAGAGATAAAATTGCATACTTTGATGTCCTATCTGATGAAGATGTTAGAAAAGGACTAAAGAAAATAAACAACTGGCCCACCTTTCCACAAGTGTATATCGGAAATAGATTTATAGGGGGCTTAGACGTTATTCGAAAGATGTCTGAAAGGGAAATGCTTAGAGATGAGCTATCAGACATAATCTGAAAATAAAACCTGCTGTTTATGTTCTTGATACATATTAAAAGAATTTTGACAAACAAAGAAATGAAGTACTTTTCCAAGGGAATGTTTTATACATTTTTCGTCCTAACATACCTGGCACAGATGATAGAAGTCTTGAATATATTTATTACTAAAAGCCTCGTAGATTCTGGAGAAACAGGGCTTGAGGAAGGCTTGGCAACAAACGAAATGGCAAAGAGAGATCAGGGTTACAGCAATAGCATCGAAAAGACAATAGGGAAGAGAAGCGTAGAGTTGCTTGAAGATGTTCTGGTACATACCATGCATTTTTCAGCTAGTATTTTGTTTTTTACGGAGGCTGGAAGACTATTTAGCATGAAGATGGTTGGTGTAATCTTTGGGCAAATTTTTGACTTGGAGATTGTATTTCTCACCATCATAGTCTCTATGCTGTCTCTGAATGCCTTTACAGAATATGTTGTTTCCTCAATATACAAGAGTCCTTCATTGGAAATGATTCTCGTATGGTGCTTCTTTGGTGTTTTATTTGTTATTCCTATACTCGTTTTTATCTCCATAAAGCTTCTGAAGATCTTTGGAATTGGCTTCATAGTTTCATGTTATCTTTCTTATTTCATTATGGAGATATCCGACATCTTGTCCATATCGAATGTAGACTTATCTAAGATGGAGAAGGTACCAGTAAGCGTGTTTTCCGAGAATATTCAAAGGCTTATGAACGATAGAGGGCTTTCAGACTCAATCTACAAGGAAAGAAAGCCGGGGAAAAATGTCAATGCAGCCCTCATAGGAATTGGAAATTCAGAAAGAATAGAGATTTATGGAAAAGTAGAGAATATAGACGATGGCCAGCTAGAATCGATATTGATCCACGAGGTGGGGCATTCCTATGACAGAAGTCTAATCAAGAAGATATCAGTTTTTTTCCTTCTTCTAGGTCTCGAGATGTTGTTTTTGATAATCCTGTATGATAGTGTAGCTAAAGAGTTTGTATGGGATAATGTATCGAAAGAAGGGTCGTTCACTGTGCTCATGTGCCTGTACTTTGCATCGATTAGACCATGGCTGTTTATACTGTACAATCTTACGTCTCAAAGTGCGGAGATGTATGCCGACCTTTTAACAAAGAAGTACAACTATAATAGAACGCTTGCAAGCACTCTGTACAAGATATCTGTGGATTCCCTTGATTTCTTGTCTCCATCCTGGCTATACAACAGCCTGAACTCCCTTCATCCTAGTATAATGTCTAGAATTGAGTATCTAAGCAGCTAATAAATCCATTAATAAGTGATCTAGAACTCAAGAAAACAGATGAATCTGCAAATGCGCAATCCCCATCGATGGAGGATTTTAAACAAAGTGTAAACACATACAGTTCCGAAGGAAGAATTCATCAGATTGAATACGCCATGAAGGCGATGAATCTAGGAACAACAACAATAGGTGTGAGAACCAAAGAATTTGTGATACTATGCTCGGAAAAGAAAATATTATCCACCTTACAGAATCCCAAAAGTGTAGTAAAGCATTACAAGATCTATGATCATATTGTACTTGGGTTCTCAGGGATAAGTGGAGACACAAAAACTATTGTGAAGAGGTCACGAGACTTTTGCATTTCTCATACGCATATGTATGGGGAAAATACTAGTGTAGAAAGGCTTTTAAAATACCTGTCCAGCCTGAGCCTAAGATTCGGAGAGGAGGATGAGGCCAAAATGATATTCAGAAGACCTTTTGGTGTTTCCTTGATTATAGCAGGGTTTGACACCGAGCCTAGACTTTACTCTTTGGATCCATCGGGATCGTATGTTAGCTATAAGGCTAGAGCCATAGGCTCTGGGCACGAGGTCGTCGAAGGCGTTCTTGAGAACGAATATGAAGAATACAGGGGGCTTGACCAGTCCTTAAGGAAAGCCCTTCATACCCTATCAAAGGTAATGAAGGACAGGATTAATAAGGATAACGTGGAAGTTGCAGTTGTCACTAAGGAAGGAAGTAAGTTCTTAACCCCAGAGGATATCTCAGCGTATCTATGAAGTAAATTTCAGGAGTCTATCTCTTTTTATTGAATGTTTTACACGTACTCAGGTATGTGTTTTTTTCTATCATTTTCGCTTTTTTGCAGTATCGAGATTCAAGCTTTACTTCTTTACAACTCTTGGTATAATATTCTTTGACCTTCATTATATCTTCAGTTAAGGAATTCCTCTCTTTTAAAAGTTCAAACAAAGAAGGGACGTAGAATCTTCCTAGAATCGACTTAACTTCTTCGTTGGTTGGAAAACACCTTTCTATAAATTCTCTGAAATAACGTTCACTACTCTTTGGATTTCTATGGACTATAAGTCTCAATGCCTCAATTATATCTAGCTCATGGTATATGTACTTTAAAGACTCTGTACTTAGCTTTTCTAAATAATCCTTGCTGCATTGCGACTTAAACAAAGCAATCTTGGTGTTTCCACATGACTTAGTCTTGCATTCCGTGTTGTTATTGCAAAAGTCCTTGAGAGCTTTGATGAAGTAGTCTAGGATATCGATGGTAAAGTATGTGGATAAATATTGAAATACACGGGTGCTTATCTCATCGTAGGTATCTGATCCACAGCAAACCTTCTCACTCTGTGTTTTCTTATGGATGAATATTTGTAGCAGCAGCCGTTCTATTGGTTCGTCCCTGAAGCTTAAAGATTCAGCTCTTTCTAGTGCTCCATCATAGTCCCCAAAGTAGATGTAATTGTACAATATCTCATGGTTGTATATGACCTTGTTCGATCCAGATATTTTATATTGGAGCGCTTGAATAGCTTTGCTCTTTTGCTTAGTCCTCCTGTAGATACTTGCCAATATCGACGGACATTTTTCTAGAATGTATTTTACGGCATCCTTGTCCAACAGATCTACATTACTGTCATTGGTGCCAAAGCTTATTAGGTTCCTTCTTCTTATAAAACTCATCAGATAGCCTAGGGGTTTTTACAAAAATTTGTATCATTGGTTAATGCGTTATTCTGTCTGTACCTGTTTACGGGATTGGACACTTGCTAGTAAGAAATAACGGTATTGGATAATTATCTGAATATAAGAGAAACAGCAAATTGCACAAATGGATACCAGAATTAAAATAGACCTTGATAAGGAGATATACGAGAGTGGATCTGAGATAAAAGGTGCTATTGATATAAAGATGAGATGTCCCCTTTGCATAACCAAGATAAATCTGATTCTGTCTAAGGCGATGAAGATGAAAATACAAGAGATCGATCGAAAAGAAGGATCTGGAGAAAAATTCGAGAAAATATATGATGGATATAGATATGAGTTCGAGGTTTATTCAAATGACGATCCTTTGGGGGAAATATCCAGTGGGCACCACAAATTTCCATTCCGATTCTTACTCAGAAAAGAGGACGAAGGATCTTCGGAAATAAAAGGCGTTTATTTTGACGTCTTATGCCATATAAAAAGCATATACGACCTATACGCAGAAATCTATGTCCTTGGAATTCATAATCCTGTTTACACCGTCAGAAAAGAGATACAGGTGGTGGATTCCATCACCGAGCCCCGAGATTTTCATACAACTATCGATGTGATATCACCAATCTGTCTTTTGAGAAAAAGGTACAACATTCATTTTGAGGTCAATAAGCAGTTCTACTATTCGGGAGATTATCTAACCATTGAAGCAACCATACCATCCAAGAACCCTAAGATCAAGAGCATGGAGTGCTTTGCGTATGAGATACTCAATGTATCTGTGGAAGGAAGGGAAATTTTAAGGACAAAGTATATTGGTGGGGGACAGGCAGAGCATCATGCTGGAGGCAGAGTGCTTAGAGCAACGCTGAAGATACCTTCAACGACACCGTCCACTGTTACAGGAAGTGAATTCAGTATTAGGGTGGTTTTGTTTGTAAATCTCGAGCTGTACAGAGGAACGCCTGTCAGGGTCAAGAAATATATTCCTGTCATCAAAAAAAATATAGTTTATCCAGAGATTGATTGCATGGATGTTCTTGAGGGAGAGGTATATCCGGAAAGAATACTTGCATTGCCATAGGGATTTTATGGGCAGATAACTATGATTGGTCCCGTTAATAGGGAGGCTGGACAAGGCTGCAAGATTTATAGATCCTTTTTCTTATTCTTTGATGCCTTAATCTTTCTAGACCACTTTCGTTGCCTTAGCATGTGAGAGAACAGGAATATGAACCCAGGAATGTATAATAGTGCAGCCAATGCTACAAGATAGGAAAGAATATTTCCTATCAAATTGTATAAAGTTCTCAGACAGCACATTTCAAGAATAAACCCTATTGGAGAAGTCAGTAAGAACAAGTTATATCGGATGATTCTAATTGTGTCAATTCTGAACATGTAGAAGACATATCTTACCAAGTCCGAAAGGTACCAGCATGCGGTCATAATGGGAAAGGTCCAGTCTATAATTTCATAATACCAAAAAACAACCCATATGATGAGCATACGGGAGACCAACTGCATCACGGTAGGAAGATATCTAGCATTGCTTTTTTTTGCACATATATTTGCAACTTCCATCAAGAAAAATGTTTGACAGAGCCCAGCCATTTTTAGATATTTTGTTTTCATTGTTTTATAGAACATTAAGCTGGTGAAAAGAGCTATCGTGCAAACAATAAATCCAATTGCATTGTATATCCTGATGTAAGTTAGGCGCATCATTATCAGGGGTAGTCTTTGCAAATTGTCTGTGTTCTATTGAGATTTGAGCAAAAAGTATGGGTAGAGGATTTATAGCGCCGAATGGAGGCGTAAAGGCATTGTGTACAAAAGCGAAAGTATATCTCATGCTTGGATGGGTGTGGGTGAAGGTTAGGGCACTAAGATTTTTTCCCACTTGAATAAAATATTTTAAGTTTGGTGACCCCATGCAAATATTCATAGGAAAGATCCCGAATCACGTCAACGAAGAACAAATCAAGGAATATTTTGGACAGTTTGGGGAGGTTACGGATGTAAGCTTGAAAGGGACATATGGGTTTCTTAACTTTGATTCTGAGAGCAGCATTGCAAGGGTCCTGAATCAAAGGTCTCATACGATCGATGGAGCACCGATATCTGTGGAAAGGGCCAATGGACGAAAAAGGCCTCTTGATGGAGAGTATCATGATAGATACATGGATATGGGAAGAGGGGGATACTCCCCTCACAGGGGGGATTACAGGGGATTTCGAAATGCACCTTATCCTCCAATGAGATATGATGGCAGGTCTCCAGGAAGATATGATCCAAGATTTGGTGATCGATATGGAGGGAGATCTCCGGAGTACCGTGGCGATCATCAGAGAAGTAGGGATTTCTGTGAGTACTGTAACTCGTGCCCTATTCACGGGATGAGAGATATGATGGATCCAAGAAAAAGAGTTCATGCATCCAGAGATCATCCAAATAACCATCTGAAAGTGGTTTTTGAGAATATAGCCCCGAATACAACCATCGATGACTTCAAGAACTTTGTACATGACCATGGGTTTGAACCTTCTTATGCAAGACTTGGATATAGTGGGAATCATGCGGTTCTTGAGTTCAAGAATATTGAAGACAAAGATAATGTTATGAAGAAGCTTGACGGTGCTGAATTCAACGGGCATGTCCTCAAGACAAGGTCTTATCTCTCAAAGGATGAGTATAAGAGTAGGGAAAGAGAGAGTTATATGAGAAATGACCAGCAGCCAAATGAAAACAATTCGATGGAGCCGCAAGAGGCTGGCACCGATATTTATGAAGGGATTGAGGATGCAAAGGCAGAAAACGATTAAAAACCCTTAGGTCACTTTACTAGGCACTTTTGGAGTCATGGTTTTACCCCACGCATATTTTCAGCATTTCGGAGCAGTAGTTTTTCAATCAGTGCAGTATTTGTTCTATAACTCTTCCTACATGTTATTACATAGTCAATATTTCTGAGTAGTAAGGAGTTTGTTTTTTTTTCAAGAAGTATCCTACTTCCTGCTCCAAAGTCTATTGGATCGATGAAATAAACAACCTTATATCCAGACTCACCCTGAATCAATGCCTTGTGCATGCCCTTGGTATCTTCCACACCCAACTTCAATGAAAGTAGCGACTTGGATATATATAGTACTTCAATGACCTTGTATCTACCCTTATCCAATGAAATTGTGTCCATAGTCATCTACAGGGCCTTGGTGATTCCATAGGAATTTTATAACGGATAAAGAAAATTAAAGATTGCATGTGTTTTAATCAGTCCTCTTCTTTTCTACTGGGGGTGAAAAAAATTTAATAGCTGTCTGTACAATCAAGCTGAATGCAAGAACTATGTGGCCGGCAAAATACACACTTCTCCATACATATATAAGGTCTGAAATGTCCAGAAGAAAAAAGGATGCAGTAAAATATGTTGTGAGAAGAAGCATTTGCACCCTAGATAGAATCCAGAACAAAGATGGGAAGAAATGCTGGATCAGTCTGTTGTTTTCTTTTACAACCGGAATGGAGATCGAAAGTGAGAGGAACATTACCAAATAGCATGGGTTTATGCCATGCCACAGTGCAGAAACTGCAGATGTTGCCAGACTGGCCCAGAATATCGATCTTTTCTTCATTGGGACGAAGAAGCAGTTCTTTAGCCAGACCCCAGTGCATATATTCCAATAGGTGCTTAGATCTTTTACACTTGTTGCCAATTCTACTTTTATAAAGTCGGCGTTCAGGAGATTTGGGAAGTTTTGGAAGGTAAAGCACCCATGGGAGAAATGCCATGCAAAGTAGAATTTTATCCTGTTTCCTACTGTAAAGAGATATATATAGACCAGCCTCATAGGCAATGAAATGTTTTCTTCTAAAAGATGGCTTCTTGGGACACTTACTCTCAAGGCCTGAAAGAGGATCAAAAACCCAAAGGATTTTAGGAAGGTTTCGTATGGAGGCTTTTTTGGCTTTTCATATTTGTTTTCCATGAAATCTTTAAATGTTGGGACTGGGCCTAGCATAAGGCCTGGTATGAACAATATGTACGACAGGGCATCCTTTATGGTGTTCGTTCTCTTGTTATACTCTTTTCCAAGGTAGCACATCTTTATGGTCATTAGCATCAAGACCCCGGAAATGTCAAATGATCCTGAAATTCTCTCCTCAAAGAGGCCTCCAAAGATTTTGTAGACATAAAGAACCATAATGTTCACCAAGGTGAATGAGTACTCGGTCATCGGCACATACTTAAGTAAGAAGATGTTCAGGGCGATGGACGCAAGTATATATGCAGTATGCTTGTGATCAAAGGCTACATATAGAATTAACATCGCAGACAGCAAGTTATGAGCTCTTGCCCTATTCCTCATGGTGTAGCTTACAAACAGTGTTAGGAAAAGAGAAGCCAGAAATCTACGCTCTAAGTAATTTACCTCAGAGATTTTTCTTATCATTAGGAGTTGGGAAGTTTTTTCAAGCTTTTGAATTTGAAAACTTTTTTGCAGCCGATGATTGATGGAGTTAAAACAAGATCATTTCAAAAAATTATGAAGTAAACACCTGTTATCCAATCAATTTATTGAGGTACTGTTGCAGTCTTGCCTTCTTTTCTTGAATAATAAATGTGGAGTTTACTTGGCGGACAAGCCCCTCAATGTTTATTTCATTTGGAGACGAGTCCTCCCATCGTTTCAAGAAGCTCGTCATATCATTTTCTTCGTCACAGCCCAAGAGACAATAAAGCCCTATTTCCGTTGAATCTCCTGTGAAATTTTCCAGGGCCCATTCCTTGACCAGGTGTGGATAAATATCCATTTTAAGATCGAAATCATCGCGGTCCCTAATACTGCTCATGTAACAAACTATATCTGCCATGTCTTTATAGCTGATTCTTACATGCCCATCATTTAGTTTTAGCAGTTTCAGCTCTTTCTCTACAAGTCTTACTTGGCCATCACCGAGGTAGAAATGGCTTTTGAGGTCCACTGGGGGAAGTAGATTCCATATCGAACTGGGTGGAATAAGATGGTAGATTTTCTCAAGATCCAATGGGTTTTCAACAAGCTCCAGTACATAATCGATCTTTATATACTTATTACCTCTCTTCACTATAAAAGTATTGGACGGAGACACTCTTTTCACACCATAACCTTTATCTGAAGACAGGACATATGCCTGTGATGTTCCTGACAGCATAGACATTTCTTTATTGCCTACCACAAGCAAAAGCGTTTTTTCTTGCATCCCCATGGAGCAGAAATTTTACGGGGATGATATTAAGTCTGTCAACGATGACTTAAACGAAGCTAGATCTTCTATGCAGAATGAGATCCTCGATATAAAGAGCGATTTATTGTCCGTGTATCTTATGAATCTTGTCATATACAAGGAAATGAATGAGGAAGATAGGGCCGGAAGTTCAGTGGAGGAGATGCTGGCCAAGACAAGCATTCTTCTTGAAAAAATATGTTATATGGAGAACAAGGCCTTGGCACTTGCCAAGATGCCACCGAACGATGAACATAAAAGTTGTGAAAGGAAAGAGGATTCCGAAGAATGTGGAAAAAGAATTATAACGGACAAGATGAAGAAGAACAAGTTTGTCAAAAAAAGAAATATAGAGGACAGAATACCAAGGCTTAAGTACAAAAACAAGGCCAGAAAGCTTTCTGAAATGGCAGAGGTCAAGCATGATGGAAACATAGACATTAAGAGACCCAGCTTTAATAAATTTAACTAGAAGTCTTGGTGTAATGCTCTTAGGTATGGCCCTCTGCCTCAGATAGTTGAGATTAATTCGAAAAAAAATTTGCCCTGGATAGAGATGAGTGGAAAGAGCAACAAAGGTGATAATGTTACATCTGCGCTTTTGCTAGCAATGAGGACTGGGGAGTGCATTGTTGGATTTAAGCAAGCCATAAAGTCTGTTATTATGAAAAGAGCCAAATGCCTTGTTATTTCATCGAATTTTCCATCTACAAAAAGGAAGCAGCTTGAATATTACAGTGTCTTGGCTGGAGGGCTTCCTATTATTTTCCACAACGCTAATAATGAGGAGCTGGGGAACATTACTGAGAGAGGGCATAGATTGGGATGTATCTCTATTATTGACCAGGGAGAGGCTGAATTGATACCTTCCAGGGGAGAATAAAAGTTATTTAGTTGATTTTTATGTATTATCGAACCATCGAAATTTTCTGCCCTTAAGCAAGACCTCAATGCGTCTTATAAAGCTGAAATGTACTGATAGAATGTCTGTATTTCTGTTAATTACCATAGGGCTGGACAAGACTATCAGGGAGCTGAAGGAAGAAATATGTAAACTGACAGGAAAAGACGTAGAGCAGATTGTTCTCAAAAAGGGAAAGAGAGAGCTGGCCGACGGTATCGAGGTTGATGTATATGAGCTTAGAGACGGGGAATGCATAGAGATAGAGTACAGGTGAGCAGTTGTTTAGCTCCCTTATTGGGCTGAAGGAAGATGGCTCTAGTGTTACAGTAAAAGCAAAGATATTGTAGACCCAGGATGTCCAAAAAGATAATAGAAGAAAAAATAAAGAGCAGAAGAAAGATAGTGGAGAAGGCTCATAGGGACGTATCAAGCTATGACATACTAAGAACAGAGTCTTGCGGTTACATAGAAGTAGATTCTGATGAAAAGACATATGACGCAACACAGAGTAAGATACGAAGACATGTTAGCATCAAAGCATGCGAGCAGGCATACGATCTAAGGCTAGACAATGGGCCAATTCACGCTAAATATTCCAGGAATGGGATGCATATGCTTCTAAGAAATGACAGGGGATACTTGGCGTCATTCAACACTAAGTCTATGAATTTACATTTTGAAATTGATGTGAATGACAAGATGTATGATGCGATATATCTCCACAATGAGCGATTTATTGCGGTAGCTCAGAAGAATAATGTTTTTATATATGACGGGTGCGGTGTCGAAACACATTGTGTCAGAGATAACAGCGATGTATTTAAGATGGAATACTTGCCGTATCATTATCTTTTAGTAAGCGTGTCGCGCAGGGGCTTTCTAAGATACCAAGACATATCTACTGGAAATTTTGTGAGCCAGATCTTGATGAAAAATCAGGAGGTTATCTCCATAAAGCAAAACCCTATGAATGCAATTATACATACCGGTAGCACCAAGGGTGTTGTTAGCCTGTGGTCTCCGAGCTCCAAAGAGTACTTGATGAAAATATTGTGTCATAAAAGTGCTATCTCGAGCATTGAGATTGAGAGAGACGGAAGATCTATGGTTACAATGGGGATGGACAATCGAATCAACGTGTGGGACTTAAGAAATACTTATAGACAGCTTAACACTCTTCGGGCAAAATCTGGCTTAATAGCAACTTCTTTGAGTCAGAAAAGCATGCTGGCATTGTCTTACGGTGGAAATGTTCACATATGGAAAGATTTTATCAATTCTGACTCCGGTGAAGTACTATATATTAAGCATAAAGTGGGGTCACTTGTATCAAGTGTCGACTTCTGTAATCATGAAGACATATTATGTATTGGGCACGCAAATGGGATATCAAGTATCATTGTTCCCGGGTGTGGTGATCCTGTATATGATTCTTATGAGGATTCTCCCTTTACCTCCAAGAAAGCAAGACGTGAGAAAGAGGTTAGAAGGCTGATGGAAAAGATACCTTATGAGTTGATATCTATGGAGTCTAAGGTTGGAAGTATTTATAAGGAGCCAAAGGTAGACAAGCCCAAGGAGGAGTTTTCAAGATACTTTGATGCCGAGCCTGTCAGAAAAGGAGCTTTGAGTAGATTCTACAACAAAGATGGATAAATAAACTGATTATGACATGCTAGCATATTTGGAGGCGAACATTGGCAAATAAAAGAGGTGGTTTTTTCGAAGAGTTTTAATTTTTCAATAGCACACGAAGAGCTTAGTGTTCCAGCTTAAATAATGGATGTCTCAAGCACTCTTCAGCAGTAGGTCTGCTTTGATGATCATACACCAATATTTTCTCCAACAAATCTATGGCATGGATGTAAAGGTTGGCCTTTCCAAGAGGCACAAAGGAGGAGAGCAGTACTCTTTCCCCTGTTCCCTCATGCTTCGGGCTGAGCGGTGCGATTCTGTATTTTTCGATATACTTTCTTAAGTCGGTATATCCCAAGACTCTGGCTATCTTGACAAGTTGGTCGCTATTACTCTCTCCATGGAAGAAGGGTCTTTTCTTAAATATCAATTCGGCCAAAACACATCCAAACGACCAAATGTCAAGAGAATAGTCGTAGTATGGATAGTCGACGAGTAACTCCGGGCTTTTATAGTATCTACTTGCAACCCTTACACTGTATTCCTTTTTTGGATGATAAAACTCAGCAAGCCCCCAATCAATTATTTTTAGCTCCCTTCTCTCCCGGTTGATCACCATGTTCTGTGGTTTGATATCTCTGTGAATTATGCCCATACTATGACAATAATCAAGTGCGGAAAGGATTTGCTTAGAGTATTCGATGATATCCATATAGCTTAATTTCTCAAATATTTTTGCATAGTCTTCGTGCTCTATATATTCAAAGATCAAAGAGTATATTTGAGACTCGGAGTCAACGACAACATCTATAAGCTTTATGATATTCTTATGAGAAAGGCTTTTCAATATCAACACTTCTCTGGAAATCTTTGCTTTCCTTACAGGCTTAAGCGTTTTTATCACAATCTTCTCCTTGTCTTTACGCCCTTCAAAAACCTCTGAGTACTTCCCCCTGCCCATTCTTTGGTATATCTGGTACTTTTCTATACATCCGGTGGGTATGTTGTAGCATTCATAGTTCCAATACTTCTCGTCCTTTTTTTCGTTAGCGTCTGCATTTGATTTTGCTATGGTTACAACAACCATAATATTCTAGGGATCTTTGTTAAAAGCTTGAAAATAAAATCTTTATAAAACATTTAATATTGTTAATATCGGGAAGATAGTTAAGTCAATAGATCCATTTTATTGCCTGGAGTAAGAGGACTTAACTCTGAATACGCCTTGTTGGCCTGTCAAGCATATTAGGGCCCCATCCTCATGGATTAGTTGCCCCTCGCAAATAGCTTTTGAATTTCTTATTCCTTTACATTTTACAATGTAGTACAAATACCCATCACTAATATCTTTCTCTAGATTTACAAAGTTCACTACGTGATTTAAGGAAGTCAGCAACGATAGATCACTTGAAAATAGTGTCAGGTTAGATGTCATAAGAGCCGTTTCTACCAGCAATATGTCAGAAATCAATGTGAGAAGGGATGCCTTTCCTTTTATACTTTCTTGTTCTTCTTTTATTTTGATACGAATCTGCCTCATGTCTTTATTCTCCACACCCACATCGACATCCAACACATTGAGCATCATTAGCATGTTATCATATAAAATTTGGAACTTTGCATTAACTTCTGCTTGGGGCACAGAGCTGGTGGCCATAGATCTAGATATATATTCAGAAAATGGAATGAAGGTATCATCATATATCTTATACGGATTGCTTTCATAATCATGGGCATTATTATCCGGTCTACTGAAGCTAATATGAGCACTGGATACCAAGACATCATTTTGATAGCAGTCTACTTGTCTCATATCTACAATACTTCCATCTTTTAGACTCTTAACAGCATACTTGACTTTTTGACTTGATTTACAACGATTAATAAACAAAATACTCATTGTGATTGGGATAGAGTTCTCTCCAACTGTTGCGAATGCAGCAGCAAGGGACTGGGCTGCTAATTGGCCTCCAAATGCAGGGTATCCTGGAAAGGGAGACCAGAGATTGGCGCCCTCAAAGACTCCGTCGCTAAGCCTTGTTATTCTAAAGAACTCCATAGGGGATTGTTTCAATAAGGTTTTTGTGAAAGGTAAGATTGCCATTGTTGATGAAAAATAAATTTTTTTCACCTTACAGGATGTCTTTGGAGAAAGAACCATTAAAGGGAAAAGTATTTGTATTTACTGGGGACATGAAGATCAGCAGAGATGATGCAAAAACAAAGGTGATGGTTCTAGGAGGAAGATGCACAACGGTACCATCATCAAAGACTACCTTTCTTGTCACAGGTGAAAACCCTGGAGCTTCAAAGATGCAGAAAGCAAAAGAACTAGGCATAGAAATTCTAAATGAAGAGGATTTTACTAAACTGATCAAGAACAATGAAAAAGAGCTCGATAATGTAATAGAAATAGGTATAGACACAGGGGGGAATTCCAGGGTCACCGATGTGTCTAGCTTGAGCGGTATATGGAGTGAGAAATACAGACCTAGTAAGAAGAATGAAATTGTAGGAAATGTAGGGATTGTCAAGCAATTAGAGGACTATCTCCAGGGACATACGAAATACAAAGCAGTTCTATTAAGTGGGCAGCCAGGGGTCGGAAAAACAACTATGGCGCATGTAGTTTGCAAATATCTTGGGCTTGATGTGGTTGAATTTAACGCCAGTGATGTTAGAAGTAAATCAGAGATAAGCAGTAAAATAAGAAGTTTTGTGAACAGCCAATCTGTTTACTCAAGAGAATCTAAGAAAAAAGTTCTCATAATGGATGAAGTTGATGGGATGTCAAGCGACAGAGGAGGTATTCCTGAGCTTGTTAATGTAATTAAGGAGGCTATGATACCAATCATATGCATATGCAATGACCGCAATAACCTGAAAATAAGAACGTTATCAAACCATTGTCTAGACCTAAGATTTAGGAAGCCAGATCCTAGGCAAATGCTTTCGAGAATCAGATACATAATAGATAAGGAGGGAAAAAGAATATCAGACGGATTGCTTAACGAAATAATAGCAAAAAGCAACGGAGACATAAGGTATGCGATCTGTATGGTGCAAAGCATCGCGCTTAGAAAGATGGTTAGTCCAAGTATAGCTAAAAGCTTTGTCAGAAAAAATGTGATGAAAAATGTATTTGATATAGCAGGAGAGGTTTTTCAGAGAAAATCCATTTCTGAAAAGATCGATCTTTATTTTGAGGATTATTCTCTAATTCCGCTTTTTGTAAGCGAAAACATTCTAAAAACCCCATTCAAGAGCGCAAGAGATCTTACGGAGTGTTTTGACTCTATTAGCTTGGGAGATGTTGTTGAAAAGCTCATAAGAGGGGCTGACCAGGATTGGAGCCTGGCTCCACTTCATGCAGTGTATAGCGTTGTAATACCTACTAAAGGGAGGCCTTTAACAAAGAAAATGATGTTTCCGTCATGGCTCGGGCAAAATTCTAAGCACTCAAAAGCAGAAAGAATTCTATACATGGCTTCGATGCATTCATCATGCAAAATTAGAGTTAATACAGAGGAGCTTAGAAAATATGCCTTGGAGCTAATATTAAAAAAACATGCATATCATCTGAAAACACATTGCATTGATAAGGCAATAGACGACATTGCTGATTATGATATGACCAAAGAAGATATCACTGGGTTGGGAAGTATACTTCCAGGAGGAGCAGATCTATTCGAGGGAGTAGAACGCAAGGCAAGGTTTCTTTTAGATAAAGAATACAAAAAACTCAAGAGAAAGCTTCCATATGTAGAAGTACAAAAGGATAAAGATGATGATGACGAAGGTCAGAGTGAAAGTGAAGAAGTCCCTCCTTATAGAGAGTATTAAATAGTTGAATCAACGTTAGGCAAGGACTTTATTTGTCATAGACCTTTCTGACCTTCTCATAGCATAAAGGCTCAATGGCAGGATATCTCATATGTTCCTGAATGTATTTTGTTAGTTGTATACAATCCCTAATGCTCATGCCTATGTCAGCCACAGGTTTATCCTCTTTCAAAGAATGGAAAATACCGTCAATAGCCTTCCCTTTTATCAATCCCTTTCTGATTGTTCTTTTGACTAAGTACTCAGCCTCTTCAGGATTAATGTCTAGAAGATATGCTATGTCTACAAAAGATATTCTAGAGTATACAATGCTTATCCTCCTTATTCCCTCCTGAATAACGTTTTGGGATAATCTCCTTGCTACAAAGTATAGCCCTTGAGCCATCAGCTCATCCTTGCTGTTCTCTAGAGTCTCCTCAAATTTCTTTATCTCAGCTTTTTTTACAACAGAAGCAAGCTCAAAATATGTTCTTAGGCTCGGCTTATAGGGATAGGGAATATTGTAGTCACTACTAAGTAACATACATAGAATAACACGCTTCTCTGCACCCAGAACCAGATCGCGATTGCTTGAAAGGATAATACTTGTATGAAAATTTTTCAAGGCAGATTCATAATCTCCCTCAACCATAGATATTATTCCATTGTAATAGTTATACCTCGCTTGCTCAGAAGTTGTTGCAATAGTATTTTCAATTCTTTGAAATATTTTGTTGCTGATAAGCATGTCTAAAAGACAATTGGTTATCACAGAAATGGTATATTCATTACCGAGCTCCTTATTTGTAACAAGAAGGCTGAAGAGGGTGGAATTGTCCTGGCACTCGTTTTTCCTTGCAAGATAAAAAAACTTTACAATGAGTCCGATAAAGTAATCATAAGTTCTTTTCTTCCCAATGAGATAAGGTAGTAAGCCTTCATTGACTACCTTGTCAATCCTCTTGAATTCTTTCTTCATGAAAAGGCCTCCAAGGATTATAGGATACGTTGCAATCCTCTCAAACTCATTATCAAAGCTAAGAGAATCAAGGGTTTCAGGGCTTATGTTTTTCATAAATGTAAGTGCTCGTCTCTCATATTGCTCCATTGCCTCCTCTCTGTTAGTGCTGAGTTGGCCTAACACTTCAACTAGCTCCTCAACATATTCCCTTTCACTCATTTCAGGGTTTGTTTATTAAATGAAATTCAAGAAGGGGTAGAAAGCTTCTTGATCCCTAACTAATAGTATATAAATTTATCCGTAAGCTAAAAGCTTATTATTGGTTGAAGTCCTTAATGTTTAATTATAAGTCATAATCTTTGGAGGAATATCTCTTATCCATGAAGTTTATTGAATTTTGAATTATTCTATCATTAGTGCTACTAACAACCATACCATATTTAATCATCCATCTTGAAATCAATCATTTACTTCAATTTAAAACTATAAAAACAGTTTCTATCAAACCCCTAGATGAATGTTAATCTAATACTGTCCAACATCTTGGGTTCAATCCTTTTAGGCTTGGCCAAGGCCAGGAGTAACGAAAACGAATCTAATCCTTCTATAAGTGCAAATAGTGATGAAAGCAACGGTGATGGCGTCAATCCCCTTATACCAGGAAGTGAAACCAAATATCCCGGGATAGTTTCTGAGGTTAAGAGGATTCAAGCCTTGTGTTCGGATACTCTTGCAAATCTTCAACTTTATATCACAGCAAGTGAAGAAGGGAGAATATCTTTGGATGGCGATGAGTTAGATACTATCAAATATTTTTGTAACCAACTCACTGAACTTGTGAAAATGTGGGGTAATTTATCTGGTCTCTTAGAACAAAAGGAAATATCTTTGAAAGAAATCAAGTCTATAGTTATAAATATTATTTCATTGGAAACTGAGGTCATTAAACATGCAGGAACGTTTAACGTAAAGAGATATCTTACCGAGGAGTTCCTTCAACATATTGATGAGTATATTACTAATCACAGGGGAAACCTTGATTATTTAATATCCAAGATAGTTAATTCCTCTATCAGAGAACCTTTATTTATCATTTCCCCCCAAGATACTGGTAATGATGCCAAAGAATAAGTTAATTTGGGTGAAATTATTAAATACAAAAATCTTCTTAAACATTCTTATATATAACACCTGGAAGTTGATAATGAGTAGTTTCAATAAGGATTTCCATATGAGGAATAATTGAAAAGAAATGTATAAATACAGTTGAGAGCGGAAGATAATGCTTGCAATAAGTGTTATTGGAATCATTGGGCTTTTGGGAGGACTTAGGGGAGCGATTCCTCTTAAAGTCAGTAATGTATCAGGGAAAGTGTACAAGAACATCAGGGTTAATGCACAGAGGATCTGCCGTATTATGGAGTATGTGGAAAAGCCTGAAATAGCAGAGTTCATGAAGGAGTGTTTGGAGAAGCAGGTGAGTGAGAGGGCACAAGAGCTATGCAGGGAGTTAATTTTCGAGCATGAGTCGCTGAAGGAGAAGGTAGCAAGGCTTGGAGAGGCAGCTGGGAATAGTGAGAGTAGCTTTGAGGAATTGAAGAGTCTCATCATTGAAGTATTTGATGGATGTTTCAAGGTGGTTAGATCTGGAATGATTTTAGATATCGAGCTTGGATTCAACGAAGAGAATCTAGACGAGGTGGAAGAAGCCTGCAGCAAAGTTTATCGACGGCTTCTCAATGAGATTGCCCAGTGGCGCAATAGTAATGGGGCATTTAGGCTTGCAACCACCTATTATTAAAAAGTGTTCATCTATTTTTAGTCTATTCTCCCGAGGTTTGTGTATTTCTGTAGACGGTTAGGGTTATGTATGGGATATGTGGGGCTACGGAAGATGGAGATTCCATGTATAGAGCTTGCAAGAGAGCTTCTGGGGAAGATACTGTGCAGGAGAATGGAGGGGAAGACTATGAAAGGGATGATAGTTGAGACCGAGGCATATGTAGGGCGGGAGGACAAGGCATGCCATGGGTATGGAGGAAGAAGAACGGAACGGAACTCAGCAATGTACATGAGAGCAGGGACATGCTATGTATATAAGATATATGGAATGTATGAATGCTTCAACATCTCGTCTGTGGAGGATGGTGCTGGAGTGCTTATACGGGCAGTGGAACCTCTGTGTGGGATTTCCTTGATGAGGAGACATAGAGGAGGCAGGGTCAAGGACCGGGACATTGCAAATGGGCCATCGAAGCTGTGCATTGCAATGGGAATAACACGGAAGGAGATCGACAAGGAATGGATTATGTCCAGTTCTAAGATATGGATTGAGGAAGGAATGGAAGTTGCGGACACCTCTGTTATTGTGGGAAAAAGGATTGGGATAAGGAACTGTGGAGAGTGGGAAGAGAAGGAGCTTCGGTTCTACATAAAAGACAACGAGTTTGTTAGCTGTATTAGAAGGAAGCGAGGCAAGCAATAGTCTACTATCGGTAAGGAGCATCACACGACCTACTGCTTTCCAGTTGGATTTTGAGATCTGCCTATAGAACTGTTATAGTCTGTGGAAGGCTATCATGTGCTGTGTGTAGAAGAAGACAGCATATAGAGGACATGGAATGGAAGAGGATAGAGTATCTTTGAGTAGGTAGAATGAGGTGGAGAGAAATGGGAGTGATGATATCCAGGAATACAGCAAGGATGTTGTACCCTCTTATTGAATCGATGGGGTATGTATGTATGTGTGTGTTGTGTTGTGTGGGTAACCCTCTATTAAATGTAGCCTAATCTAGGATGGTTGAGTAGTATGAATAGTAACAAAAGT